TGATTTCTATATTAATTTCTATTTAATAATAACATTAAAATAAAATTGATTTATTTTTATTTATAATATGTATATTATATTATTCATATTTTTATATTTAAATTAAAATTTCTCATATATTTTAAATAAAAATAAAAATATTGATGATTTAATGAAATTCTTATAATTCTATTAAAATATATTTGTGTATATAAAATTTTTAATAAATCTATACAGTTTTATTTATTTATTTATTTTGATATTTTTATTAAAATAAATTTAAAGTAAATATGCATAATTAACATACTTAACAAAACTATAATTAACACAGTCAATAAATATTATATATATATATCTTGATAAAATTATTAAGAATGTGATACTATAATGTATATATAGAATACTTATTTATTTATTTTAAAATTAAATAATTAATTTAAATTTAAATTCAAAAAATAAATTCTCTATTATACATATATATTAATTATATAACTATTGATTACATAAATTCTAATATTTAATTTTTAAAAGAAAATAATGAATATGTTGTTTTAATAAAAAATTTAATGGAGTCATAAAACAGAAAATTATAAAAATATTTAATGGACAAAAAATAAAATATAAAAATGTCGTGCTTCGCACAGATGTACCACTACTTCTACGGCAATCTCAATCTTATTTATAAATTTGAAGTTACCATTGTATGTATTCTTCTTCTTATAATTTTATGAGTATATTGAAATCCATTTATATTCTCGAGCCTCTCACATTCAAGTTGGAAGAAGACAATGGTGAAGAAAATGATTGTCCTAAATGCAAATGGTTACGTGAAGTTTGTCTACCTCCGAGTTAATTTAGTACTCCCTTCGTCTATTAAAATTATCACATTTAGGTTCGACACGAGAATTAAAAAAAAATAAATATTTTATTGAAAAAATGATAGGTAGTTGGAGATATTTTTAAAAATTTAGTTAAAAAGTAAAATAAATAAAGAGAAAGAATATAATAAAGTTAATGGTATTTGTTGTAAATAAGTGTTGAACGAAGAGTAATAATTAAATATTGATTTGCTGAATTTGCCAAAATTAGGAATAAGATAAATTTAGTGGACGATCTAAAAAGGAAAGTGAAAATAAATTTGGATAGATGGATAGATTATACTAGTATTTTTTCTTTTTTTTCTTCCATTTGGCTAAAATGACATTTGTTCACTTGCTACTGTTTGGAATTGATTCCTTTGTTATCAGTTGGATATTAAGAATGATTTCATATATGGCAACAACCTAGGGTTTGGTACTTGAGTAATTTTGCCTTGTGTGTATGTTTTATTTTTGCAAGGTTTAAAACAGATGTTTGGTATAGCACTTTAGTGCTAAAACAAATTAACAGTTCGGAAGCTCGACTCGGTTTAGTTCATTTGAGCTCGCTAAGAGCTCGTTCGTTAAGCTAAATGAGCTGAACACGAACATAAATTTCGGCTCGTTATGTTTACGAACGAGCTCGAGTTTGTTAGCGAACGTTCGATAGTATTTATTAAAAAAATTAAATTAATAATTTTATATTTAATAAGTATATATATATCTTTATAAATATTATATTGCATTCTATTTTTTTATTTATATTTATAAATAAAATTATAATTATTATTAGCTAAATTTAATTTTTTTAAAAAATTAAATAAATAAAATAAAATTTCTCTTAACGAGCCGAGCCGAATACGAACAAAAAAATTGCTAAACATGCCGAATTCAAACAAAAATTTCAACTCATATCTCTCAACGAACGAACACGAGCTGAGCTCAACATGATAAACTGGACTCTATTCGACTTGTTTATAGCTCTAAGCACACTCACCTATAAAATGAATTTTATAAATTAGAATATATATTTTATAAGATTTGATTTATGATACGGTTTATTATATATTTTAAATTTGTTTTTGTTTTTTTGTAACTATATATTTTGTATTGTTTGAATTTTTTATTTTTTTTTTTCCAGATGGCAACAACAAGATTAATAATTTCTATTATTTTTTACTGATAGACATGATTTCATATTAATTAAATTTATTGTAATTTTCAATTTAATATGGATTATGATTAACTATTTTTAATTTAATTTATACTCAGAATTTAATTTGGGATTTAAATATTGTGAGACTTAATTTATTAATTTTTGTTTTTGTTTTTGTTTTTAGTTACTATATTTGTTTCTATTTTGTATATCACAACAAGATAAAAAAAAATTCTCATTATCTTAATATTATGTGTTGGTTTTTATTTTAATTATTATTTTTTTAAAAAAATTTTGTCTACTATTTGTATTTTTATTTTATTTTTTGTTTTTTTCAGATTGTACTGAAGGTTGATGACGGTAGTAGCTAGAGAAAGGTCGAAGACAATAAATCAAAATTTTATTTTCTTCCACCTCGAAAGACATTAATTTCTTTCAAATTTATTTCAATTTAATATGAATTTGAGTAATTACTTCTAATCTAAGGTAGATATGAATTTAAATTAGAATATGTATTTATAAATTCGATTTATTATTAGTATTATATTTAATTTTGTTTTAATTATTGGGTTTATTCTTCCACCATTTTTTCCTCGAAACGTTTCTCAATATTATAATATACTATTTTTTATCATTTTACAAAAAATATTAATATACAATATAAAATATTATTTTTATATTGTATTATTTACCAAATTTCCTATATTTTATATAAAAAAATATATATAAAAATCAAACCAAAGCATTAAACAAACTAAATCCTAATATTTTTTTTTATTTTATAAATTGTTTTTATTTTATTATATATCTAATATATATTTTTATTTTTGTGCTGCCCGATGAATTTATCTATAATAACTTCAATTTTACTTTTAATAGATGAATATCAAAAAAACTTATTCAATTAAAATGTCAAAGAAAATTGTGGATCAAATTAATAATATAATAGAAAAAAATATTAATTACTTTTAAAGGTCAAAGGGCCAACGGCTTCCTCGTTAGACTAGACTCTCTTTCCCAAACTGATATTAATTATTGAAAACAATCAATTGAAATTTCATTTAATATGTATAGTTTAAAGAATACAAATATAAAAAATATATTAAATAAATTAAAGAATATAGGTATAACATTGATATTAAAAATATCATAGATATTTTCTTATATAATATTTTTTAAAAATATATATTATATATGTCATTTATATATAGATTTTAAATTAGGATATAACATACGTTCTCCCTCACATGAATGTGAGATTATTAATATTAATTTATTTAGATTATTAATATTAGGTCAACTGTTTTTTTTTTTAGTCCCGTAATTGAATCCTTATCATTTCGTAAGTGGAGCCTGTTGCAAACTAGTTTCATAAGTGAAGAATTTTCGCGCTGTTTTAGTCCTCCGGCGTCGGATGTCCGCTGTTTTAGTCCTCCGGCGAGTCACGCGGGTGTATTCGGCGCAAGAGAACTAAAACAGCGAAAATTCTTGGGACTAGTTTGCGACAGGCTCCACTTACGAGACTAAAATGATAAGAGGGTTCAGTTACGGGACTAAAAAAACAATTTACCCTTAATATTATATCGCTGACCTGGCGGACACGTCACCTCCGGCGAGCCACGCGGGCGTATCCGGCGCCGGAGGACTAAAACAGCGAAAATTCTTCACTTATGGGACTAGTTTGCGACATGCTCCACTTACGAGACTAAAATGATAAGGGGTCCAGTTACGGTACTTAAAAAAAAACAATTGACCCTTAATATTATATATATACAATAATATAGAGCAAGAATGAATGACTTAGCAGCTGTGGAGAGTGAACTTATGATAGTAAAATCACTGATTTCTGTACTAGAGAGTACGTACCTTCGGGTAGGTGCGGGCGTCGTGCATCTCCTATATGGTGACTGTCGTAGCCGGAATAGGACTTTGAAAAGCATTACATAGCTGAGTAAGTGAATTTTGAAAGTCTAATTACACGAAGACACGTGTAATTCGGAAGTGTTACCATCTATCCGAATTTAGTCCAAAGAACCTTATCTGTCCTTGAAATCCAAAATCTACGTTCAACTTCAATCTTGGTACGATTCTATCATCAATTGAATTCTGTTTTGATCGTGGCGCCGAGATTCGTATCTCCAACAACCACTGTTAATCTCAAATTTAGAATCTACGTATGCATGTTTATGACTAGTTGTTTGAATCCCCAGGTTTTGGTTGGGAAAGGCATTGGAAAGCAAGAGGAGTAGAGACATTCAGCTATGGCTTCATCTTCACCGGGTTAGTATCTCCAAATTTCTTCAGTCGATGATCTCTGTTCACTGTTGTTCTGATTTTTATACAGATTTACGATATTCGCTTTTATATGCGCGCTGATTTGATTCACACATTCGTAAATTCATGAATAATGCGATTCGGATTTTGCAGTAAATCTGCTAATCGTATTGATTTTGTTCTGTTTTCTGATAATTACTGCCATCTGAATCTATTGTGTTCTATTTAGTTTAGGGCAAGATCTGAAGTGTTGGAAGTATGGATTGTATGGAACATAGATTTGAACACTTCACTCGCAACTCAAATCGCTCAAAATTCTGTGTTGATTTTGATTAGTTTCGATACATTACCTGTGGATTGTTCAAGCTTTTTATCGAATCCAACAGTCTAATTTGTATGCAGTTTGGTAGTGACTTACAAGCATGATTTGAAAATTTATCGAAAAATTCAGAGACACAAAGCTCACATTCATGTTTTGCAGTAGTTCTAATTTGCTTTGTGCTTCTCCTGATCGGCGCTGTCGAATGCTCGAGGCCTCGTTATCCTCTCCCTAGCGGTCGAAAGGCGCAACGACTCCAAACATTCCGTCCGTTCAACATTGCTCATCGCGGCTCCAGTGGCGAAATCCCCGAAGAAACTGCTGCTGCTTACAAGGTACCCTGATTTTTTTTATTAGCATAGCATACTCTTGTTATCATTGTATCAATGTGTGACTGTCTAATCCCGAATTACAGAGAGCTATCAAAGAAGGAGCTGATTTCATCGAGACGGATATCTTAGCCTCCAAAGACGGCCACCTCATATGCTTCCACAATGTGACACTCGATGACACCACCAACATAGCCAACTACCCCAAGTTTGCCAACCGGAAAAGGACTTACGAAGTCGAACGAGTAAATGTCACCGGTTACTTTGTAGGTAGGCGCCTCGGCGACATCTACATGCATTATTGCATTACTTTTAGTGAGATGGTCATTTAATATCGCATCAAAGCCATAAGTGTCGTATTGGGTATGATATTGATTCTGATTAGAATTCAATTTCAAAATAGATATCATCTTGAGGAGTGTTAATGTTAAGTGTCCCACATGAAAACATGTTAGAACTTCACTTCCCTTCGTCTATAAAGATAAAGACAATTACTCTTATCACCAATTGATTTTGAAATGGAGCCTTATATCCCTTCTTAATACTAATGCATGTTTTTGTGTTGTAGTCGATTTCACATTGCAAGAGCTGAAGTCGTTGCGAGTCAATCAAAGATACTCTTTCCGTGATCCACAGTACAACGGTTATCCTCGATTTCTATCTCGACCATCCTATTAAAAACGATGTATCGCTTTTCATTTTGGTTTGATCGTTCTTCTTTCTCGACAGGAATGTTTTCCATCCTCACATTCGACGAATTCATCCAAATTGCGCTGGATGCTCCCCGCATTGTCGGGATATACCCCGAGATAAAGAGCCCCGTCTTCATAAACCAACGAGTAAGTATCTTTCTCCATCAAAGACAATTCCGTACCTCGATCCAACATTTATTACACTCGTCGTCGATCTCCTCCAGGTGTCATGGCCCGATGGCAAGAAATTCGAGGACAGATTCGTCGGGACGCTTAAGAAACACGGGTACAAAGGATCATACCTATCCAGACAATGGCTGAAGCAACCAGCCTTCATCCAATCCTTCGCGCCGTCATCTCTTCTCTACACGTCGAAGCTAACCGACCTCCCCAAAGTTCTCCTCATCGACGACATCACCGTCCGAACCCAAGACACAAACCAGGTAATCTAAATTTTTAACAATTTCCTATCCTCGTCGAAACAAATTAATTCAATTCGGACTAAAACATCGAGCCTTTTCACCTCAGTCGTATTGGGAGATAACATCCGACGAGTACTTCGACTACATCAAGGACTACGTTGTGGGGATCGGTCCGTGGAAGGATACCGTCGTCACCACATCCAACAACTACACTTTGACACGAACCAACTTGGTCGATCGAGCGCACAACCATAACCTTCAGGTACGCAGTTCTCAAGTATTCGATTCGACGTTGGGAATCCGATAATATTATACACACACATACATACAATTAATTCAGGTGCATCCCTACACATACCGCAATGAGAATCAGTTCCTGCACTTCAACTTCAGCCAGGATCCTTACAAAGAATACGCTTTCTGGATAAAAGAGATGGGCGTCGATGGATTGTTCACAGATTTCCCCGGCAGCCTTCGTCAGTATCAGGATTGGACTCATCCTTCATCATCGTCTTAATTCTCAACATTATTAAGGAAGATGCATCTAAACATGCACTAATTTTTCTTTTTTCTTTCTTCCATGTTTTAGTACAAATGAAGGAAAAATAGCCAAAATACTTCTATTATAATTATAATACTATTATAACGATATTTGTACAATAAATTATATAAATATAAAAATATTTTTAATATTAAATACAATAAAATAAAAAGTAAATGTAACTTAAAATGCAAGCAGTCGGCCTTTGGTTAAAATTTTGGGTGTACAATGCAGTGCTGTTTTCCCAAAAAAATATCGCCTTAAAGCATGGCGTGAGAATCTCAATGCACATTCAACCGTTTCATATCAGCTCATCATCTTGTTATATGTCATAATGTTATTTACTCTATTTTATACTCCATTCGTCTCATATTTATATATCTATTTACTTTTTATACGGAGTTTTAGAAATATTAGTATTATATTGAAATATAGTAAAAGTAAAGATAAAAAGACTATATTGCTTTTATTAGTATTATATGATATAAAAGTAATGATATTTGTGTAATATATTGTAAATTGGAAAGATATTTGTAACGTTAAATAGCGGATAGAGTATTAACCAATCTTTTTCTGAAAAGAAAAGTTTTATTTTTATATTACCAAAAAAATTAAAAATCATCTACTCCATAAAATATATTCTCCCGTTCTAGATAATATGGCGTATTACTGTAAGTACGAAAATTTGGTAAAATATAATTAATAAGTAATTAAGAAGTATATTAGTAAAAATAATTACAAATTAAAGATTAAAATAACTAAATAGTTTAATTAAAATTTTAAAAATTATAAAAGTTTAATTTTAAAATATAATTAAATTGTACGATCAATTTTCCAAAAAAAAATGATAAATTATATGGAACATACCAAAATAGAAAATATAGACAAAATACGTTGGATGGATGAAGTATTATATTACATTATATTATTACACTTAAATTTATTTATTATTTTTTATTCAAAACATCACTTCCATCAATATATCATTATTACAAAAATTAACTTACAATTAAATGCCAATTCAAACATCTCAATTCAAATTCAATCAAAAAATTCAACCCAACTTAAACCCAACTCATAACCAAATATAAATAAGTTCTAATATTTCTTTCTAACTCTAAAAATCTCATTTACTTTTTGCGTGTTGATATTTGGATATTAATTATTATATAAAAAATAGTACAAATTAAAAAAAAATACAAAAATACTTCAATTAGTGTCTTATAATACTAATAGAAAAAAATTTGTACAAAATATTATACAATTATAATTGATATTTTTAATGTTGAGTATAACGACATACAAAGTAAATAAGTAAATAAGACCATCGTAAACGGTTGGAGGGAGTAATATATTCAAGGCAAGATTAATTTATATAATAAAATAAAAATATTTAATTTAATGTGTAGAAAAAACAATGAGTAGTGAAAATTAGAGCAAAAATACAAAGGCAAACATAGTCCCATAGTCATATGAACTAATTATCTATTCCTTATGTCTTATGAAATTAGTTCTTTTTTTGTCCCACCAAATTAGTCATATTCTACAAAAAGTAACAATCAATAAATTATAAAATAAAAGGTAAAATATATAGCATCACCACGTGTTCTAATAAAAATGAACAAAATATCATATATTTTATTTATTACGTGAAACTCTTTTGTACTAATATAAAGTTTGTACATAACACTCTATTCGTCTAAAATATTTAGTTATAAATACATACTAAATTATACAAGTTTTACAATAAAAGAGATAAAATATCTTAAATGGTCTTTTTTGAATAAAATAAATAAATAAATAATCGATCAATCTTTTATATTCATAATTTTTGTAAAAATCATATAACAATTTATCTTTCCAAAAAACTATAAAATAGATGATTAATCGGTTATTTACTTATTTATTATATTCAGAAATGACTATTGAATATATTAACTTCTTTTATTTGTATAAAATTTGCATAATTAAATTCATATTTACAACAAAATATCAGTTTTGGACGAATAGGTTGTTCTGTGTAAATTTTATATTAACACAAAAGAATTTTACGCAATAAATAAAATATATAGAGTTTTGTGCATTTCACTAAACACAAGGGGTTGTTATATAATTTACCTTAAAATAAATTAGGCTATGCTTATTTGAGGGTTTTAATCCAAAATTTTAGTTATCATAATTTTTTTTTTAAAAAATATTAAATCAAATATATATTTTTCAATATGTTCACTTTGTATGTTTTTGGACATTTTCATATTGACTGCATTAAATCAATATGTTGATAGACCTCACCACTTAATTACAAATAGATTAAACCCCAAAATCCTTCACACAATCCAAAAAAAAGAAAGGAAATACTTAATTACAACTGTGGCAAAAAACACCACACAGAAAGCGATCTAAGACAAAACACGAGACCAAAACTATTAAGTTTGAATACAAGTGAGAAGGTTCATCATCATCCAAATTTGGGATTACTTTCTTGTACAAAGAAAAATATTAAAATTAGTCAAAAAATATTAGGTTAGCTTTATAATCACACAAAGTAGTACTCGGTTAATCAACAATATCACAATATATTGTTCATACATTATATAAATTTATACGAATTCAATAATTTCGTACCCATATCAGAAGAATTATATTTGAACGGATTTTTTATATATATTTTTTTTCCAATTTTAACAAATCTTTAAAAATAATATCAACTCGAAAATTTAGAAAACAAAAATTTAGAAAAATTTCATAATACAGTGAATGATTGAATGGTTGAAGGAGCATTTAATATAGGAAACATGGGTATAACCTCCACTACCATCTCCACCACCAACATAGTTCACCCGACACTCCGCTGCCACCAGCACCAATGCCAGACCCAGTATCACTGTCATGCCGCCGCCGCCGCCACCACCACCACCTACACAACTTATCGTCATCTTCTTCAAAAATCAAAATCTAATGGTCCAAATTGAATTAAGCAAATGCTGAAAAATATATTTCAACACCGGATCCATTTCGATTCATAATAAACATTGCAATGACTATATTTTTCAATTATATTCTCCAACAACTATATTTTCTATCGACTCTATTTTTAATATCTATATTCTGCAACGGCTAGTTTTTATATATACGTATCCAATTCATATGCACACAATTCGTATACGCAATAGTTGAACATCTTATATTTTAAAGCACACTTCTTTTCTCTAAATATATGTGTCAGTTGGCATAAATATATGCTCAATTGTATCAAGAGATTGAGTGTATCAATAATAAAGATGAGGGACGACGTCGTCGACGGTGAATGTATATAGAGAAGAATCATGAAGTTGGCTACACTTAATTATTCAATGATTAATTTTTGATAACTTTGTGTATTCAAGTTCTTATTTTTGTTGTAGGTTTCGAATGCAAAAATATTTGTTTTTTTCGCATTGTAAATCGCCTCTAAAATGAAATGGAGTTCTTTCAACAACAGTGTGATACTACAAAAAGAGATGGATTATTACAATTACAAAAATGTACAAGAGCAAAATTTGTTTTGACATACAACACAACTACTGATACTGTTATGAACATCTTCGTCTTGAATAGAGCACCGCAAGGGGTTTCTACTTTGCGGATGACTTAATGTGAGTGTAAAATATAATTGGAGTCACTCGTGACATGATGAGAAAAACTAATAGGAGAAAGAATAAGAAGAAAGATTGCTCGGCTCCAAATGACCTAAAATTGTCTCCAACCAGGAAGGTTTCTAGCTATTTTCATAGAAAGAGAGGAAGAAAATGTCCTCAAATTCATCCTTTATTTTCGCCAATTTCACCGGTCGGGATAGGAGAGTGTCGAAAGTATTTCTTTTAAATGAGAGGATATGAGAGATGACTTTTTTTACTTTCTATTTTATTTTAAATTATAAATTAATCAAAGTTTATTTAAAAATTGTATTTCTGTACATTGATACTACTTACTTTTTGTGATTTTTATTTTTTTATTATTTATAAAATAAATTATTTTTGTATGTTTATATTGGGTTGGCTTGTTTAGTGTTTTGATTTGATTTGACTTGAATTTTTTTTTTTTTAATGTGAAGTATATAGAGAAGTGTCGGTAATATTATTTTATGTTAAATATTGATTTTTTTGAGATGATAAAATATACTTCTTTTGTCCTAAGATAATTGACTATTTTCATTAGTGATACGATATTTAATGTAATAATATTTAATTAGTTGATAATAGTGAATTATGATATTATTTTATAATTTTGTGTTATTAATTATATTGATAGTTTTAAAATAAATTTGGAGAAAAAATCAATTTTGATCTTAATATAACCAAAATTTATTAATTTTGGTCACAATATAAAAAAACTCATTAATTTTAGTCTCAATATAAACAATTTCAATCAATTTTGGTCTCATTATAAACAATTTCAATCAATTTTGGTCCACCGTTAAAAAACTAACGGAAATTGCTGACGTAGACATAACAGAAGCGGCGGGAGCTGACCTGGAAACTACACGGCCATGTACAATTATACACGACAATGTTGTTATATGACTATGTATATTTCAGTGTATAATTATACATGATCATGTTATTACACGGCCATGTAAAATTATACACGACCATGTTGTTACATGACCATGTATATTTCAGTGTATAATTATACATGACCATGTTGTTACACGACTATGTATAATTCTATACGGACGTGTACCTTTCTGTTTCGGTCTAAAATTTTATTTTTTTGTTATATTTTTAATTATGTTTTTTTGAATTTAGAAGAGTTGATATAGTTAAAATAAAAAAAATCAATAATAATAATATAATTAAAATGTATCAATTTTAATTTAAATATAAATATTTATCGAGTATGTTCTTTTGGAAGATTTTGTCTAAAATTCTACTATTTACCGAAAAACAATTTCTTACAAACATCCAATTAATTTAATTTTTAATACTACCTATAATATGCAAAATTAAAAAATAGTTGTGTAATTGAATGTTTATAAGAAGAAATTTTTTTACGAATAATAGAATTTCAGACAAAACATTTCAAAAAGAATATATCCTATAAATTTTTATATTTGAATTAAAATTGATAAATTTTAATTATATTATAATTACCATTGATTTTGTTTATTTTAACTATATCAACTATTTTAAATTCAAAATATTTTTTTTTTTTAAAATAATATAACAAAAAATAAAATTTTAGACTAAAATAGAAATATACACGGCCGTGTATAACTGTACATGACCATGTATAATTATACACTGAAATATACATGGCCATATAATAACATGGCCGTATATAATTGTACCGTGTAGTTTCCAGGTCAGCTGTCACGTCATTACCGTTATGTCAACGTCATTAGTTTTGTAACGGTGGAACCAAAATTGATTGAAATTGTTTATAATGAGATCAAAATTAATTGAAATTGTTTATATTGGAACGAAAATTAATGATTTTTTTATATTGGGACAAAAATTGATAATTTTGGTTATATTGGGACCAAAATTGTTTTTTCCCATAAATTTAATATATATAATTAAAAAAATTAGAATATGTATTTAAATATTATATCGAAATAAAAGATATATACCATATGAATATCATTTTATAGATAATAAATTTTTCTATAATGCAAGTAAATAATTTACGTTTGTTTATTTATAATTAACCTAAACTAACGATATGAAGTTTTAAATATACATAAAAATATTTTTCTTAAATAGAGATAAAAAAAAAAAAAAAGATTTGAGTGGATCTTATATATATATATTATATATTATGTAGTTAATTAAGTTGATTTATATCTAGGGATGATAACGAGTAAAGTATGGGTTAAATATAGCTGGACTCGAGACCCTACCCGAATGTATATTATTGGACCCAAGACCCTAACTAGATCCAAGTGTACTCTGGCCTAAATATACACGGACTCTATCCGCGGTGTACCCGCACTAAACCCGCCAAATTTTAACAAAAATTCAACACAAATTTTAACCGATCTGACCTCCCTAACAAATTATGTATTTATTTCAGAAAAATAAATTTAAAAAGTATATAACAAATGCTTCCTCGATCCAGCTCTAGGTTTACAGATATCCTTTAGTTACTAATAGAAGTTTTATACAAAAAAATTAAATATTAAAGATGGGGAGAGTATAAATATTCTACCGCTACCACCAACAACTTTGTAATAATAATGATAATAATAATAATAACTATGAAAATATATCTCTATTAAAAATAATAGTGATAATTTATTGTTTTAATTAATTGGATTCAAGTCTGGGTCGGATAGGATCTACTATCAAATCTTGTACCTAACTCAATTCGATTCTAAAAAGTTACTTAAAAAATTCGACACATACTCGACCTGAATCCTATATAATTGGACTCGCTCTCAGCTCTCAAATAAATGAATCGGGTTCGAATTTGTCTATCACAAGTCATTGTCATTCTTATTTATATTTGTTAAATAAATTTTACTAAATATATATATTTATTATGAACAGATAAAAGTAAAAAATGTGTCCATTAAAATATAACTATAATAGAAAATTGAGATAATCCATATGATCAAAACTCTAGACGCGCCATTTAAAAAAAAAAAAATAAAAAAAAAAAAAATAAAAAATCCGACTTGAAAAATGTAAACGAGGGTTCGGAGATTCCGAAGGCCAAGGCCTGTACACTTGCAACCTTCGTACATCTCTCCCAATGTGAATAATGCTCTCCCCTTGATGATGCTGAATTCCTATAGACTGCGGATTTCCAACCCTGGATGGGCTCACTGCTATTCTACCAATGCCGCCGCCTCTTCTCCCGCCCCCTCGCACATTGTCTGTCCCGGGCGTTCCAATCGCCGCCGTTTCGCCCCTCTCGCTGTTCAAGCGAGGGATAACGCCTACTCCGACCCGTTGCCTTCCTCTCAGCTCTCCTCCACCGTCGGATCCTCCGCCGCCTTTCAGCCCTCTAATTGGACGTTTACGCATCGTCACGTTCAGTTCCTTACTTACATAGCTTGCGCGGTGCGTATGCTTTGCCACTTGCTTCTCTTCTGCTTGCTGTTATCAATAATTTCTTGCTCATTTAGGTTTTTATGTTTCTTTTCTTTCCGATAAATTGCTATCAAAATCTACGTTGGTTGATTCCGGCTGTAGTTAGGGTTCATATGCATCTGGATTGAGCATTCCTTGATGTTTTGAAATTGTGACTTATTCGTCGGTAGAATTTGGCAATAGAAACAGTGGTAGCTAAACTTGTTCCTTGGGTTGTTTTATGCTTTCAGAACTCTCAGGTTACAACATTTGGACTTGATGTGCTATTTCTCTTGCCAAGAAAATGTCGTTTGGATATTTTTGGGATTCTTCTGTGTGTGATACAGTAAACCTTTGTTGGTCTATATATATTGAAAAGTGTAAAACATTTTGATGTATGTATTTCATTCTATCATTTCCTTAAATTTTGTATAGATGTGGTAAGTGGTACAAGTGATGGTTAGTTTAATGTGTACTGTACATCGGATTTTCAAAATAAATAACTTTGATTGTGAAATTAAACAAGGTGTAAAGATTTGGTTGTTGTTGAAAAATTTATTTAAAGAATAATTAACTCTGATGTTGTAATTTTCTCCTTGATCTATGCAATATGACCATACACCGTTTCCTGATTTGAATCAATTCCCAGCTGCACTCCCAATTCGATTGGTGTGTCGTATTCCTCAACCCTCCTAGCATTTTGAAACATTGGCTAACATTAGGCCAAAATTTCTCACCATAGAAAATTTTCCAGCATCAATTCCAGCAGCCAGTTCATCTTTCCAGATACAGTTCCAAGTCATTTGGAGCAGGGTATCACCTAGATGTTATAATTTGTATTCTTTCTTTGTAAAGTAAGTGTGTGCTTATTGTTTTGCACTTGTTTTGATGCATTTTTTACTTTCTTTACCTAGGAGGATTTGATAGTCGAACTCCTCGGATATAGAAAATGTAAATAAATTTAATATTTCACTGCTGATAGAATTAAAGTCCTCATTTGGTTTCCATTTTCTTCTGGCTGGTTGAGGCCCAAAAGCGGGTTCAGTGTCAACCTTTCTTCATGTGTCGTCTTTCAAGTGTGATTCACCACGACATAAGCCCACATTTTTGTGGGGTATTTCTTTCAATTTGTTAGATTCAAGAGACACATTAAACTATGTTCTTATATTTTTGTGGGGTATTTCTTTGAATTTCTTAGACTCAAAAGAGATGCATATGTTCTTATATCTGTGTCACTTATATATAGAGTAGGATACTTTGATCAGTAAAATTGCTTGTTACCTGTCTTAGAATTGTGATTATAATACTTGTAAAATTATATTCTATTTTCTAGTGTTCTGATATAGCTATGGCCACTTTTTTTTTTTTTGTTTCTAAAATCAATGTTAATGGGAACAATACATTTTATTTCTAGGAATATGAATTGACAGAAATGAACAGTGAAAAATGAAGGTTGTAAATATGGTACTAAATAAGTATTCCTTGTACAGGCAGCAATTTCTGCAACTTGGCTCTTCTGTTCGGCAATTCCAACACTTCTGGTATGTTCATTACTTGCTAACTGTAGAATTTTGAAATTAAGTGTCCTTACATTCAACCTGTGGTTTGAGAGGGTGCCCTAGAGAAAGTTGGTAGGCAGAATTTTATTTGGCAATTCATAGTTTTATCTACATTTATTTAAGAATGCTGGTTGTGTTTGTTTGTAATTTTCTGGTTTTGATATTTTTTAGGTGAAAATAATTGTTGGATATGATGTTTTATATGAAAATAAGTGTTGGATTGTGATATTTTTGGATGGAGAATAAAAAATAGAATGGTAAAAAAGTAGGTGAAAAAAATAAACACAAAAGAACAGTTTGCATGAATTTCTAACAAGAAATGTTAGAGCTGAAAACTTTAGCTGCTCCGGGAATCAAGCTGATATATTACGTGATGGTAACTTAGGAGCGTGAAAATTTGGCATTTACGGATTTACTAGCCAGATTAAAATATAATTCAGTAATTTGAAACTGGTAAATTGGTAATTGTGTGGTTTTAAATTACATTATGTGCATTTTGAAAACCAACACCAAATCCACTTCAAAAATTCAGCAGAGTTCATTTATTTTATAATGTGTTGATTTTGCATCTTTTTGAGTGCTGGATTCGTTAATTTGGTAACCTACCAAATCACAGGATGAAATCCAAATTTATGTTCATAAAACATACAAAAAGTAGAATAAAATAAAAATTGTAGAATCAATCTAATAGTATAGTATTTAGTTACGTTTGCTTAAATTATAACAAAAAATGACTGAAAATTAATGTTACCAAACGCTTCTCATCCTAGATGGTATAATTCATGTCTGTGCTTCTTTCTCGCCTTCTGTGGTTAAAATTTGTATGATTTTTTGAAGGCCTTCAAGAGAGCTGCTGAGTCAATGGAGAAGCTAATAGATGCAACTAGGGAAGAGCTACCCAGCACAATGGCTGCCATTCGATTATCTGGGATGGAAATCAGCGATTTAACAATGGAGCTCAGTGACCTCGGGTAAACATTATAAAACGAAAGTTCTCAAACTCATAATCTGAGCATGTATATTTTCACATTTTCATTCTTTCCATTAATAGCCAAGAAATAACACAAGGAGTGAGGAGTTCAACTCGAGCAGTTCGCTTGGCTGAAGAAAGATTGAGAGGACTAACAGCCGTGAATCCAATAGGTTAATTCAAAACAATTTGGCTTTATCTAAAAAGATGTGCTTATGCTTATTTCCTTTTTAATATGAGTTTCACTTAATTCTTTACTTAAATAGCATCCACGCAGGAAGTGATGCAGACAAAACCCCAGATAGCAGAGCCAATTCTAGCTAGAACTGCACGGGGAATGAGAGAGGGAATTGTTAAAGGCCGTGCAGCCCTGCAGATATTTTTCACTCTAAGCCGGTATTCTAAGATTCTCCTCAACTTCTTCACTTCTCGTGCAAAGTCATAATCCAGGTATACTTCCATCACATTCTACATGGTTTTTTAGTGATCGAGCATTTCTTAATAGTGTGTGAATCTTTCTTCCGTATATCTTAGGAAATCTGGACATGTGCATGTATGATATATTGTTGGATGCATGCGCTCGTCGTTATGTGTAGAATTTATGTTAGGGAATAATGTGGGTATAAAGTGTTGATCTTAGAGAACTGATGTGTTTTCCTGCCTCAATCATCATCCTGATATATATATATATATATATATGATATGGTAAATGGTTGAAAACCAACCAAACCATTATCCAAGGAACAATTGTCACTTGTCAAATATGTTGTGTTTACTTATTAACTTGTTGTACAATACTATCCATTGGATGCTTCTAAAAAAAGAATATGACTCGATAAAATTTTATTAAAAAAAAAATCCTTTGGGAATAAATTCTAATAAAAAGAAAAAAAGGTACATCATTCTTGTATTGGTTTGCTTTATTTGGTTTGGCCTTCATTTAAGATCTTTTAGCCATATCCAATTCTTTTCACCAATTAGCTTAATGTTTATGCCGGTAAAGCTTTGGTTAATAAATTTGCAAGGCTTTATTGCACATCGATCACCATTATTTTGAAGGTTATGAGTAAAGAAAATTTTGATGATACTTTGTAAAATTTTTTGTATAAGCGTTCTTCTATATAAGACACTTATAGAAAATTTTTTTTTTCTTAATTTGTACTATATTTTGATATAATAATTAATATTCAAATATCAAACACGTAAACTTTCTAAGTGAACAGAAGAAATATCTGTTTATCTTTTAGCTGTACAATGATAAATGCATATATATATATATAATAGATCGGCGTGAGTCCTGCTATATATATCCTATTTCTCTTCTTTTTTTTTTTCTAATTTTTTAATCAAAATACTCATATTAGTACTTATAATTAATTCATTACACTATCAATTAATATATTATTAATTAGTATAATTAATAATTGCCTATATTATTATCGGTCTATATAATGGAGAATATTATGGATCCCGTTACAAATATTTATTATCTTTTTTTTGTTCTTTTATTTTTTTTCTTTAATTATTATTCATTTTAATTTTTGTATTATGGAAAGGGAGAGGATTACGGGCACACATAAAATAAAGAAACAACATATGCTCTTATTACAAACAACATAATTACATATGTTGTATGTAATAAAAACATATGTTATTTGTTCATAATTACAGTGTGTTGTATGAGAGTATGTTATGTGCTAAAATCAACAATTGTATATATTGCGTGAGACTATTATGTGTTGTATTTGTATTATATTAACACATATTGTGTGTTGTCTATGGTAATACCATATGTTGTCCGTTAGCACAAGGTGTGCTATTCAGAATAGTGCTGAATTTTACATTCAACACTGTAACCGCGACGGACAACTAACCACCCAAGTTATGTTGTTTTGACCATCGTGCTCAGTTAAACATATGCTAGTTCGACATTTAATAATTTTCATAAGGTATGAACTGAAAATATTAATAGCATAATAGATTTTTACAAAGCAAGTAGCAGTATTGACAAGCCTACGCATTAATTATATGCTCACACAGAGAATATGAACTAATTGATTAGGTAAACATCTTTCCATAATGTCTTTTCTAGTTCTACTCTTAAAGGCATTATATGCTTAATAAATGTAGTAATGACCTTGCGTGTACCTTGTCATTCATGTAGATATGCATATACAAATATAATTTAAACACCGCTGATATCTACAGAAGTGGATCACATGCTGAATTGGTTAATTTCATCAATGCTGAATTTAATCAAGATCATCCAGTTATCATATTATCTAGGCAAAATTGTCCGTAATTCTCTTATAGTTTCGAAACTTTAGCTAAAATCTACCTTGTATTTTAAAAATTGCATGTCGCCTTTTTATAATTTAAAAAATATTGCATGAAACTCTCTCCCCCACTATGCAAAAAATGTAGATGAAAAACCATATTTTCATCGCACAAAAAATGTAAAAAGAGGGTTTATGTAACTTTTTTTAAAGTATAAAAATGTGTCATGCAATTTTTAAAGTACAAAGGAGATTTACGCTGAGTTTCACCACCATAGGAGAATTATGGGCACGCTTGCCTATTATGTAACAGTATCATGTTCTTATATGTATTATATGCCGTCATTTCTCTTGGTTCAATGGCTCCACCAAATTATAAAATAATGAAATGCATTGTAGAATTAAACAAACACTACAATAATATTTTAGAATTTAAGCAATGACATCGTCAGGATAGCAGGAATTAAAATTTATTTTATTTACTATATCAACGGTATATTTTGAACACACAGCTCCCTATTTATTTTTTTTTGAAAAAGGATACAGAGAACGTGTGTGGTGGTTTGTGGGTATGGATGGATATTTGGCGTCTGCTCAATACAAATTATTATCACTCAACTACAAAGTTTGTCTTAATGACAAACCAAATATTAATAACGATCTCATCACTTAATTTAAATCTTAGTTATTAAATAATATGGTAAACGGACGTTGCTAATTAAAATCACCAATATTGAATTTAACTGATTCATGATGTGATTCACTTCCGATGTCCACAACCAATAATAAATCATTAATTTAAAATATATTTAAGTTGTATATATATATATATACACACACGACTGAAACTTTTATCTTGCTCTATTTCTTTGAAAGGATATTTTTATTGAGATAGCAACTTAAAATATTACTACAACCAAAATAGATCATATCAAAGTCTTATATATATATACTTATTTCCGACATGACAGGTATTTATATACATATAAAGAAGTTAATCTAAGTTAGAATGATGTATTAACTAATTTTATTATAGGCAAACAAGTTCTTGCTCACAACCTCCTAAAAGTAGTAAACAAGAACATTTTGTTTTTTTTTAATCCATGTAAGAACAATTAGTTAATACACCATTCTACTTGGATTATGAAAGGCTTTGACATAATATGTTTTGGTTGCATTAAAATTTTTTAATTGTTATCTTGGAGAAAGATATCCCCGCAAACAAAAGAGCAAGACAAGAGTTTCACTCGTGATATATATATATACAACTATGTATTTTTAATTAATAGTTTATTGATTGTTGTTGATGTTAGAGGTGGATCACATGCTGAATTAATTAATTCAGCATTGTTGAATTTAATCAGCAACGTATATTCATCATATTATCTAATGGATAGGATTTAAATTAATCGACGGGGATCGTTAGTATTGTTTGGTTTGACATTTGAGGTGGGCTTTGTTGTTAGGTGACAGTAATTTGTGTTAAGCGGACGCAAAAGTCCATCAAAGTACCGCACGCTTATTGTTTATTTCTTTGTAACCTATTATTTTTTGCTTATTGTTTATGATGTGGTGAGCTATGTGCGCATAGTGTTGTTGATCTAGTAAACAAATTTAATTTTGATTGCTACGTTCTTGATGATGTCATTGCTTAAATTTTAAAACATTATTGTAGTATTTTTTTAATTCCACAATATATTTTATTTTTTATAATTTGGTGGAGTCATTAAGGAGGACATGATATACATGCAGAGTATGGTATCGTTAGATAATGTGATAAATGGACAACTTGATTAAATTCAGTATTGTTGAAATTAAACATGTTTTGCATATGTCAAATGTGTAAATTATGTGTATATCCGTGTGAATCACATGATAAATGCAAAGACATTAGCCTTGAGTTCCGATGGAAATATGTTTGTCTCTAATAAGTTGGTTCATATTCTCTTTATGAATTGATAATTCAACATAGGCTTGCCAAAACTATTACTTGCTTTGTAAAAATCTATTATGCTATTAGTGTTTACCATTGGAACTTTGTGAAGATTATTGAATGTCAAATTGAAAAATGCTTAATTGAGCGCAATGGGCAAAATAATACAGCTTGGGCAGTAAGTTGTTTGTAAAAAGAAAATTCAAAATTAAAGTGAATAATAATAAAAGTAAAAAAATAAAAATTACTTATTTTAAAAATATAATACATATACATAATGAAATCCATAATATTGGGACAATTCCATATAAATCTCTTACACCAAGTCAATTTTCCTTTTAACTCCATAATTAATTTTTTTCTCAATTAACTCCATATTCTAAATTATTTATTCTTTTAAACTCTTCTATTATTAAAAAGACTTAAATACTCCTGTTATGTTGACTTTTATCCCCTTGACAAACATAAAATCAAAAGTTGTTCCATCATTTTCACCTAGTATAATTGTACGTGTTGAATCGCCGGTTCAGATACATTTTTCACTAAAATTTTGTATTTCGACTTTTCTCTCATCAATCAGGTATTTTCTACACTTGAAAATGTAAATTATTGGTGTATTTTATACTACCTCTGTCCGGCTCTAAGGATTTCATTTACTTTTTGCATGTTGATATTTGAATATTAATTATTATATATAAACGTAGTACAAATTAAGAGAAAATGATAAAAATATTTTTTATTAGTATATTATAATATTGTTATGATAAAAAATTATACAAATATAAAAATATTTTTAATGTTAAATACAATGATGCAAAAGGTAAATGAGACTCTTAGAGTCGGACGGAGGAAGTACTATTTATTTGTTGTTTATAAGATTTTAAGGTTTATGTGTTCTAATATATAGTTGATATTTTTTATCGTAATATAGCAATGTATAAAAAAAATGACGACAAGAAAAATCATCGTAATTTCTCTCAATTGTCTCAGCTTTTGGTAAAAGAAAAATAGGTCTAGACGAATATACCCATTCAATTTTAGAATCGCTAATAACAGAAATAATATTCACTATAACCTGTAAAGTGAAAACGCCTGTCCTCAAATTGAACTTCCTTGGTCAGGAAATCTGCCCCGATTATGGCTTTGTATTGGTTGCTAAACTTATTTACATACCTTTAAATAATATGTCAATGAAAACAACAGTATCAATGAAACCAAATTGGATCACCAGACTAATAGATTCTGTAAATGCAATAGGAGTTATTTTAACTAAGTAATGAGTGTTTTAAGGATATTGGTTCATCGATGAGGTCTTCCCCACCCTGCAATTATACACACACAAAAAAAATAAATTGTTGAGCAAGAAAAAAAATCAATATGTAGGGTTTTCGAGAATGGACTTATAAAATTGGACTAAGGATTTGTGTAAAGTCTAATGGGTATGTTAATGACAATGTGATCCTAAATGGGTTTGAATATAAGTCAAACGGCCCAAGTGTTATTAAGAAATGGGTTTTTCGGGAGAAACCTGTGATTAAGAGGTCGGACAAGGAGAGGTTGAACGAAAAAGGGAAAAACAATATACACTCATGTCGGGTGGCATATAGGTCGGACAAAAGGAAGACGGACAAAGAAAGATGAAACGGCCGATACTGAGGTCGGGCAAAAGGAAGTCAGGAGAAAAAAATGAGATGGCGGATACAGAGGTTGGACAAAGCGTAAGGCGGACGAAAAGAGAGATCGCAGTGGATATGCAGGTCGGGCCAGCCGCCCAATTAAGGCGGTAAGGTGTTTAGAGGCGGTCGGCCGAGCCAGTTGAGTGCTGTAACAGGTGTGAGCGGTTGGTGAGTCGGTTAAGACACGTGTCGACAGAGGAGGACCTTGAGGGGGGTTGACGGCGGCTGCTGTGGGACAGTTGAGAGAAGTTACAACCGGCGAGCGGATATGAAGGCACGACCTGGCTGAGGGCGGTTGACATAGGTTTTAAATAGGTTTGTCCATGACCTACAAAAACCATCTTCAATCGACAATCAAATTCAAAGAATTTCTTTTGGGATCACCATTTTACTTTTTCAGTATGTAGTATTTATTTTCAGTATCGTACGGTATTTAGGGATTCTTAAATCTCAGGCATTTTATTTTATCAAATTCGAAGATAATTTCTATTTTCGAATTTTACTTTTTATTGTTGAAAATTTGCATAAACATAAATAAATATACAATTAACACAAGAAAAACCAATCACAGCAACGTAAACATAAAATTGCAGTCATCTTAAAAATATATATATATATATAATTGCAGCCAGAATGTAGAATCGTTATTCAACATGATGAAATATAATAAATTACATCTAATTAAAAGTAATAAAATTTAAATATATAATTTAAATTTCACATAAAGTCAGATAAAAATATATTTATTTTGAATAGCATCATTTTAGGAACTATAAAATTTAAATTAAATATATTTATTCATAAATAAAGTATAAATTTAAATATAATTAAAATGCACAGGAAAACCTGAATAAAAAATATAGCGGGATTTTTTCCACGCATTTATTTTTACTTTCACTCCACTCTTCCATTTACTTTTATCCACAATCACATTACTCACCACTTATTTTACAGACCATTGTGTTTCTGCAAACTACTTTTGTTGTCAGACAACCCTGCTCCCTGCCTCCGGAGAAACTTGCTGCCACCATCGGATCCACCATTGATGCCGCCGGAACGACCACCGCTGCAATCGTATTATCAGATATTAAAAACAACTTATTTTTTTATTATTTTTATTTAATCCAATTTCATAAAAATGACATAAATTATTTACTCAGCATTTGCGTGCTTTATATCCCTAATTTGGTCAATTTTCTCTTGCGAAATTGAGTAGAGACAAATGATATCCTTCTTATTTGCTTTATTGGTAATCATACTAAACCTTATAGATAATTTTTCTGCACTGCTTATGGCATTTTTTTGACTGCATACATACGTGATACACAAGACGACGGTGGTTTAACCTTTTTTTTTTTTTTTTTTTCTGTTTTGGATTTGCATTTATTTTTACTGTATTATGATGATGTAGTGATATGTTAAAATACGAAACGGATCTTATCATAGTGATATATTGAAATAAGCAAGGGATGTGGATTCGGAGATAGGGATTGATGACTATATAATTTGATAGCAAATGTTGCAGGATTTTTTTATTTTTTACTCTTTTTATATGCAACATTATGCATATGTCCTGCAGAATTATAGTAATTAGTTAAATTAATATAATAAACATAACCTATAATAATTACTTAATCTTTCTAGGTGATTTATCTCTTCCTTGGTTGCTTGACATGAATAATCGACCGCTATTATTTCCGAATGATAATTCAAGTGATGCTCCGAATGATGGTAATAGAAATAATCTACCTAACAATCTCCATCCGGATAATGAAGTTGATGCACCCTTCAATGATGAACGCACTTTCATTAGTCCGTTGTTGTTTGAGTAAGAATATCTATTTGTATACATTTATGTATAATTTTTTGTAATTGCAAACTTTCTAATAGATATTTGACATGCCAGTACGTTTTATCGTCCATTTCACTTCTTATGAACTAATAACATATATATATTTTAATATAATAGAGCTATCCATGGTTTGGTTGGTCGAATACGAAGCATTATGACCTCGAATTACAATGGTTCGTGGATCTTTTATTCAGATATCCCAAGTTGGAAAAGGGATGAGTGGTTTCATATTTTTAAGGTAATATTTTGATTGTTTAGTTAAATTTCAAAAGTTTTGTATTTTTTTATTGATGACTTTTTTTATAGCATTTTTATATCGCTGGGAAATTGCTCATGAGCATGCAATTCGTGGGTTATTCAATAATAAGTGCTCAGACGTACTACGAAGTGCTTTAAAGACGCCGCGGTCAAAGAAGGAAGTCCCAGACTAGTTGAATTCCATTTACTTTCGTGACATGATAAAGCAATGAGAATCAGAGAGCTATCGCAAATTTTAAAAAAGAAATATTGACAACCGTAATAAGAATCTTGAAGCAAAACTAAATCAGTACCGCGGTGGATGCTTGTCGACTCGTCTCGTTATGAAAAGAATGGTATTCCAATTCATATGTTTGCAATTCTCTTTCAAATATTCATTATGTTTATATAGTAAGTTAGTATGAATCTTATTCTTATTTAAATATGTCACATTGAATTATTAGTTTTCTAAGCCATCCAGTTCGATGACTCTACGGTATATTTAGATTAGTGTTAATATCTTGAATGATATAATTGTAAATATATATATGTGCACCAAAAGAATTTAATGATGATATATTTTGTAGGATTTATAAGCATGCTGTCCATTTTTATTTCTTTTATATGCGGCCTTTATTTATATGTAGAGTTCCTGTACATATATTTATTTTTTTTAAAATACTGCAGAATTTTTATATGTTTTTCATGATTTCTATGTATGTGATGCAAATCTTAATATCTTAATGTTATATAGTTATTTTAATTCAACTCGATGTTCTAAATCATGATATCGGGTGTGTTTACTTGTCTGGTTTTACACCTGATTTTACTATTCAAACTTTTTTTTTCCCAAAAAAAAATCAAATCAAACACCCAATTTTTATTTATTTTATTACACTAAAATTTAATTTTACATTCAAAACATCACATAAACACATATTTATATCACATCAAAAACCTCACAAGTAACGCTTCTAATTTTTTTTTTTATTTTTTATTTTTGTATATTTGTGATTTTGTGTAAAATTTGTAGTTAAAGAATTAGCAAGCTATATAAGATATAATCATTAATTGTTGTTAGGATTGAGTTCTATACAATTTATTTGAACACACCAATGCATGATTTTCTTAATTGTAATTGCAAACAGGAATTAGACTTAGGCCGAATACCATCAGAGCTTGAAATGCACCGAAAATGTTGGCGAAAGCCAGATGGCACATATGCATCCAGATTAGCGGCTGAAGTCAGATAACTCATTCACTTAGTAATTTTATTATATTGCACAATTTTGTATAGTTTTCGTAATATTCTCTTCTACGTATAGGAAACTCTTATTAATTCCACTCAAGGTACCCAAAATAGTTTTGTTCAAGCATCTCCAAAGAATCTTGTTGATGCATACGGGAGATTTAATCGTAAAGGTCGAGTGCCCAGGTTAGGATCACGTGGAAAGACGGCTAGAGTGGTGCTTTGTGGTTCTTGTTCTCGAGGTGAGAAGTCAATTATAATAGTTAGAGTTTGCTATATTAATAACTAGTTACTATATTAATTTTGAAATTCATGAGTCTTGCTTTCATTTATTAGCATTATATATAAGTTCCTATTTATTTTTATCTTATTTGTTATTATATTGCGGAATCATATAATATTTATTTATTGATTATTTAGTTATATAACTTTTTAACTTATTAATAGAATAATTATTCCTACAAATCAGGTGCACCAAATTATCCGTCACCTCCATCCATGGACCATTTAGATGAAATTCGCTCGACACAAAATGAGTTGGTTGAGACAAAAAAAAAAGCACTCGAGGAGGTTTGTTTCATATCAAATAAATCATTTGATTATTTTGTATTTTTTTTATAGAATTTTATTAGTAAGTTTTGTATAATTTCACAGATGACGAAACAAGTCAAGGCTCTATCTCAATGGGTATGCATATTCATAATCCTCACATCCATTTTAGTGAAAAACCTGGTCTTCTCAGCCGCCGATGCAAGCTTCGAGCCATATGAAAGATCTACCACTTTTAGATGAGAATGATCCTATTGGATTTATTCCAACATATGAATGAGATAATAAGGAAGAGGATGATGATGATGATAACAAATGACTCTATGTCCCACGAGGAGTAATGGTTTTTAATTGCACTTATTACAAATTTAATTTATTTCTATCTTTTACTTTTTAAACTTATTACCATGACAATTTATAGTTTTATTTTGGTGTGTGGTTGGATAATTTCATATAGTAGTTTTATTTATGATATTCATATGCATTCATTTTGGTGAAAATACCGTGGAGAATAAAATAATCAAATTAATCAATATATTTATGTATTGGATTGTGAACAATATTATTTCATTTGTTGCTACAATTATTTTAAAATAAAATATAGTACAGGATTTCAAATATTATCATAGTTGTTCGAGACAACATATCGTCTCAAAAATTACCATAGTTGTTTGAGATAAAATATAGCCGAGTTTGAGGAAAAGTATATCTCGATAATTGTCATTGCATTTTGTGACAATATTTAGTCGCGAAATTTCAGAGACAAAATATTGTCACAGAATGTCTGTGGCGGTTCATGACAAATCATGGTCTCGGATGTTGTCACGGTTGTTGAAGACAATTTAAGGTCGCGAAAATTGTCATGACCGTTAGAAACAAAATGTAGTCTCGAATGGTGTCATAGTTGTTCACGACAAAATATAGTCTCGAATAATCTCATGGTTGTTCACGACAAAATATAGCCTCGAATGTTGTCATGGTTGTTTGCGACAAAATATAGTCTCAGATGTTGTCATGATTGTTCAAGTCAATATTTAGTCTCGACGGAGTTTGCGGGAATTCTCGAGACATTTTATTGTCACGACAATCTCTCAGTTAACTTGTCGAGACAATATGTCTCGTCATTTTGTGACTTTCGATATTGTCACAAGCAAACAGCCACGGAAACGGTGTCGAGACAATTGCCGAGATTATTCAATTAATTGTCTCGTATTCATAAACACGCCGAGACAATTTGTCTGAGACAATTTTCTATTTTTCTGGCAGTACCTGTAAATATCTATGTATTCTCACTTTAATATTGTTTGCGTACTTTATAGTAAAAATCCTGACTTGGTAGTGCCCCAGACATAGATCATCGAATTGGGTTACCAAATTCTGGTGTCTTTTTTTGTCTCTTCTTAATTTTTTGGAATTTCCGTAACATCGAGCTTAATTTGCAAGCTATTAAGTTTGATCGGATCTAATTTGCAAATTATTAGATTTTATCTCGATTCCCAATCTTTCTTCTTCATCTTTTATATATATATATATATATATACATACATTTGTCTATACTATCCAATATTCAATATACGTGATTTAATCTCTACAAACATCACAACCTTACTCCTCTCTAAACATAACAAAAATACATAGTCAAAATAAAAAGCCCTTTTATGTCTTATTACATTAAAATGTGTTATTTCTAATACATTCAGTCAAGTTTTCACTTATTGTTTACAAGTTAAATATACATCTTTACTATCAGTACGTAGAAATCGTGTGCGTGTGTTTCTTCTCATCATGGCTAGCCTTGTAAATCAACTGTCGGCTGGTGGTGGATTAAAGGCAATTTCTGTTTGTACAAAAATAAGTATATATAAGCATGCATTTTGGTGAAATAGTAGAATTATATGTTTTTATTCTCTCTAGAATTGAACTTACTATTATGCGCTGACATTTCTAACAGCTGCGGCTACATCCATGTCTTTGGCATTTCGCTCGTCCTCTTTCTAGAGGTCAAAGCCGATTCGAATGTTCTCAACTCCGCCCCAGCATCCTGATCAAAGGCCGTAACGTAGCCTTGCCGGGAAGGGCTTCCCGGACCACTAATACAATAACGCATCATGTGAATTCCCTCTCAAGTGGTGTATTTGAAGGGTATGTTTGTTTGAGGGATTTGTAAGATTTTCACTATTCATTAAAATTTTTTTCCTCAAAACATCAAATCAAATATTTATTTTTTATTTTTTTTACAGTATATTAAAAATTAATTTTATATTAAAAATATCACATCAACACCTATTTATATTACATCATACAACTATTTCAATTCAAAAATTTTACTATTTAAATCCCAAAACAAGTCCAAACCCCCAAATAAACACACCCGAAGAGTAAAGTTCCCATAATCTTGTAATGAAGCGAAAATCATATTTGAAGGTAAGTAGTGTATGTGAATTTTAATTATGTAGCTCTATCTTGTAGCATTTTTAAGTCGAGTGCACTTCCCCGCTTGCATCTTGTATAATGTGACTAAGGGTTTTGTGGTGTATATATTGTTATGGTTTTGTTGGGAAAATTTGGATGTGGGTAAATGATATAAATCATTAATATATATATTTTCCAAAGTTTGTACTCTCTATTCTATACTATGGAATATACCAAATTAATTATGTCAAAATTTGCACTTTCGGATTTGGTATGAATTAAGAGATGTGGAAATTAAAAATTTTCGCTATTTTTTATTTTGTACAAGATCGAAATTAATTGAAGGGGATTATGGCATTTGGGAAGAAAGGCATTGTTTCATTCAAAATATGAGTTTTTGCATCTAATTAATGGTTAAACCTGATGTTTGATCGGTTTATCTGTTATATATTACCTTATGCCTTATAATTAGATTTAATGATGGACGACAATTATGCTCAATGAATATTAAAAATATGTGAAAAAATACGAGTAAGCAAACCCTATATATGAGGATACTAATTAAAATAGCAACCTTAAAACTTACATTTGATTGACATGTTTGACACAAGGACAACATCCATGTCTTCTTTGTTATGCTTTTGTTGGGAAAACTTGGATATAGGTAAATGAGACAGATCATTAATATACATTTTTCAAAGTTTGTATCTCTATTGTCCCTTATTTGGAACGATACCAGAAAGATTAGCCTCTTTTGTGCAAGGATGACATGCGTAAATCGAGAAATGGTCCAAATTATACAAAACTAACTGTGTCGTCATTTTTGGATTTGGTGTGAATTGAGAGATGCGGAAATCAAATTATCCCACTATTTTTTATTTTGTGTGCAAGACCGAAATTAATTAAAGGGAAATATGGCATTTGGGAAGAAAGGTATTTTTCCATTCAAAATATGAGGTTTTGCATCAAACTAATGACTAAACTTATGTTTGATCTGTGTATCGATTATATATATAATACATGATGCCTGAAGAAAGATCTAATGCCCTATAAGATTTAGTGTTGGGCAACTGATGCTCAATGAATATGAAAAAGTATTGTGGAAACATATGAGTAAACAAACCCTATATTTGAGAATACTAGCTAAGGGCATCTCTGCATGCTTTTTCACTTATGTTGCTGCCTCTTTGATTTTCATTATTACCTCTCTAAAACGATGACACCAATTGATTGAATAAAATATAATGGAACGTGCATATATATATATATATGTATGTATATAATTATTTAAATGTTTCGATATCTTATTTTAAGTAACAATTGATGAAAATAGTATTGCCATTGATGTTTCCATGTTAAGAAACCCACTTTTATCTCTTGTATTGAGGTGAGTAGCATATTTGTTTTCTTTTACATTTGTTTTCGACTGTATTTATTTTTTTGGAATGCATTTTATTGAAGGTTTTAAGTCCCGCATAAAAAATGAGCCATCATACTTGTGAGTAGACACTACAAGAAAATATCATTTTTGTAACGAGATTTTTTCGTCTTTAAATTCACTTTTTTCGTTACTAATGATATTAGCGACGGAATTAATGATGGACTTACGTTAGCTACGTAATCTTTAGGGACGAAATTCTGCTACAAATATACTATTTTTTTTTGTAGTGAGATAATGATAGTTATGTTTCATTGAAATATATTTGACCTATAAGTTTATACTCCCTCCGTCCCATAACAAAGTATCCATTTTTCCATTTTAATCTGTCCCATAACAAAGTATCCATTTTTCCATTTTAGTCCGTCCCATAATAAAATATCAATTTCTTTTTTTAGTAACTGTACTGTCTACCTTACCTTACAACTTACAATATATAAGTTATTTTAGTCATTTTTACTTTATTCCTACTACATCCCAATATAATACTAATATTTCTAAAATTATGTGTAAAAAGCAAATTGATATCTAATTATGGGACGGAAGGAGTATTGATCATGCATATTATAACTACTATAATGTCTACAAAGGTTTTAAGTGATGCATTGAATAAAGATACTAGTGAAATCAAAGCAAAGATTAATAAGTCAAGGTAGGTAGCTTCAATAAGAATTAATAAACTTGCAAAAAATATGAACTAAATAAAATAATGAAATAAATCTATATTAGAGAGATAACTAAGTAAGCATATATAGTTTAGAAAAACTTATCTTGTACTTTTACTAAAGAATGACATCAAATGCATATTTATATATTCTTTTGGTTCATTTTGAAAGTATATATTTATTTTTTGTGCGAAATTTAAAAAATAATAATATTTTAATTATAGTTGATAGTCGAAAATAATGTAAAGACAATTTTGTCTTTGCTTTTTTTTTTATGTAAAAACAATAATGTAATGATAAAATATGAATATTCGTAAAAATAAAGTGTGATCTATAATTACTAAAATAAATTAATTACTTTGTAATTGAACAATTCAAAATAAAAATGTGTATATTTTGTTAATGGACAGATACAAATTATTAAATAAACTAGCATCACTTTTTACTGACTCAATATCATCATTAATTGAACGTATAGGCGCTTTTTTATTATATTTGTCAATATCATCATTAATTGAACATATAGACGCTTCTTTATTATATTTGTCGTTATTCATTTATTTTACTCTGGGATAAAAGATATTTTTTCTCTATAACTTTCATACAAGAAAAAACGAACTTTCTTTTGTAGTACTTGTTTCCTTGTGTGGAGTACAAGCAATCATTGATCCCGAAGAAAAAAAAAACAACCAAATCAATAGATCTTTAATTATCGCACTTTCATGATAAATATAAATGAACTTATAAATTACGTTAAATATAATAAGAAACTCCTTAAATTCCCAATACAATGCGAAATAAACTATTCTCGAACATCAAGTAAATCTATAAAACCTTAAGAAGGATTGACAAAAAAATCATTATATACCAAATTGTTGGGAGAATTAACAGAGAAGATTTGTGTTTGTTAAATATTTTAGATTAAGTATATTTTTATTACTCCCTCCGTGCCAGATACCATGTACACGTTACCGTTTTTGTCCGTCCTACATACCATGTGACTTTAACACACTTTAATCTTATTTTAAATTTTTTAATTTTAATTAAACTAATTAGTTATCTTAATCTTAATTTATAATTATTTATAGAATAATTATTTTCACTAATACATTCTTAATTATATACTAATTACATCCCTCCTAAAATACCGTGTCTACAGTGTAGCAGACACGATATCTGTGACGGAGAGAGTATTATGTTTATGTAAAAGATGGAGAATATTGTAGAATAGAATATATGTATTGAGAATAGTTTCAATAAAAATTTGTAAAATCGTTCGGGTGAACAAATTTTTTTTGTTTATATTCATTTTTATATTATGCAGCCGCGAAAGACAAGTCTTGCGAAAACAAACCAAGGGTGTGTTCGTTTGTAAGATTTGTGCAAAATCTTACTATTTATCTAATTTTTTTCCTCCAAAAACATCAAATCAAACACCTATTTTTCATTTTTTATATTATACTAAAAATCAAATTTTACATTCAAAACATCACATCAACACCTATTTATATCACATCGTACAACTATTCAAATTCAAAATTTTTACTATTCAAATCCCATCTCAAAATCCAAACCTCCAAACAAACCACCCCAAGATTATATGAGTGACTATTCGGGTGGCATTATGTCATAACTGTAAAATCCAGGGGCTTGAATATAAAAGATGGATTTTGCCAAATGCTCCCCTTTAAAAGCAAAGTAGGGTACCACCGCACCGCACCGCACCGCACCGTACCAAGGTTACAGCGGCAAAGCCCTGACGCCGCAAATCTCTCGTTCGTTGTCAGGCGAAAATTGTTCTTGCAAATCTGGTGAAGTATCTACGCAGTTTGCTTCAATCTACTCTAATCCATTCGCGTTCTGTGGGAAATTCATTGCTTGGTATGGATTCTACTCAACTTTTATGTGAAATCGGATTTTTGGAATAGTTTACTTGATTTCGGTACGTTGTTTCGTTTCTTTATGCCATCTATAACTTTGATTCCTGAATTGGTTGTATTGTAAGGTTACTTAGTGTTTTGATCGGTACAGGAACATTTCTTGAACTGAACGGATTGTATACAAAAACAAATCATGACGGAGACGGATTATGCTGTTGATAGGATTAGCGATCTTCCCCGCGATATCTTAAATAAAATTCTATCCTACATGCCTTTGCGCGATGCTGTGAGGACGAGCACACTGTCGTCACAGTGGAGATACAAATGGACAACAATTCCAGACCTTGTTTTCGATCGATATCTCGAAAGATTCTTGAATAGGCACAATATGGAAGCTGTGGTCGATCAAGTTTTGTCGCATCATGACGGGGCCATTACAAGGTTCGCAATAAACAATTGTCATATCCAAAGCTATTATTCGGTCGGTCGCTGGCTGTCTTACTTGTCCAACCATGGTATTAAAAGCCTCGAGTTTTCGCCTAAATATTTAAATATGGTGCCTGTTCCCCTCACTGGTTTTGATCAACTCCGACATTTGCTTCTTGGAATTTCCTGTGTCGTCAAAATTCCTCCTTCGTGGAGAGGACTTAACCAACTTATTGCGCTACAACTTATCCAGGCCAATATCGAAGATGGTGACTTACATTTGTTGCTATCTAAATGTCCAAAGATTAAGCACTTGGATCTGAGGGTGGGCTTTAATTCTGGTTTCTTAACTTGTCTATTTTTCCTTAAATCGAATTAAATTTCTAATTGTTTTTCCTTTTTGTGTTTTAATTTTAGATCCGCAGCCAAGGTGGGATTAAAGAACTCCCAAACAAGCTCGATCATCTCACTGATCTAGATCTTGGCACTATGTCCTTTGTAGACCTGGGAAATATCAAACTTCTTTTAAGCTTGATCAAAAGCTCCCCAAATTTGCGGAGTCTTAGACTTTATGTTAGTGCTACTCGTTTACATTTCATTTTTACATTTCATTACATTGACACTATTTCATTCTTTCTTTTTCTTAGAATGCCGCAAGCATTGGTGAGAATGGCGTCACAGAATATCTGAAGGCGCAAGACGATCTTAAAGATTGTCTTGGGTGCCTTGAAGATGTGATGATCCACTTAATGATGGACTTTCCAGCCGAGGTGGAGTTGGTGAAGCTTCTTTTGCGGTCGGCGCCTGTGCTTGAGAAAGTCGATATATATACTTCTAAGTCACATTTCGACGCGCCAATAAGAGAGTTTAAAAACACCAAATGCGCGTCGTCTAAGGTAAAAATTATAGTTCACACCAATTTCATGTACTAGTTATCTATTCAACTGTAATTTAGAGACTTGTTTTCTTGTGATCTTATTAAAGCAAAACATAAGCAATGAAATGAAATAAATAGTAGAGAAATGCTAGGTATGCAAATATTGTTCGATCGAAGAATTTTTTTTGTGCTCTTATACTCATTTATAAAGTGAATCAAGTTTATAGGTGATTAAATCAACACTATATGATGATGGCTAAAAACAACATTTATTGCACGTATTTTATGACTTTTAGTTATAGATAAATAATTTCTTTGTCGCAATTCGTTTACTCCACATGAGGATAAGCGGGATGGGTTGCTGCACAAAGATCTTGATGGTCAAAACAATATCATTCCGGGTGTAGAATAAAAGAATTCCTTTTGTCGTATTCGTCCATTTATGGCATACAAACGCCAATATAACGGTTTTTTGTTGGGTAATTAACTTTGATGCGGCACGTGCGAAGTTCGAGTACTATCCCAAGGTTACAAGCCTACTTTCACATCATTAAGTTATCTCGTAACATTTTATATAGAAAACATAAATATATAATGGACCTTCTATTTGTATTGGGCCTTAGGCGGAGAGTTAACGGTCCGATTTGTGGAAGTATCTGAAAGTGTATGTAGATTTAACAAACCACTTTTTTCCAAAGGAAGTTGGTATTTCAATGCTTGTTCAAATGAACCAAAAGAGTAGTAAAATAAGAATAAAACAAATGTGTGTACTCTGTGAATTTTTACGAGAGTCGAATAATTAATGTTTCAATGGGGAAGTGTGTGTGGTGTGTCAAGGTGAGAAAAGTGAGAAAATATCCTCCAAATTGAATGAACCTGCTCTCCCGTCACAAATAGATTCTCCATCGACTCAACTCCCGTAAAGTAATAAAAAAAAAGAAAACAACTGGTTTGCAGGATATTAGGTTTGGCGGGGGGCTTATCCAGTTCGCACTTTCGGGTAGCGACTGCAGGTTTCTACGTCATAAAAAAAAAAAAAATACAAACTAAAATGTTATACTACTTACGTCCGGCTCTAAAGATTTAATTTACTTTTTGTCTATTGATCTTCGAATATTAGTTATTATATTAAAATACAGTACAAATTAAGAAAAATTTGCTAAAAAAGTATATATACAAATATAAAGATATTTTTAATGTTAAGTTCAATAACGCAAAAGATGGGTAAATGTGACCTTAGAGATGAACGAAAGGAAGTATATATTTATATAAATATAGAAAGAGAATTGAGAGGATGAAACTATATTCTCTGAAAAATATATATATTTATATATATAAGGGGTTCAGCTAGGGTGTCGAATTTTAAAAAATTCAGTATCATGTTGTTATACCTTGAAAAAAATTACATAGAATTATTCTTAAAAAATTCAGTATCATGTTGTTACACCTTGAAAATAATTACATATAATTATGATAATTATATAAAATAAGATGAGATAAGATATAATATATATATATATATACATGGTACTTCCTATGTCATTGAAATTCATGTTTACTTTTTCTTTTTTATATCATACAAAATATTTTTATTTATTTTTTATTAAAAAAATATTATTTTCTTTTTGTTACTATATAAAAAAATTATATTTTTACAAATTCTTCTCAAAACTCATGTCCGGTCAATGAGTATAAATTTTTATAACTGAGGTGGTCATGCAATAGAAGGTACCAAAACTTTTCCTATAGTTGGTCCAACTTGAATGCACAACCGATTTTTTCACGGAATTGCGTGAGTATCGATCCCAAACTTCCGAAATGAAATTGCGTCTACAAAATCCATGTGCTAGCCAATATAATTATACGATATGTGTGAAGTACTGCTCAAGTTGATAAGTCCAATTCGCCCGAGGTGTCCGTGGAGCATCATGGGTTACTCATCGTCTATACATTTGTTTTAATACAGTAGAATGAGATATGTTTCATATCAAGCTATTATTAAAATAAAATATCAAGCTAAAAATATAACTAAATAATAGTACAATAATATTTTTTATCCAATTTATCATTTTTATTAATCAGTTCATTTTTCAACTAGCAACATAGTCATATTCTTTTTATGCATAGTATTTATTTTTTTTACAATTCTCAACTGAATTCTTTGTTTTACAAACAAAAAAAAATCAATTCTCATTCTCTTCATTATCTATTTTTATTTCTGTCCAATTTCATTCTCTGTAGCGCATCAATTACTTTGGTTTTGGTTATGCATCATATGACATACAATTTTTAAATACTTTATTATAAAGATATGTGCAATGATATTAGAGAGAAAAACATGACTTGAGCTGAACTTGGTTTTGGAATTTTTAAAAGATTTAAAACAATTTGAATTTTAATATTTAAAAGTATACTTATTGCGTATTAATAAACTTTGAGGGTGCGCCTAAAATTGACTGGATTCTATATACTTCTTATGTCCCATAATAAAGTATCCATTTTTTCATTTTAGTCCTATATACTCCCTCCGTCCCATAATAAAGTATCTATTTTTTCATTTTAATCCGTCCCATAACAAAGTATCTTTTTTAGTAACTGTACTGTCCTGTCTACCTAACATTATAAATACCCTTACAACTTACAATATATTACACAAATGTCATTACCTTTATATCACATATACTAATAAGGTTATTTTAGTCATTTCTACTTTATTTCTACTATATCCCAGTATAATACTAATATTTCTAAAACTAATATATTTAAAAACATAATATATTTTCTACCCTAAGTTTTTAATTTTTATTTTTAAATAATTATACAAATTATTTGTTGCAAATAATTTGTTTATTTTTTAAAGTTTTAAATTGTGAAGAATAATTACACTAACAATTTGCTTACAATAATGATTTCGTTAAATTAATTAATATTTCATATCCCATCTTAATTGACATATTTTTATTTTTAGTAAAATTTAATCAATCAAAATATAATTAATAAATATAAATCAAGTTTATTAACTATATAATACACAACATCATATATCATATGACCAATTCAAAATTCCCTTTATTTCTATCAATTTTTTTAAAAAATAAATATTTTTATATATATTTAAAATTATATCTCTTTTATAAATAAATAAACAAATTTTTTTATCTACTTGTATTATAAAAATTATATTTTCTACAAGAATGATATTTATATTGTATATATTTTTTATTACGATATAATTTTAAAAATATTTGAATACATATTCTAATTTTTTTTTAATAACATATACTACATCCGTCCGGCTCTAAATATCTCATTTATTTTTTGCGTGTTGATATTTGAATATTAATTATTATATCAAAACATGGTACAAATTAATAAAAAACTACAAAAATACTTTAAGTAGTGTCTTATGAAATGAAATTTGTATAAAAAATTATACAAATATAAGAATATTTTTTAATGTTAAATATAATAATGCAAAAGATAAATGCGACTATTAGAGACGGACGGAAAGAATACTAAATTTATTTAAAAGTATCAATATTATTAATTATATAAAAAATAATATAATAATATATTAACTAACTATTATTAATTAATTAAATATTATTACTTTAAATAATGTATCCACCAAGTGTCCATTATACTTCATATTATTTCATTATATTACAATAATTATCTCATCAATTAAATTTAAAATAAATGTTTTTAATAAATATTTTTTAATAATCGTGTTAAAAATAAAGTGACATATCTGGTCGAAATAAAAGAAAAATATACTTCGATTTTTAATTAAATATATTTTTATACATAATTACTCCTTTCGTTCCATATACCGTGTCTGCTACATTGTAGATACGGTATTTTAGGAATGATATAATTAGTAGATAATTAAGAATGTATTAGTGAAAATAATTATCCTATAATATAAATAATTATAAACTAAAATTAAGATAACTAATTAGTTTATTAAAATTTAAAAAAAAATAAATTAAAAAGTTTAAAATGAGATTTTCCAAAGGATGAACAAACGTGGACATGATATGTGAGACGGAAGGAGTATTATTTAAAAATATATAGTAGTATAATTATAAAATATATATAAATATATTTGTTTGTTTCAAAAATAAAATTATAACTAATCTCATTTTAAAAATTGAGAAATATTTAAAATAAAATAAAGGAGCAATAATGAGGAAATTTGAAAAACTAGGAATATATGTATATTGTATATTTTTTGTAGTATTTATATGAAATCGTGTGACCCAAAAATTGTATTGGGCAAACAAACTATTGATAATCAAACATATGGTAAATATACATTATTAATATTATTACTTCTACCTTAGGTAAAATTATATAGGATTGTTTGAATACCAAACAAAAAAATATTAATATTATGATATTTTAATATTCCCTCCATCCCATTGAAAGGTTACCATTTTCTATTTTCGTTCGTCCCAAAATAAAGGTTACCATTTTCTAATTTAGTAATTGTACTACCTACTTAACATAATAAATATTCTTTCAACTTACAATATATTACACAAATGTCATTACTTTTATATTACATCATATTAATAGGAGTATTTTTGTCTTTTTTACCACAATACAATGTAATACTAATATTAAAAAATCTATGTGTAAAAAGCAAACACCATTCTTCCAACGGGACGGAGCTAAGTATTAAAATAAAATGAACAATAAAATAAAATTATTATAAAAAAATTATTAAATAGATAATAATAATATGATGAAATAAAAATAAATAATAATTATTAAATTAAAATAAAATAAAATAAAATAATAAAATAATGAATATAAATATATTATTGGTGTGTTTGTTTGGGGGATTGGATTACATTATTCATCCAATTTTTTTTCCCAAAAACATCAAATCAAACGTTTATTTTTCAATTTTTTATATTATACTAAAAATCAATTTTACATTCAAAATTTCATATCAACACCTATTTATATCACATCATACAACTATTCAAATTCAAAATTTTTACTATTCAAATCCCAACTCAAAATCCAAACCCCCAAACAAACACACCCTATATGTAAGTTTAGATAATTGTAGGGAAAAAATAAATAAATACTTCCTACTTATAAATTATGGTCTTAGTATAAATCATGAATTTAAAAAAATTATAATAATAAATAAGTAAGAATATATTAATAAAAATAATTATTATATAATAAAAAAATAATTATAAATTAATATTAAAATAATTAATTAATCTAATTAAAATTAAAAAATTTAAAATAAAATACGTTTGCGGTAAGTAGGACTTCAAGTAAAATTTTAGGTTTGTATTATTTAGGTAAGTATTTGAGGTCCTTGGTTTACAGTCATTCAGGTAAACCCATTATTCACGCAATCCGAATTCCAATTCGTCAAATTGGGTGTCGTTGTTCTTTCCCCCAAATCTTTCTTTGCCCTCTTATTATTTCCTACTCGATTCATTCGATTATTTGGGTTAACATTATTCATTTGCACAATCCAAATTCCAATTCGTCAAATTGTTTTTTTCCCCAAAATTTTCTAATCGATTCGTTCGTTATTCATTTGTCAAAGTCTCCCATGGCCGCGGCGTGTCGAAGGGTGGCGTCTGGATTGTGTCCTCCTTTTAGATTGGAATCCAGGCAACTTTCCGAGCTATCGGAGTCCAACGGCAAACGGGTCTTCTTTGTCGATACTTTAGCCCTTGTAATTACTGATATTTCGTTTAATCTTAAATTCGTGTTGTAATTTGAATGTTGGATGCAATTTTGCTTCATCATTTTTATTGATATTGGTTGATTTTTATTGATATTGGTTGATTAGGTGAGGAGGTTAGAATCAAAGGGTATTCCCACAAAAGAAGCTGAGGCGATCACCGCAACTATAACAGAAGTCCTTAACAACAGTTGGGAAAATGCTTCTTATAACTTTGTTTCCAAAGGTGAAATGCAAAAAGTAAGCAAATTTTTTTTTTTGGATAAGTTCTTTATGAATAATGTGTTGAGATGAATTACTTATTAGGATTTGTAATTGTGTTCTTTGTATTGGTTTATCCTGATACTCTTTATTTATTTGGTAGAATGAGATGTCACTAGTCAAATTCAGAACTGAGCTCAAAAGTTCCCAGGTATGTTGTTAATAGACTTCATTTATGAACTCAATAGTTTCTTATTTGTTTGGTTTGATGCTACTGGTAATATTAATGTTTGCTCTTTGTTGCTTGTGAAGTTATAAGAGTATTTCATTGACTATGTAGAAAAATTGTTTTTTTTTCATTAAAGTAGGTTCTTGGTAAAATAACTGTTTAAACTATATTTGGAGTGAATGGATTTTACTCATAGGCTAAATTTATGTGTACCTATGTAAGTATAATGATTGGCTGTGTTTAGATATACGCTGTGTTTCGATGTTTTGAGTTGTTTTGGAACTAGTAAAATTTTGAATGAGAAATTAAGTGCTGAATGCGATGTGTTGAATATAGAATAGATTTTTATAATATATTTTACATAAAAGGGGGGAATTGATGAATAGTACGAAATGAACTTAAAAACATAAGTAAATAGGGCCAATGTTTTGCTTGGAGTTCGAGGAGAGCTAACTATACTGGAAAGTTCCTTTCGAGGTCACTATTTTAGAGATGTTCTTATAATGAATAGAGGCCTACATGTGGTTTAGCTTTAGCCTTTAAGTAATACTGCAATTTTCAGAAAACATTGTGATGGATGGATAGCAAGGTGTTTGATGTTTTGGAATCATTTCCTTGATCGCAGATTGTGCGAGTAATCTGATCATAATTGTTTTTAATATTCGGGTATAGAGGCTTATCCATTAGGCTATGCACCTAAATATCAAAACTTGAACTTTATTTTTTCTTTCTCTGGGAGGATTAAAATCTGATTTTTATTTTTATTTTTCTTTTTTTGCTAATCCTGTGCATGCTTTTAAGATTTCCCATTTCCAATGCCCCTAAAATTCCAGAACAAAATATTAAGATTTGACATAAAAATATGGAGGAAGTATCTGAACACTGCTTAAAACCCTTTCCAGCCTGGGGTTTTTAAATTGGGAAGAGCTTCGAGTCAAAGGCCTGGTTAGTGGAAATCTGTGTCTATTCCTCGCCTAGAATGACCCTTTACGTACCGTTCTTCTGAATCATCTTTGCAATTAGAGAATAGATTAGATTGCTCACTCTGTATGTCATTATCTTTTGAAAAGAATTCCTGTGATTGAGAAAAGGACGCAGAATTGTCCTTTCTCGCAGTACTCAGAATACCATTTCCAAATCGAATGTTTTGGTTGGAATTCAATTCAGTGTCTGGTGATTTGGAGACTTTCAGATTCACTGGAATATTAAGATCAGTCTGTCGTGGGTAGCTTTGTGGACTCTTCTGTGCAGCCCTTCCGGAAGAGGAGTTTGGAACCCAAACAGGAATATAGAGGGAACTGAATCTTCTTTGTTCATAATTTTGTCCGGAGGAAGGAAGATATTCGGAATCTGAGTTGTCTCTTTCTTTAGTTTCATCTGTTGCAACTGAATTGTTGTGAGGTGAGGGGCTGCTACCACATTTTCCAAACAATTTTTCTGTGGATAAGTTATTGAAGCCTTGAGGAAGAAACTGCACCTAAGAGTTGCCATGATCCGAATTTTCTAAGGTTGTGCCGTGCCTGTCAATTCCCATAAACACTGAATCTGAGAAGGAAGATGGAGCAGCTCTGTGTCTTTGTTTTGAAGGGTTTTTCCCATCAGAAACATAAGCATGTTCAATTGCAGAGATGGCAGACAGGCTTCAGTTTTTGTTTGAAGAACTTTCTGTAAGATTGGAGACTTAGCTTCAATTGTTGAGAAAACCAACTTAGAGGCATTACAAAATGAATCTGTGAGAGTTTTGGGAGATCAACGTTGATTCCCTCCTTGTGTTGTCAGCCAACACAATATTGTGAGCAAGACCAGCATTTTTGTCCAAGTAGTTTGAACTTGAAAGATTAAGAACCGAACCTCAATTTCATTATCTTCCTGATCTTTTAGGGGTGATTTCATCTTGACTTGGCTATAATCCTTCTCAAAAAGAGTAGTACTGGGCGGCTCTTCTTGGTTGATTATAACATAATGGAGTTGGCTGAACACCATTATGAGTTGAACATCAAGTCAAAAATTAGTTTGTGTGACTTTATGCTTCATTTGTATTGGTTAATTCGATACCAGTTGTGTCAGGTGATTTAATCTAGTCATTGTATTAGGACTATCACTTTGGTACCCTTGTCTTTTTCGATATTGATCAAATTATTTATATTTTTAACAATCAGGAAAATGGAGATAAATCCTCCAAAAAACGATATGCTTTTTAAGGAAAATAGTATAAGATTTAATTCTATTAATTTCTGTTAGATTCTTACATATTAGACCTAGGTCGATTATAATAATTTTCTAGGGTTAGTGTTATAATCCTGATAGTATAAAGAATCAGCCTTATGGTACAACCTCATGAAATTATATGTCAAAGAGATTACATTTTCAAGGTACCAATTCATAGACATGGCACAAATTTTCTATTTAGAAGTTCAACTGATACTAAGTAGGATATTTATTGAGAAAAAGTGTTTATGGTTATTAGAGAATTTGGAAAATGTCGTATTGGTGAGTTGAAAGGGAAGAAAGGGAAAAACAAATTAGGAGCAAGCACTCCCATTACAAGGCAAGGGAATAGATGCTGATTGCAAGTCATGAAAAATTTCTCACTCTTATGCATGTATTAAAAACAGTTGTGAAATGATGGTGTCTTCATTTATCAACTACTTAATAATTTACTATTGAAGATTTTACCAAACTTCTATTGTATTGTTTAATTGAGTAAGATGAATGATAAACATGGATCAATTATAGGAACTTGAATTGTGGGCACATTTTGTCCTTTTTGTTTGTTTGATTTGTCTCTTGCTATTGGTATATTTGTTCGATATTAGAAGGGGATGAAATGGTTGCAGAACTCTGAAATTTTGTTTGTTAACTTTTTTACATGTTGAAAGCAATTGTGAGCAATAAATATATATGCAATGATTCTTACTAAAGCTGATCATAATGCCTGTTCAATTGTTATTAATTATAGGATCACCATTTTGCTTTGTTGCAACATGAGGGAGAAAAGCTCAGGAATGATATAGAGAAGATGCGAAGTGAGTTAAGGTCAGCGAATTGATAATAATACTATCCATCTCAACACATTTACTTGAGATCACTTGTTTTGATTCACAAAAGGAGGGTCTTTTTTCAGATACGAAATTGACAAAGTTACAGCCGGACAACGCTTAGATCTTAATCTTGAAAAGGGGTGCGTAATCCTATTACTCTGTGTTTTTTTTACTACAATTGAGGAGAGCTGAGTTTTATTTTGTTTTATTTTATTTTTTTGGTTTACTTACTTACGCAGGAGAATGCGTGATGAGCTTAACAACCAAAATCAAGTATGTGTGCATATCCTTGAACATTTTGATGTTTTTTCTGGAGTAAATTGCATTACACTCTTGTACTTTAGTATAAATGCACAAAGACACCCTCTTCGTAAACACACATCTAATTATACAAGTTTTATATAAATAAAAGCAATAAAATATCTTAAATAGCCTTATTTGAATAAAAAATAGAAAATAATCTATCAATCCTTCTTCATTTTATAGTTTTTTTTTTAAAATTTAGGTAATAGTTTGCCTTAAAGAAACTATTAAATGGATGGTTGCTAAATTATTATTATTTTTTATTTTATTCAAAAAAGCATTGTTTGAGATATTTATCTTTTTTTTTTTTCTATAGAAAACATCAGCTTTGGACAAATGGGTATTTTGGATTTCAAGTAAATAAAATACGATGTGTTTTGTGCATTTTTACTAAAACACAAGGGATATTATATAATTTACTCTTTTTGGGCAAAGCGGCAAAAGCATGCCTTCTAGTATTTATATTTCTGTTTTAATGCTGGTAAATTGAAAATTGAGTATGAGTTTTGTGATTTAAATATATATAGTAATTTCACTCGCTTGATTTATTAGGTTGTCGATGGAAATGTCATGTGAGATTACATCAAATGTTTCATAGTACTCGTCTTAATTGTATTTTCTTTGTAAATTTTATGGACTGATGTCTAACTCTGGATATTTTTCACATGTGTTAGAAGTGATTGTGTATTCGACAAATATTGGTGTTTATGTTATCTTATCGAATGTATTACCCATCATTTATTTCAGGAAATTCATGCTAAAATTCACGCACTTCATGCGCAAATAGAAGCAGCAAAATACGATGTCATCAAATACTGTGTAGGTACTGTGGTTTCCGTCTGTGCTGTAGGTCTTGCAGTGTTACGCACTCTCATGTAAGTTTAACACCACCCTATCCCGTTTTAGGATTTCTTTTTTTTTTTTTTTTGGCGAGTATTTATTCTAATTTAGCAGCATTGGAAGATAGAAGTGTTGATTTTGATTTAAAATGGTAAAATAACAAATCCATAATATTTATTGCATTGTTGGCAAATAATATGAGACTATGAGATCGGATTTGATGTGAATAGCTGCTTTGATTGCGTAACTCAAATGTGAATAATTAATATATAAAAAATCTTCTATTCCATTTATCTTTCAAAACAAGAAAAAACTAAGATGATTTGTTTTATTTATTAGTGCTATTGCTGCTAGTATAAATAGGTGTGTTCTTTTGCCAAAATTTTATAAGATTTTAACTATTTAGGGTTTTTTTTTTTTTAAAAAAAGAATATCAAATTAAACAATGATTTTTGAGCAAAAATCATTTTTGGTCTCATTCAATATCATAATTATCAATTTTGGTTCCATTTAAAAAAATTTATCAATTTTGGTCCAATTCAAAGAATTTTATCATTTTTTGTCTCACTTAAATGAAAATTTATCAGTTTTAGTTTCAAGATGGTTAACTGGACTTGAACACGGCCGTGTTGGATGACTCAGAAGGTGATTGGGCGTCCTAGGCAGCCAACACGGGCGTGTTGATTACCTTGCACTTCTGAATACGGCCGTGTTCCGGTGTTCCTGCCCGTATTCTGAATATAACCATATTTCTGCCTATGTTTACGACCATGTTTTCAAAACAGCTATATTTTAGGCTATGTTCAAGACTATGTTTTCAGTATATGATATTGTAGGTCATGTTTATTATTATTTTTACTTCTTTGTTAAAATTATACTGAAAACATGGTCGTGAACATGGCGTAGAAGTGCAGAAACACGGTTGTGTTCAGAACACGGCAGGAACACGGCCGTGTTCAAAAGTGCAGGGTAATCTTTGAGCCCAACACATCCGGAGCCCAACACATCCGTGTTGGCTGCCTGAGACGCCCAATCACCTTCTGAGTCATCTAACACGGCCGTGTTCAAGCCAACACGGCCGTGTTCGGTCCCAGTCAACTATCTTGAGATTAAAATTGATAAATTTTTATTTGAGTGGGACCAAAGTTGATAATAATTTTTGAATATGACCAAAATTGATAATTATGACATTGAATGAGACTAAAAATGATTTTTTCTTATGATTTTTTATTTTTTATATTATGTAATAGTATTATATTATATTAAAAATTGATTTACAATTCAAAATATTACATAACACATGTTTATAAATACGTTAAACAATTATTTAAATTTAAATTTTTACTATTTAAAAAATTCAAACTAAAATTGTATTTTTGGTTGAATTTAACAACCTGTATATTCTTCTCGCACTCACCTGGTCATCTTGGAACATGTCATATTTCAGTTATTATTAACATTCTTTTCAATTATTCTTCTATGTTTTTTATTCAAGTTTGTTTCAAAAATATTATTTATATTATACTCCCTCGACACAAAGTAAATATTTATTTTTAGCGCGGTGTTTAAAAAATAATGGTATTTTAATTATAGTGGATAGTTAAAAGTAATAAAATGACATTTTTGCTCTTTCTTTTTGGTGTAAAAGTAATGATCTTATGTAAAGCAAGGGTATTTGTGGAAAAAAAAAGTTAGGTATTTAATGAATAGTTTACTTTGTAATTGGACGTTTCAAAATAGAAATATGTATACTTTCTAGCTCGACGGAAGAAGGATATTATATTTCCTACCTACAAAAACTAACAACTATTCATCACAATAAGGTCGTCCGAAATGGCAGCATTAATACGAATATCTATAAAACAGTGATTACATAAAATAAAATTTAGCTATCTTCAAAGTTAAAACTAAAATAAGTGTTAGTTTACAATTTTAAGTTTACTTTGTACTATTCATTAATTTATATATAAATATATATTTGTTTTTTCATTTAAAATATTACTCTTAACATATTTAAACACAACCATAATTATGTTTTCTTAGGACGACATACATTTAAGGGATAATTTTCAGTAAGCTATTCGACAATAATATATTACTCATTTTATCAATTTTGAATGAAATTCATTTCTACCAATAAAATGAAATAAATAAAAAGAAATGACCGAGTATAAACCGTTGATTATTACAACAGCAAGCGGGAAGCTCCGCCTCCTAACAACGTGATCGTCTAGCTCCCCTCCGGTCACACCACCGGGTAGGGGCAGGGCGCACAACGGAGATGATCCTACCCGCGGTGGCGGCGGCCTTCGTTTCTTCTAATCTGCCATCTTTTGGTTCAAAGCAGAAGGCGGAGACGTGGAGACAAAAGGATTAGGTCCTTAATATTATTCCGGAAAGAAATTGACCTGCTGTTCAAAACTTTGAAGTTGAGTTTGTGGGGACAATTTCTCATTGAAAATGATGGAAAAGGTTTCGATGTGCACCGATAAGTGGAGGAATTGTTGAAGAAGTACAAAAAGGCGAAGCATAATAGTCCAAATGGAAGTGAGAATGGATATGTTAAGACAATTACTATGAAGAGGACAATGGAGAAATATGACATCTTTTTTAAACACCATTTCGGACATCTTCCTTTTTAATCATTCTCAATCAGTATTTCAAATCGATCATATGGGAATCTTGGAATCTGTCATTTTTTTTAGAACTAAAAATCGAAGATTGTTCTTACACATCGTTTTGGTCATCTTTCTTCACCAATTTTTTTAGAATTGAAAATTGGTAATGAGTCATTCATTCTTAAATATCTTATTATTATATTTTTCTCTTTCATTCTTATTTGGCAAAAAAAACAAAAAAAAAATATGTTGCTTACGCCAAAATTATTTTTTTTCTATTTGTGAAAATATCTTTTAAAATCTTTTTTTTAGCATTATATATATATATATTGTATTATATAAAAATTATTAACCCTATTGTATGATATTTATTATGCCATCCTTAAAGATCCGGCCAAGGAAGACAACCATCGACAACGTTCATCTTGCATACCATTAACAAACTTGTACAACTTTACACAGGGATAGGTAGCCACTTGCATTAACAAATAACCAGGGATAAAATCAAATTACCATGCAAGTAATCAAATCATATATATATATATATATTTAGATATGTATAATAATAAAAAAATGGAACACAATCATATATATCTCATAAACTATGCATATATTTTTAAAACATATTTTATAATTTAATAAGTTTTAGAATATTTTATGTCTGAATATATAGTATTTTAAAATATATTTTAGAATTTTTAGAATATATTTTATAAATAAGTACTTTAAGGTGTATTCCTTTTGAGTTTTTCTCTAATTTTTATTATTTATTAATTTTTTTTGAAAGTATTAAAGAAAATATTTATTTTTATTTAAATTAATTTTACGTCTAAACTATCACATCAACACCAATTTTATAATTTTATAATGAATTGTTCTAGAACTGTAGATTATACTCCCCGTCGTAAAATTATACATTTACTTTTGACGTGAAGTTTAAGAAATAATGTTATTTTAATTATAAGTAAAGATAATTTTCTTCTTGCTTTTGGTATAAAAGTAACGATCTAATGGTAAAATAAGAGTATTTGTAGAAAAAAAAATGAAGTTCATAGCTACTCAAAAAAGAAATTATTATTTTGTAATTGAACAATCGAAAATAAAAATATGTATAATTTGTGAATGAACAGAGAGATAGTTTTTAAAACATACTTTATAATCTAATACTCCGCTGTTCAATTTTTTTTGGTCCATTAAATATGTACTTTATAAATATAGTTAAATATTTTTTGAGAAAATTGCAATAAATATTTTATATTTATAGTCAATTATCACTTTTGTATTTTAATTGTCACAATGACAAAATATATCTCATGTGTTACATTTTTTACAATATTTGTCATCAATAGCACAATCACACTCACGCCACCGCAATGGCATGTGTCACACGTGATGCATGTACTATGCGACAAGCATGCTTAATTTTAACCGCAGTAAACTGATGAGCAATCAGATGATAAAAAAAAAAGTGATATTTGTGAGTATATTTTGTCAGTGTTACAATTAAAAATTAAGTGATAATTATCCAATTCCGAGTCTAAAAATAATTAATGTATTTTTAGTGTTTTAGCCTTTTTAAACCCTTAAACAACCTCGGATAACAAAAAAAATTGCTAGTTGGTTCTAATGCTCATTTCGGATGAATCCCACGAATTTTGTTCAATTCCTCATCTAAATGGTTTATATTTCTTTAACATTTAGGGGTTTTAAGGCCCAAAATGACTTCGGATTTATATGAAAATATTGCTAGTTTGTCCGTTTTTCTTTTCAAATTAACCATGCAAATTTTGTTTAGTTGCAAGTAAAAATAAAATGGATTTACTTTTCGCTTGATCATTTTGAATAAACCGTTCAAGTTCCGCATGAATCCCATGCTAATCCGGTCAAATAAGTATAGTGTTGAATTGACTGGATCAACGTATATAATACAAGTAAATAACATATTTATAATACAATCTATACTATGTTATAATACAACATACAATATCTAATAAGACAACATATGTTGTAATAAATTATACTCCCTCTGTCCAACCTTATACATCCAGTTTACTATAAATACGATAATTTAAGTAAAATATACTATCTCCATCCGCCTCTAAGGGTCACATTTACCTTTTGTATTATTGTATTTAGTATTAAAAATATTCTTATATTTGTATATTTTTTTATACAAATGCTTTTTTATTAGTATTATAAGACACGGATGGAAGTATTTTTATAATTTTTTTCTTAATTTGTACTACATTTTGATATAATAATTAATATTCAAATATCAATACGCAAAAAATAAATGAGACCCTTAGAGTCGGACGAATGTAGTAATTAATAAGTAATTAAGAAGTATATTAGTAAAAATAATTATTGTATAATAAAACTAATTATAGATTAAGATCAAGATAACTAAAAAGTATAATTAAGATTAAGATAACTAAATAGTATAATTAATATTAAAAAATATAAATTATGAAATTTAAAATATGATTAAAGTGTATAATTCTATTTCCTAAAAATAAATAGAAAAATAAAAGGTAATAGGTAATATGGAAACTTGGACTCCTTCCATAATTATTGATATTCTTTGTTGGCAGTTTTGGTTGGTAGTCTCGAATCTTCTAATGATGATCACGGGATGATTAAGTGATTGGAGAATCAAACTTATAATACTCCATAGCTGGTCTATATTTGACAGTCTCTTCGATTATGGAATCCATGGTACGATTGTCCGAGAAAAACATAGCCATTTGAATCTTTTGTACTCGGCTCTGGGCATTCATTTCAGCTAGGATAATTGATGATTTAGTAGCTCTCATGATGGTCACATCAGTAAGGCAGAGGGCAATTTCAATAGAACAATTTCGGTGAGGTTTGGGTGTTTCAGGTGATAGACTATTCTTTGTGAGTTATTCTAATGAGAAATCGAAGCATTTTTTGTTGGATTAAAAATTCAATTGTGCGTTAAATACCTAAATGTAATTATTTGACTATATTAAGTGATCTATTAAATTTATTGGGCTTAAGTGTATTTAGTAAGTACGGGTCTCCTATGTGCAGAAACCCGGTAATTTATTAATTGAGTGATGAGACCAATTAATAATAAGAGATATAAATTGGGATTGTGATCCCAGGTCTACACGCAACATCCATTACTTTCCATATCTCAACGTGATAGTAAGGGCATAAACCCTACCGATGTTCTCAAGAGGAGTTGTGCCGTAGGCTTGAAGAACACAAAACCCCGTCAATTTGCAGATCGAATTCGTCAACACTGATGAAATAAGGTTAGATGCTATCGGAGGAGATGTTGCTTCTCCACTATTCAAACAATTCGGAGAAGAAAACATTGTTGTTGTTGTTCCATTTTTTTTTTATGACGTAGGAATCCGCAGCCGCTATCCGAAAGTACGCACTGGGTAAACTCTCGGCCGAACCTAATACCCTGCAAACTAGACCCGACAGACAAGTCATACTAGGCGAACCATGTGTGGCAGGTGACCTGAGGCGTTGGGAGTTTGAATTCATGACCTCACGTGTAACACCCCCAGTTGGCTCATACTGGAAATGCTACCGCCACACTGTATCATGAGGTCGTCACCTCCTACTTCGGGCCCCACAATACAGTGTTAAGGCTAAAATTACCATAAAAGCGCATTATTATATAACAGAATCTGATTTATAAATATTTACAAAACACACCCCATAACAAGAGGTTTTTCCGGTTAAAAATTTATATATAATACAATAGACGTAAGTTCACTCACTCAGCCCATCTTTCTATATTTCGAGACGTCCCCTGTCTCGGATGTGCCATGCATACCTGAAACAAATATTTTCTTAAAAGTAGTCTAGAATTAAATCCATTTTAAGAACTAACGTGAAATATGTCATTTCATACCTTTTTTAAAATAAAGTCTAATTCCCGTTAATCATAAAATACGTGTCATGTCATGCCAATACTGAAATGATGCAATGCAGATATCAAACTCGACAACAATGCACATCCACATATATATATCCGCCAAAGTGAGCAGTTGGAATAACCTCGGCTCCATAATCATAGGCTCACTACATCTGTTTAAGTGAGCAGCCGGAATACCCTCGGCCCCGTAATAACAAGCTCACTAGACCATCATCAATAAATAGCGGGAAAATCCTCGGCTCAAGGAAGGACCTGATAAACCCATAATAATATAACGGTCATCCGGTCACTTCCATATACCCACCATACCACTCCCCCAATCAATACATGGATAGCCGAACGTTGTCGCTATTAACCACAAGACGCCCCATAGTCCGTGATAGCGAAGATAGGACCCCCGCTGACTAGCCCTATCCCGTGTAATGTAGTAGAATCCGTGCAACCTGGAATCACCCAAGGGAAACCCGGAAACTCTACTCCTCCTCGCGCGCCCTAACGGGATCACGTCTGGAGTTTGGCATATGATCCTAAACTACCGGTAGACCTCACTAGTAGCTACTCCAATGAGTGGAACAACACCGAACACGAATGATTAGACCAAAATACGTCTCAACTATCATGGGTCTAATCCCTGAATGACCGTGCGACTAAGTCACCCAGTTGTCCGACTACTATCGCCCACTATCGCCAAAGTGTTACGGTACATCGGAGTCGAATATCCTAACCCCAGATAATGCCCTCGCCTAGCACTACCGCACACGGCGACTAGACGATAGATCCATAAATCATATCCGATAAACTGTGCAATATGTGTGCAACATGCCAAATAAGTGAATTTACCGAAAAGGGCATGTGAGACAGCTCACCTGTCCTCCTTTTCATAAATTCACCAATGCGATCAAATACGTATATCAAATATCATAAACCGTGAAGTCTCCCATATGCATACGCACACACATATATATAAATATATACATGCAACAAAATGATTCACATAATATCACATTAACATATTAATCAAAATCGCATGCAACATGTATACCTAATTTCTTAAAATTAGATTTAATTCCCTACTACTTACCTCTTGTCGACACTCCCTAACTTTCGCAATTTCACCCAAATCTCTTCCAACGTACACCTGTTCCATTATTTATTCAATTCAGCTGAGCTATATGCTTATTCATAGGAGCTACCTGCTTATTCAAAAGCTAATTTCTATAATTAACTCGTTGGGTTTCAAACTTTTATATTTAGTAGAATACGATATTATAGCTATAAAACTCTTATACCTCATACTATTTATATCGCTCGATTATTAAATAAAAATACTTAAAGATATGAATAAACAGGCAGGTGCAATACACTGCCGTTTTCAATTCAGCTTGGATCGATACGAAATTCTCATAATATAATACTAGGACTACGAATAGGCTATTAGCTAAAGAAATTCGTCGATCAAATAAACAAATAGTCAGTTATGAATTTTTTAAGAATTTCTAATTTAATATTCCCAATATCGAAATGCATATTAAAATCCATAATTAAATTCTACGTATAACAAATAATACAATACCAAAGTTGGAATCGAAATCGAACGACTAAATCTTTTTCTTTCTTTCTTTTCTTCTTTCTATTCTTTCTCCTTCGTGTTCTTCTGGTTTGGTCGTCCTTCGCAGGTAAGGCTTGAGTTTGTGTATATATATATAATTATATTATTATTATTATTATATATATTATAAATATTATCTTCATCATCGTTACCTTTATTATTATTATTATATTATTATTATATATTATATATTATATATTATATTATATTTATGTTTATCGATATTTATTCGTTTAACAGTCTTTTCAATCATAATCAATATATAAAATAAGAATAAAATTTATTCCAGAGTATTAATTTTTTGATTCTAAAATATTATAAAAATATTTATTTGCTATAATAATATTATTTTATACACTCCAAAATTGGGGTATTACATCACGGTCACAAGTGCAACCTCCGCACCATCAGGTCATCCCTTACCGGACGAAGAAAACGTTGTTTTGAAGGAGTTTGATGTTGTTCCAGAGGAGATCTAGTTACCTCCAATCTTTTCTTGAGGAGATAGATGTTGTCCGTTGGAGTTTGATGTTTGACGGAGCTGTTTCGGAGTAGTCGTCTGGAACCGCCGCTATCATGCAAGGAGCCATCGATTTGTTTGACAAAAGACAAGGATGAAATTCATTGGTGTAGATAAGTGTAGTATGTATATAAGTGGGAGTTGGTTAAATGACAACTAAAAATAAGTTCAGATTCTTGGGATTTCTGACCCTTCGTTTCCTAATTCGTCTCGTCCTTCGATAATAAAAAATTAGAGATTGTTAGATGGTTATGTTGATTATTAGGATCCAACCATGTGGTGTTAGTTGAGAGGAGAAATAAAGTGATTCCCATAAACGATTCTAGTTCTGTTCGGGTGTTTTCAGTGAGAAATCAAAGTTTTTTTTTTTTTTTTTTTTATCGGTTGTTCTCTATGGGTATCTTGTCTTAAAGTTTCATTCGAACTCCCCTTGATAAGTGGTTACAATAGGTTATTTCACACAGCTGAAAGTTGTCCTATCCAAACCTGACACCTCCAAGTCCACCTGTCATACATGGTTCGCCTAGTGTGACTCACCTTGTTGGACCTAGTTTGCAGGGTATTAAGTTTAACCGGAGGTTTTTACCCAGTGCACACTTTCTGCTAGCGGTTGTGGGTTTCTACGTTATAAAAATAATAATAATAATAATAAAAAGAAAAAAAAGGCAACCTTGGTCCATGTTAACTGTTCGAAGTTGACCGAAGGAGCTGTTTTTGTTTTGGAAGTTGCTGCCGACTCCGTTGAAAGCTTGCTGCCGTTGTAGTTTGGAGGTTTTTGGAGGAGATGCAAAAGTTGTTCAGAGATTTGAACTTGGAAACTATTGGAGGAGACATTGCTTCTCTGTTGTTTGAGCCAGTGATAACAAATTTTGCAGACGACTCAAAAATAACATTGATATTTATAATGAAGATAGAGACCTATAAATAGGCATGACATATAGATTCGGTAGACTCCAATTATAACAATCTAATCAAATAGATAAAATCAAATCTAAAACAACTAAATTCAATCTAAAACTAAATAACTAAAGTATATCAATATGCTCATTCAAACTCAAGTGATTTCGACGAAATAACTTGGTTTGCAAAGAGAGATCGAAGATGATGTGGCCACAATCGTCCACCGTGTCAGAATAAGTAGGGTTCTCAACTGAATTAGAGTCAGAAACAACGAGACTCTCAACTTAGTCGGAAATGATGGGACACTCACTAAAGTCGGAAACAACGAGATTTTTAGTGGAGTCGGAAACAACGGAACTCTCAACGTAGTTGGAAATATGAATCTGAAAAATTGTAATAGATAAATTCACATACATGATTTCAAACTTGGACAAAATCAAAATCAATACTCAAAATAGAATTAAAATAAAGACTAAAAACTACAGCTAAAATCTCAAAATTAAGAAACTTTCGAGTACATTTCAAGTTGATGTACCTAGATAAACATGAGTTAGTAGGTTGTGTTTACTTCCGGAAAAAAGTAGACTTTGATACCATATGAGAAAATTTTGTGGACGACTCAAAATAGCATTTTTATTCATTATAAAGATAGAGACCTATAAATAAGTATGACATACAAATTCGATAGTGTATATTTTTTATTTATTTATATTTTTTTAAGATATAAGAATTATAAAAATATTTACTTTTATTATTTTTAGATATTTTATTAAGAAATAAATATTTTTATTGAAAATTATAATTTTTTTTAATTAAAAATAATGTAAATATAAAAGAATCATTTGTGTATGCATTTTTATTATGCTAATTTTTAATTAATTACTTTTTTTATTTTTATTCTTTCAAGTAAATTTATTCTATCTTATTCATCTTTAATACTTCTTCCCTTTCAAGATAATTGACTAATTTCATTAGTGATAAGCTATTTAAGAAAATAATGTTTAATCGGTTAATAATAATGAATTATGATATTATTTTATTATTTTTTTATGTAATTAATAGTATTAATAGTTTTGAAATAAATTTAATATATATGATTAAAAACATTAGAAATGTATTTAAATATCTTAAAAGTGATATGGCAATAAAAAATATATGCAATATGGATCTTATCGGATAGAGAATAAGATTTTCTATAATACAAAGTAAATTAAAAAATATTTTTATTTATTTATAATTAAAATAAACTAATTTTATAAAAGAGATGGAGTTTTAAATTTAGATAAAAATATTTATTTTTGGATAAATTATATAACACATCATTGTAATAATTGATCAATCAACTTTATAGTTTTTCTAAGACAAATTGTTATCTGTTTTTTACAAAAATTATAAAAATGATTAATCAATTATTTATTTATTTATTTTACTTAAAAAAAATATTTAAGATATTTATGTTTTTTTATTTGTATAAAACTTGAGTAAATTAGATTCTTTATAAAGAATCAAACATCACTTTAGATAATGAAGGTGTTTCGTGCAAATTTTACATTAACACAAGAGAGTTATACGCAATAAATGAAATAGAATTTTTTGTCCATTTTTACTCAAATAGAAGAGAGAGTTATATAATTTACTTTTATTTTTCTTAAAAAGTGATATAAATAAATGAATTTTGAGTGAATTTTATATGATTTACGATGTTATATGTTATATAATTAACTAAATTGATTTGTATTTGTTAAATATGTTTTAATTTAGTAATTTATCCAACATAGAAATATATTTATGAGATAGATAAAAATGAGAAAATGTCAATTGTTATGGAACTGAAGAAATATAAAAATTTTGTGATAAAAGAAGTATATATACTATAAAATAAATTAATAATTTTTATTTGTTTTACAACTAAAATAATTTTTGTATAAAAAATAATAATTTCAATTCCTTTAACTTTATAAAAAAAATTCATAACTTACTAATAAAAAATATATTAAAATAAATAATAAATAATGTAATCAAATATTTCATTCTATCACCTTATATACATTTTGCTATTTTTAGTTGTTCAAATCCAAAAGATCTATTTCTTTTTTAATATGTATGCATCATATGAAATATTATTACAAATATATTTACATTTATATTTATACTTATTTACATCAATATTATCAAAATTATCAATTATTGTTGAAAATACAATATTTATTGAACTCCGTAAAAAATATTTATTTTTATAAGTGGACAAATAGAATATATATTAATATATATATATATATATAAATGAGAGAGTAAAAAATAATAATAATAATAATAATAAAAAAATTCTTTAATAAATTAAAAATTTTCAAAGCTATTTCTCGAACACTTTCAAATTCAATCAATTCTACAGGTTTGTTTGTTTTTTTTACAATATATTTTTTCAAAAATATTTATATATATTTATTATTTTTATATTCTTTATACAATTATCTATCCATTTCACAGAACGAAACACACCCTACATTTATGGTTTGGTTTTATTTTTTAAATCAATCCAAACAAATTCTAAATTGATTTATTCAAGTCACGACATTTCTAATTATATTTTTAATTAATTTTGATTTTCAAATAACCATATAAAACTTATTATTTTTTAATAAATTCTCATTATTTATAATTTTATTTACTTTAGTATATTATATCTAACTAAAATTTGTAAAACACAAGTAGACGAGATCCAAACAAACAATTTTGGATCATGAAAAGCGTAGTAGGCAAAGAAAAATAAAAAAGAATGAGTGGGGCCCAGCAGAGGAACAAAACTTGTTCCATTTCCTCGACCTTTTGCCCTCATTTTCACTTACAGCTCATTTCCCATATAAAAAAAACCCTACTCTCTCTCCACCCTCCTCACACAGTCTTCTTCTTCTCTCTCTTCCTCTCTCTCTCTCTCTCTCTCACACACCAACACTGAGAAGAAAACTCAGTCCAGCACACAGCCACACACCATCTATACATACATACATATATATATCTATACATACAGATACAGATATGCAGTGAGTCCAGTCCAAAGACCAACAACTCATCTTCCCTATTTTCCCCTATTATAATAAACCCTAATTTCCACAACGGGTGTTTCCAGCTCCTCCTCCGCCAGATGCCTCGCCCATAGCCGCCGGAAATGACGCTCGTTGCCTTCGCCTTTTACGCCGCCTGTCTCCTAGTGTTGGTCCATCACCGTGGCTCCGCCTCCGATGTGGAGGTTCGGTCACTTCTGGAGTTCCGAAAGGGAATCAAATCTGATCCCACCAACCAAATCTTCTCCACTTGGGTTCCACCCAGGAACGCCTCCGCCTGCCCCGCTGACTTCCGGGGGATTGTTTGCGACTCCTCGTTGTCCGCCGTGGTCGCCATTGCGCTTGACGGGCTCGGCCTCGTTGGGGACCTGAAATTCAGTACTCTCCTTCAGCTCAAGTCGTTGCAGAACCTAACCCTGGCCGGGAATTCGATGACGGGCCGCCTTGTGCCTACGCTCGGTGAAATGTCCTCTCTCCAAGTAATTGATCTATCTGACAATAAATTCTACGGTCCTATTCCTGCGAAATTTCATAATCTTTGGAATTTGCGCTATGTGAATTTCTCGAATAATGACTTCACTGGAGGGTTTCCTTCGGGAATTCGCAACTTACAGCAGCTAAAAGTGTTGGATTTGCATTCGAATAAACTGCATGGGGATGTACAGCAGTTGATTCCTGAGCTGCGGAATGTGGAATACTTGGATTTAAGCCTGAATGAGTTTTCAGGCTCGATAGAATTCTACGCTGAAAACCTCTCTAGTTTGGCTAATACTGTGAAGTATGTAAATTTGAGGGGAAATCGTTTAGAGGGTCAGTTTTGGGGGAGTGACGTTCTCAAGATGTTTAGGAACTTGAATGTTTTGGATTTGGGTGGTACCGGCGTTGGTGGTCAGCTGCCAGATTTTGGGCAGTTGCCAAATCTGCAGGTTCTGAGGCTTGGAAGTAATCAACTGTTTGGGTCTATACCAGCGGGCCTCTTGCAGGGGTCTGTTCCACTGGTGGATTTGGATCTCAGTGTCAATGGATTTTCAGGTAAGGTGTTGATTATTTCTGTAGATTCGATAATTTTGTGACTTTTAGTAATACTATCCACTGTAAGATCTTATGCTGTCTTCGATCGACATAGGATGTCTGCAATTACGGATTATATGTGGTGTCCTATATGGAAAAGGCTTAATGGACCAATTAGATTTCTTCGCCAATTTTGCGGAGACGTGTTATTAATGATGTGGGGGGTTGATTGCGGAAGCACATTTTGTTAATTAGTTGTCTACAAGTCACCAATTTTCTTATATTTTTTAGTCCTTACGACTTAAAACCTCTCTGGCATTGGCTGAATGTATCGTGGAAAGTATCTGAAGAAATAAAGCCCCTCTCAACCAATTATTGTGTGCCACGATAGGTTTTATTCTACCTTAGGACATAAGAACCACGAAAAAGGCAGTAGGCAATGCTCTATTGCCTGCGACACATGTCAAATTGTTTAGTCTGACTATCTGCGTGAAATTGTGCATGGTTTGATTTTTTCGGAATATAGTTGAGCATCATGTATGAAATATTCACTTGGATGGCATTTCCCTTGGCAGCATATACTCTATTGCCATTGTTGGTGGCTTGGTGCATGGGTATGTGGGGGTTGGGGATGCACTCCATCAGGCAGTAACCAAGTTCCTTTTAGTTTTACTATTCACATATATATATTTCTTCTTTTCAATGGTTGTAAAGGTGGTTAGAGCTACTTAAACTGATCTAGTAGTATAGTTTGTTTAGTTCAAATGGTCAATCTTCTTAATTAATTGGATCAATTTATTTGCTTTCTGTTTTTTCCAAGCTAATACTGCTAAAGGTCTAGAGAAATTCTGGAAAAAGAACCTCTAGAATCTTGTAGTCAGCTCTATGCTAGATCTTTAATGTCTGCATTATGTGTTGTGTGCTCCATTCACATTAAACTACTGTTTAATTCTACTGTCAGGATAATGCTGCTGTCAGAATTAGCAACTCCTATCCTTGACATAATTGATATATAGCATTGCTGTTACATCACCTAATTATTTTTCTATTTGTGGATTTCTATGTGCATGCTGCTATGAATTCAATTCGAGATGCATATAGCTTGATTATGCAGTGACTGCTTCCATATGGAGATTGTAGATTTTTCCCAGTCATTCGGGCTCTTGGCCTGTAAAGATTCATTTTGAACTATGTCGAAAAATATCCATATGACACAACATTCTTCATGTCCATTTTCAGGCCCCATTCCAGAAATCAACTCAACTACTTTGGTCAGCCTCAACATGTCATCAAATTCCATATCGGGCTTATTGCCATCGTCATTGGGAAATTGTCTTGTTGTTGATCTTAGCAGAAATCACCTACAAGATGACCTGTCTGTCCTGGTGAAATGGAATAGGAATTTAGAAATTATTGATTTGGGTTCCAATGACCTGAAAGGAATGATTCCAAATATGACGCAGTTTCAAAGATTGACATTTCTCAGCATTAGAAATAATTCCTTGGAGGGTGCATTACCCCCGACTCTGGGGTCTTACCCAAAGCTTTCTACAGTTGATCTGAGTGGCAACAGACTCGATGGTGCAATCCCATTTAGCTTCTTTACTTCAGTGGCCATAACAAATTTGAACTTGTCGAGGAATAAGTTGACTGGAGCAATTCCTCTTGAACGCGCCCATACTAGCGAGTTGTTGGTTCTTCCTACTGTTCCACCAATGGAAACTTTAGACCTTTCAAATAATGTCTTGACAGGTGAGTTACCTTCTGATATAGGTAACTGGGGTAGGCTCAAGGTTTTGAATGTTTCAAGAAATAATTTGTCAGGGCCGCTACCAAATGAATTAGGCAAACTTACTGCTCTGGAGGTCCTTGATTTGTCACACAACAAGTTCAATGGTCATATTCCTGATAGACTGCCGTCAAATCTGAAGGTGTTGGATGTCGCTTACAATGATTTATCTGGAAAAGTTCCTGAAAATAATATTCCTCAATTTTCTTATAGACCTGGTAACGATGGACTTCAATTCCGTCTGTCGCCATATGGTAATCATGGGAGTGGCATCAATGCTGGCGAAAAAGGTCATTACCAGTCTAGCGTCAAAATAGCTATTATTGTTGCATCAGTTGTTGCTGCTGTTATTATTGTTTTCGTTCTATTTGCTTATCACCGTGCACGGCCGCAAGATTTCCATGTAAGCAGGGGATTCTGTGGTCAAACTGCTGGTAATGATATCAAAGCAGGAAGGTTTGGTCGTTATTTTCATAGCGGTGCAGAGCCACCTCCAACTTCACTAAGCTTTTCTAATGATCATTTACTGACTCCAAACTCAAGATCATTGTCAGGGCAAATCGAGTCTGGTACAGAAACTGTACAGCATATATCCACTGAGGGAGTTGAATCTGGTGTCTCGTCCTTAAATCCTAGTCACCAGGACAATCATCCGACAACATCTGGAAGGAGATCATCCCCAGGGTCTCCAATAGCATCCTCACCTCATTTTATTGACACAATTGAAACTCCTGTCAGACTCGATGTGTATTCACCAGATCGGCTGGCAGGGGAACTCTTTTTCTTGGATGCATCGCTTGCATTTACTGCTGAGGAGTTATCTCGAGCTCCAGCAGAAGTACTTGGCAGAAGTAGCCATGGCACGTTGTACAAGGCCACCCTTGACAATGGGCATATGCTTACTGTTAAATGGATGAGAGTTGGCTTGGTCAAAAACAAGAAAGATTTTTCGAAGGAGATAAAAAAGCTTGCATCTTTTAGACATCCAAATATAGTTTTGATTCGTGCCTATTATTGGGGACCAAGAGAGCAGGAAAGGCTCATTCTAGCGGATTATGTATTGGGTGATAGCCTGGCTTTGCATCTTTACGGTAAGGACACTTGACTGTACTTAAACGATACATTTTCTTTATGATGATTATTAATTTATTGTCTTCTTTTCTGAAAAAGATGTAGCTGTAAGAGTAGTTTTTCCGTCTATTTGGATGCATTAGCCCATGGAAGTATTTTAGCATATCTTTTGTCGAAGTTTCGATGTGAATAAATTATTCTAGAATTCTGTTTCGATTTTTGTAATTACTGATTCCTAGTTTTGGGGTAGTTAGTTGGTATGGGTAATGCTAAGGAAAGATTAGTTTGATTCTCACCTATTGTGATATATTAAAGTTTTGGGCATGGCCTTCCTCTCCGAGCTAGACTAAACCTCTGTTGACACGTCTTGATCAACCAGAACTGTGATAGCCCGCCCCAAAGCAAAGATTCTAGTTAAATAGTGTTGATAAATTCTGCATTTTAATCCTCGGCAGCCACGAGATGGAAAATAATGAGTTTGACTTGACAAACAAATGCTGCTGTAGAAATCAATTTTTTGAAGTTTCATTTATGGAATGTTTACAATTATATATTTGCGCAGAGACGACTCCTCGGAGATATTCCCTGTTATCATTCAACCAAAGGTTGAAAGTTGCTGTCGATGTTGCTCGTTGTCTCGTGTTCCTCCATGAGAGAGGCCTTCCTCATGGAAACCTGAAGCCAACAAATGTAATCTTGGAGGGTGATGAATATAGAGTCCAGCTTACTGACTATGGTCTCCACCGCCTGATGACGCCTTCAGGCATTGCAGAACAGATACTGAACCTGGGGGCTCTCGGCTACCGTGCCCCTGAACTTGCTACTGCAGCCAAACCATTGCCCTCATTCAAGGCGGATGTGTACGCATTTGGTGTGATCCTTATGGAACTGTTGACCCGAAGAAGTGCTGGTGACATTATATCCGGCCAATCTGGTGCGGTCGATCTTACAGATTGGGTACGCCTCTGCGACCAAGAAGGGCGTGGAATGGATTGCATTGACAGAGATATTGCTGGCGGAGAAGAGCACACCAAAGCAATGGATGATGTGCTGGCTGTATCATTAAGGTGCATTCTCCCGGCCAACGAAAGGCCGAATATGAGGCAAGTCCTGGATGATCTATGTGCCATATCTGTGTGAAACCTCTTATCTGTACATGTTTGTTTGTGTCTTGGAAGTAATTCTTTCTGTGCAACCGTATCTTTTTTTTTTTTTTTTTTGGGGTTCTTTCTTCCGTATTGATTGGTTCTATTGCATCATATTCTTCTAATCGTTCGTAGGTAGCTGCTGCTTTGTTTGTCTTCTGTGTTTGTTTGTTCCCCTTTGAGTTTTTTTGTGTAAAGGGATGCTGATGATCGATCAATTGATGAGATGACTAGTAGTAGTCGTAGTAGTTAGTTAGGCATAAACATCTGCTGCTGATTCTATCCTGCTATGGATTCTGATTTGTTTTCCAGCATTGAAATCAAAGAATTCTTGCTATGATTCCTTTACCTCTTCTTTGTCTATCTTCTTCTTGTGGAATATTCATGTCATGTATGTATATCTAGATAGGTTAGTTAAGTTTATTGTTGTGCCATTGTTAATAAATTAATTGTTTAGATTCATAGACAGTTACAGTGCCAAATGGTGCCTGCCTGCCAATCTGCCATGAATTTGAGAGGCCTTTGTTTGTTGAGTGGAGGTATGTTTCAATGAATTGGCCCCTGGTTGGGTTAGCCAGTTTGGAATATATATCTATATTTTTGACGTGGGAATAGATATAATTTTTATTGGATAATGTGGGGTTTGTTTGGTTTTGTAAAGAGTTTGAATTTCTTTCATTCGTAGTTTTGATTTGATATTTTGTGAAAAAAATAATGTATTTCATTAGGAATGTATAAGCATGTCTTCTAAATATGAAAATAATCACATATTAATGATTTTTGTTTTATTTTTCAATATGTACATTTACAAAGAGATGTGAGTGTATTAGAATAATCCATATGCATATATGTATGGCGTATATGATGTTGTAAATGTTTAAACATTGGTATTGGTTGTGTAACAATAATGAGTTTGTATTTTAGGTTTTATATTATCTACTATTGAGTTCACATCTACATCACACATATTATGTATGAATGCAGGTACAATGAGAACTGAATATATACATATATATATATATATATATATATCTTGTTAGTTTACTTAAAAGTTGATTCAACTATGTTATAGTACATACATACTACTTTCGTAGAGTAAAATTACATGTAATTTTCTATAAATTTTGAATGTCGATATGATCAATTTGACTAACAATAACAATCTGGTCTTTATATAAAAAAGATTGAAGTAGTTGTATTGAAAATTTATATATATATATATATATATTACAATTAATAATGTTTAGCCAGTTTATTTATTTATTTTCGGTCGGGTATTTGAAATTTGAACAATTTTATAAATTGATAATGATTTCCAATGCAAAAAGGAAACCAACATTTATACTCTTTGATCGATTTTTAATTATCTACAACAATAACAAAAATAGCATGCTAAATTGCACAAAATACACATGTGATTTCACGAAATTGCGCTAAATTCCCAAATTTCTAAAATTGCGTCAAATTTCTTCGTGGTTTCATAAACTCTGCGTCTAATTCCTTGACGGTCCTTATTTAATTGTATTTGACCTTAATGCGTCCAAACTGTCTCAATTTCTAAACCCCTAAAATTACAAATATATTTATTTTTCTTCTATTTAGTCTAAATAAACTCTTAAAACCTGAGAAAAATAACTATTTTTTTTAGTATATTTACTATTTTTTGAGGCAGAAAAATGAATATAATTGTAATTTGAGGGGTTTAGAAATTGAGAGTTTAAAATTTATTCGCAGTTTGGGCGTATTTATATTAAATACCGTTAAATAAGGACCGCCGAGGGAGTTAGACGCAGAGTTTATGAAACCACGAGAGAGTTTGACGCAGTTTCAGAAGTATAGGAGATTTGACGCAATTTCATGAAACCACGTGTAAGTTTTGTGCGATTTAACCAAAATAATAATTGACTAGAAATTTCTATATACCAAAGGAATAAGTGATTTGTGGCATTATACTGTTAATTTTTTACCCAAAGATTTTTTACTACAAAATAATACTTCCTCCATCCCGGTCCGGCTCTTCGGAGTTTTGTAATAGATTAAGAAATAATACTAATATTTTATTAATTAGTAGAAATGCGTAAGAGGTTTTGATATTTTGATTTTTTTTTTTTTGTAAAAAGTAATTGTACGTGTAATGCTATGTTTGTATTTAGGTAAAAGTTAAAGATATTTTGATATTGGAGTATGATTACTTTTACTAAAATAAAAATGATACTTGAGTGAGACGGACGAAAATGATAAACATGATAATTTGAGTTGGGACTGGGAATATAAATAACATCTACAAATACAACAAAAATAATAATATAATGTAAATTACTCAAGTGACTTAAATCATTAGTACAACTTTCATTATAATAATATAATGTGTTAAAATGGTGCTTTTTACTACATAATACTTGATCCGTCTCAAAAAAGTTGTTTTGTTTTTTTTATTTTCGTTCGTCCTAAAACAATTGTCTTATTTCTTTATTTAGTAATTGTGGTCCTCGCTTTATAACAAAATTATTCGTATTTTTTCAAACTACCTCTAATTATTACTCTAACCTACTTTTTAAAATCCTTAAAAAATCGAGGGCATTCTAGTATTTTGCATTCTACTTTATACCATTTTCAATTAAATATTATTATTTTTTAATTCATGTGCCAACTCCCAACAAAACGTCTCTTCTGGGACGGAGGGAGTATTAGAATAAATAATACTACCTTCGTCTAAGACTAAATTTTTCATTTATGTTTGGCGTAATTATTTTTAACATTAAAAATATCATTATATTTGTATAATTTTTTGTACAAATGTTATTATATTAGTATTATAAGACACTAATAAAAGTATTTTTATCATTTTCTGTATTATATTTTGATATAAATAAGAAGTTTAGTTTTAGACGGAGAGAGTATTATTCTATTTGACTTAATTTTGTTTGCCTTAATATATTAAGGTCCTATATAATTAAAGGTACGACACAATTATACTAATTTATAAAATTATTAATGCAATCTATTCACTCAATAAAAATATCTAGATTATCCTTCTATTTAGATATTCAAAAGCATTTTATATGAATATAATAACAATATTTTTGTTTTTTGAATTGTAATTTATCTATTTTTTAAAAATCAATAATATAAAGTGATAAGAATAATATAAAATATATTGCTAAACCTTAATTTATAATTTTGGGATAGAATTAAATATATTATTAATAATACTCTATTCGTTCAAGCTATTTTGTCTCATTTAGATTAGACACGAAATTTTAGGTATTATGTAATTGGTAAACAATTTAAAAATGTATTAAGTAAAAATAATAATAAATAATAAAATAAATAAATATTAATATTTAGTGATATAATATTATTTTTGTATTTTATATTTTTAACTTTATAAAATATTTTTTCTTATACAATAATATTTTATATAATTATATTAAATTTGCATTATGTTATTGTTGGTCTGAAAACTAATTTTCTATCTAAAACTTCTTTCCGAGAGAATCGGTGTGTTTCCGAATGACTCGACGTAAATTTCGGTGATATGCGATCAATTTGAAAAAATGTATTATATATTGATCGAAAAGCAAACAGCACAAACAAATTGCAATTGATTAAGATCAAATACATTATTCTAAAAAAACAAAAAGAAGAAAAAATGACAGAAGTAAATGTCAAATGAAATGAAATGATAAATTTGTTTGATGAGACGTGCGCCTGTCTTCTTCCCTAAGTGTATCTGTTACAGTTTTCTTTACTTTTGTAATCGTCTTTCTGATTTTTACTATAACAATACTAATTAACTTTAAGAAGAAATACAATTATTCTAAATTTATTACCTTTCTGAAGAATCGGTTACCTTCAATAAAAATAATAAAAATTAATAAAGTATTATCCTTTTTTTTTTTAATCTTAAAATTTCAAATTTCAAATTTCAAATTTAATAAAATTTGTTTATAAAATATATTTAAAAACGTTTTATCTGTTATATTTTTAATTTTTTTTTTTGTCTCTAATTTTTCCTATTTAAATTTTAAAATAGTAAATTATATGTTTCAAATTATTAAATTCACATAGATTAATATTTAAAAATTAAAATATAATATTATATAAAAATATAGGACTATGTATAAATAAATACAAATAAATAAATTATTGTAGGTATTATAAAATAGTAAATGTAATGAGTTGAAGGTAATTAACTACAACGGGTGATAAAAAAAAAGTAATTTGAATATTGAAATGAATATAACGTGGACGAGAGAAATAAAGAAAATAATAACTTGAATGTAACGACTATAACGGATGCTCTAAACAACTCGTTTTTTATATTGTTAAAATGCACATTTAATTTTGCTTTCATGCATTAAACTCTTTGCAATGTTACTCCCACGGTTCATTTGTATTTCTTCCTTACAATCGCTTGCATATTCCTTCTTTATAATTATTTGTAACATCTCCTTAGCAACTTCAAGGGTTTATGTAACCTTCATCAAACTAGCACATTCCTTTGTTGCACATTTTAGGGTAAATTATTTTTTTTTTAGTCTCGTATCTTACTTCTTTTATCATTTTAGTACTTTAAATAAACCATGTTTGAAAGTAGTCCCATAAATAAAAAATTTTCGCTAAAATGATCTTCCGGTGCCGGATTTGCCACGCTGGCAGCTTTGCTGACGTGGCTAACATGTTATCGCCACGTAGATGCAGAACTAAAAATAAAAAAAGAGGTCATATACCTAAAAAAAATAGTTTACCAAGACATTTTGTAAAATAAAAAATAAAAAAATTCCATGTGTCACTAGCGTGGCATCTACGTGGCAATGACATGTCAGCCACGTCAGCAACGACATGCCAACATGGCGAGCCCGGCATCGGAGAACCATTTTAGCGAAAAATTTGTACTTTACAAGACTATTTTTAGACATGATCCACTTAAAGTTCTAAAATGATAAATAAGGTCAGATACTGGACTAAAAAACAGTTTACCCGACATTTTAATATCTTGTTTATGTAAATTAACTCCAAAGCTCCACCAACCCCTATCATTCATCTATTTCGATAGCCAAACCTCATAAGCCATCGGTCGAACTGATTTTTCTATTGGTCTTGCATTTTTTTGGGCCCGCCATTAATCATAATTCACAATTGATTAATCTAATTTAAATGATTGGACCCGATGCTAACAAGATTATGTTACATCGGCCTAGGTCTTTTCTATCCGATTGATAAAAAATTTTCAGAATTGGCCCATCATTGTCGATGAAATTTATTTGGGACAACATATTATATAATAATAATTAAAAATAAAAAATAGATTAGTTAAAATATATAATTAACTTAATATTTGTTAAAATACATTAAGACATTGATTTCATCTAGCTTCAATCCTCATCCAAACATCCTAGCTTCCCTACATAACTTGGAGTGATACTGTTAATGGGATAATGGTAAAATTTTATATACATTACAAAAATCATTCTTTATTATATTGCTATGCTAAGTCACCATACGACTATGTTGAACTTTTTATTAAGGCTTAATAATTAATTATATGCCATTTAAGAATTGATGCAATTAAAAAGGAAAAGGATGTATTTTGGTTTGTATTTTAGAATGAATCAAATATTTGATATGGTATTCGGTAAAATAAAATAATACTACTTTCGTCCGGCTTTAAGGGTCTTATTTACTTTTTTGCATATTGATCTTTGAATATTAATGAATATATCAAAACACGGTAAAATTTGCAAAAATACTTCTATTAGTGTCTTATAATACTAATAGAATGAGATTTGTACAAAAAAAAAATAAATAAATAAAATTATACAAATATAATGATATTTTTAATATTAAGTACAACGATGCAAAAAGGAACGTTTTGTTACTAAAATTATTATGTGGAGATTTGTTGAGTAGGTGAGATGTGCATATCCACAATTGCTATATAATAAATTTATTTTCTTCAATTAATTGGACTTCATCTCAAACACAAATTGGCATATCCTAGTCATGTATGTATTCATTCTAATGAGATATGATCCATTCAACTAATGCCTTGTAAATTAAATGCATATTAATTATTTTAGAGAGTCCAAGATAACAAGTCAATTAATATTTTTTAAATAAAATGCATATATTATTTGCTATAAAATGCAGACATGTTGTAACAAGAGTTTTCTTTATTAGATAAAATTATTGAGAAATTTGGAAGATTGGAAATCCCAAGTTGGTCCAAGGTATTTTGTTATATATATATATATATATATATAATATCATGCATTTTAAATTGAATTTAATTATATGTATGTAGTTTAAGAATTTAATCATATTTGTTGATACACAGCCTGCTTCATTTTTTGGGTATATATTATTAATCTTGATTTTGAGATTTATTTATTTAATTATATGTATATGTTTAATTAACTAATAAATATTATTATTATTTTTATTAAAAAAGTTGAAAATTTGTATTGTATTTCTATATTGGAATCTTTTTTTATAAATATTTGAAATAGGACATCTCAACCTCCTATTGGGTTGAATAATCAGATTTTTCTGTGCTTTAATTTCTTGCATTTCAAATGCTTAATCTTACTATTGGATATTCTTTTGACTAATAATTCAATTATTTATTATTATTATTTTTTTTTCTGGCTGTGGTTTGTTTATTTTTATAGAAATTGTTTAAAAGTAGAAATTTCAACTATAAAATTCATTCATCTACAAAATATATGTCTAGATGACACATTCAGTGGTCAAGAATCTATCTAAAAAATGTTTTATTTATTTCTATTTTTGACATATTTATAATAATAATAAAGAACATTGCTGATAAAATTAAATGTAGAATTGCATTAATCATACATTGCCCCACATATATGTATTATTATGTGTACGTGGGAAAGCGATTTGAAGTGATTGATTTTATACATACATAGATGATATGTATATAGGCCACAAAATTTCAACCTAAAATGACAGTGACACGACGGTAAGGAAAAGCACGCCTAAAATGGCTTCCAAAACCTCATAAGCCTTCTTCTATACAGCTCCAATCTGCAGTAATATTTATTTATAAATTAAGGAACGTAAGTTTTTTATTTTATTTTATTGAGAAATATAAGTTGCAGCTAAGGAGCAGTGAAGTTTAATTATCGATAATTCCAGAGATGATTTTTACAGAGTTCATTGAAATTTTGATCTTCTGCAGATCTCCTCATGCTGATGCAATCATCATCGATTTTTCTGTGGCTTTTTGTAATTCTGTCGCCATGTTTCGATCGGAGCTCGGCCACCGCCGCCGCCGCCGGAGATCGGATGCCGGCGTCGATAGTTGCACGTCACGGCGTCGTGGCGGCTGATCACGGCCTATGCTCGACAATAGGCCGGGATGTCCTCAAGGAAGGCGGCCATGCCGTGGATGCCGCGGTGGCTACTGCCTTCTGCCTCGGTGTCGTCAATCCGGCATCTAGCGGCATTGGTGGCGGCGCTTTTATGCTCGTACATTCGTCCCACCGCAACACCACCGAAGCCTACGACATGAGAGAAACTGCTCCCCTTCGGGCTTCAAAGGTAACTGTTAAATGAATATCTCTTCTAAAAGTTTAAATGAAACTAGGTAACCGTTAAATGACAATTTTTTCTAAAAATTTTAAATTTATAAAAATGAGAGAAATTGAGTCACTGTTAAATGATCATCTCTTCTAAAAATTTAAATTTATAAAAATAAAAGAAACTAGATAACTGTATCTTCTAAAGGTTTAAATTTATAAAAAAATATATTATTAATTACATATTATATAGTCTTCCAACAATAAGAGTTCGCTTTGATTTTTCATATTCTTTTAGTCGCACTAATAAAAGTAGCGTCAAATGATTGATCACCCGCATTTTGATTATCTACCGTTGTAGAATATGTATGCCGGAAATCGTACACTAAAAGCGAGCGGCGCGCTCTCGGCTGCTGTTCCCGGCGAAGTCATAGGCCTCGAACTTGCATGGAAGAAATACGGGAGGATGCCGTGGGCGAGGCTTGTTCGACCGTCCGTTAAAATTGCTCAGGACGGATTTCCGGTTTCGCGATACCTCCACATGCAAATGACTGCATCCGAATCGGGTATTCTCGCGGACAAGGGCCTCCGCCATGTTTTCACATCGAATGGGAGTCTATTGAAGCCGGGAACTCTTTGCCGAAACATAAAACTCTCGGAAACATTGAAGATCATATCAAATAGCGGAGCGAAAGCCTTTTATAACGGATCGATAGGCTTAGGCTTGATAAAGGATATAGCCGAGGCCGGAGGAATACTAACGCGCGAGGATTTGGCGAGCTATACCGTAAAAGTTAGAGAAGCCATAGTTGTGGATGTTATGGGGGTCAAAATATTCGGCATGCCTCCGCCATCTTCCGGAGGCGCGGCCTTAGCACTCGTAAGCATTACATTACTACGTCCGCGTTTTGATTTTAGTTAATTACCTTAAGTTTTTCGACGAGACAAATAACAAGTGTCTTTCGCGTTGAATAGATGCTAAACATGTTGGAGCAATATCGAGACTTGTCTAGCATTTCCGATCCCCTCATGGCTCACCGCAAAATCGAGAGTTTGAAGACGGCGTTCGCTCTACGAATGAATCTTGGCGACCCCGACTTTGTGGACATCGAAGATGTCCTAAAAGATATGTTGTCGAAAAGCTTCGCTAAACGAATGAAGATGTTGATTAACGACAAAACGACATTCAATTCAAGTCATTACGGTGGGAGGTAAGTTACAATTAATTATATACAATAGGATATAGGTAAGTACCAAAGAGGCGTCGGTTACAGTGCTAATTCGATATTATACTCACACTTTATACTTCATGTGCTCTCAGTACTATAATTATTCTCCGTGTATTATTATAGGTGGAACCAATTATACGATCACGGGACAAGCCATCTCTCCATCGTAGACAAGGATCGCAACGCGGTGTCGATGACTAGCACCATCAATGCGTACTTCGGCTCCAAGTTCCTCTCGCCGTCCACCGGAATTATTGTAAACAACGAAATGGATGATTTCTCTATTCCGACGACTAACATTTCAACGAGCGAACCGCCGCCCGCGCCTCCGAACTTTATCGCCGCCGGGAAAAGGCCATTGTCATCCATGACTCCGACCATCATCTTTAAGGTATATAAGCAACTGTAGTTCAAGTGGTTGAGCACTCTCTTTTGTTTGTTTGATTACTGTATTTTTTATTTTTTATTTTTATTCAAAATATTCTATCGACTAACTAACATTTGGACGCTACTTTTTTTTTTTTTTTTTTTGTTACGTTATTAATTAATTAGGACGGAAAATTGAAAGGCGTTGTAGGTGCAAGTGGAGGAGCACTGATAATTGCCGGCACAACACAAGTTTTACTTGGTCATTTAGTGAGAGGAAAAGATCCACTCTCATCTGTCCTAGCTCCAAGACTCTATCACCAGGTCATTTAATTTAATTTAATTTATTATTTACTACATTATTATTATATATATATATATTATAATGAAATATGTTTTTGTATATATATATAATAATATTTGATATTTTCTTTATAGTCAATTGCTATTTTTTTTATTTTATTTTATAATAATTAATATATATATATATATATATGCGGATATTATTTGCAGCTTGTTCCGAACGTGGTGCAGTATGAGAATTGGACAGTGCCGAGCGGCGATGTGTTTGAGGTAGGTGCGGAAATAAGAGAGTCCCTGAAAAGGAAAGGACATATTGTTCAAGGCTACGGCGGTGGAACAATTTGCCAATTCGTAGTTCAGCAGCTCACTGGTCCTAATGCAGGCCAACTTATTGGTGTTAGTGACCCCAGAAAGGCCGGATTTCCGGCCGGTTTTTGATCCCATTCTCATATATCAATAATTAATTTATTAATGGTGGAACAGGTGGACCATAAATATACTTCTTTCTGAGACCATTTTCAATTCATCAATTTTATTTATGCAAATTTTAACTTTAAATATGCAGTTGTTATAATAATTTTATTCCAAGTATAATTCTATTTTTCACTATTATTCTTCAAATGTTTAATTTTTTCTACTCCCTCCGTACATTTTCTAATGTTCTATTTGATATTTACACGCAATTTTAGGCAATTAAAGTTTTTGTTATAAAATGACAAATTTACCCTTAATCTTGTGTATAGAAAATGAAAGAGTAAATAAAGTAAGGATAAAAAAGTAAATTTTGTGTATAAAAATAAAAAAAAGGACAATAATTATTGGACATTCCAAATAAAAAAATAGAACATTATTCTGTGGACAGAGAGAGTATTATTTTAAACCAACTTTTTATTTTTATAATTTAAAATAAATTTTTAAAAATTTAGAAAAATAAAAAAATAAATTTAAAAATTTAAAAATATAATAATAATAAATAAGGAAGCAACGCCAAAAAAAATGCCATGCCCTAATAATACCTCTCTATTTTGGGTTATGATTTATTTTACCTGCTTAATATAACTATATTTAATACTCCTTCCGTCCCACATAATTATACACTTTAATCATCTTCTAAATTTTAAATTTTATATATTTTTTAATTATTTACTAATTATATTTTACCAAAAGAGGAGTCCAAGCTTTTACAATGGAAAATATTTATTCTATTATTGTTAGGATTATTTATATAATCTATTATATATATCAATTTACCATTTTTCTCATTTCATCTGTTTTATTTAAAAATAATTATACACTAATATTAAAATATCTTTAATTTTTATTTAAATTACAAACATATCATTATACATACAATCACTTTATACATGATCAAAACCTCTTACATTAACATGATGGTTTAATAATAATAATTTAAATTTGAAATATTAACAGAGCTAACCCTTCATTACAAATTCTATCAAATTACATGTTCATCAAGTCTATCGAGATATTTTCATGGTTTGCCGGATCGGAAAATATCGACTATTAGTTTATTATTAATATAAATTATAAATATGTTAATAATTTTATAATTAGTATAAAATTTAAATATTAATGGTTTCAATTTTTTTAAGTTTATAATTAAATAAAATATTTATTATATTTATAAATTAAACAAAAAATCCAAATTAAATATTTATTTATGTACTAATAAATTTGTAATTACAGTAATTAAGCTTGTTTTGACTGTACTTGAAAACGTCCATTTACAGTGTATTCATCTTCTTCTAACAAAATAAGTGCGATTCTATCTACAAAATTCAATTTCCCATGGCCAACACCTAGGGATGCCAAATAACCTGGACCCGTCGCCCGGATCCGTTTTTAATGGGGCGGCTTCGGGTCTAAATAATATGTTTTGGGGCGGATTGTGGATTTAAAATTTTAAATCCGGTCGGATTCAGGGCAGATTACGGGTTTTACTAAAAACTCGCCCCAACCCAGACTCGAACCCAGATATTTTTTAAAATTATTATAACTAATATATATGTATATTTATATAATAAAAATATATTATTTATTTAGTTAAATAATTTTAAATATAAAATTCAATTAGTCGCCTGTTCCAAATAAATTTTTAAAATTATTATAGCTAATATATGTATATTTATATAATAAAAATATATTATTTATTTATCTTATTTTTATGATCAATATTCAATTGTTTTTAGATTTTTTTTTTGCTTTTAATGCTATTTATTTTAGTATTCGATTGTTAAAATAATATTTATTATTATATATTTTTTTAAAAAAATAAGTTTGCCGGGTTGGCCCTGAACCCGGAGGATTCGGAGCGGGGCGGGTCTCGAAGCCTAATATTTTCTAACGGGGTGGGTCTCGGTGCCTGCAAAACCCGTCCCGAACCCGCCCCTTGACGTCCCTGCCAACACCTCTGTCCAGTTTATCAAGGGTTACAATTTTTTTTTTTTTCTCTTTCAAACCTTAATTTATAGTGCCTAAAAGAGTTTCCTCCTACAAAACGTAATTTCCGACGCTCATTTCTCCCAACGATTGTGAGTTTTTCTGCAACTCTAAGTTTTCCGATTATGACTCGACTAAGTCAGACAGGACTCGACCGAGACGACGGCGAACCATTCGCATACACACTAACAACAATAAGAAAATATCACTACAACAATTTTAGGGTGTGTTTGTTTGGGAGTTTGGATTTTGAGTTGAGATTTGAATAGTAAAAATTTTGAATTTGAATAGTTGTACAATGTAATATAAATAGATGTTGATGTGATGTTTTGAATGTAAAATTGATTTTTAATATAATATAAAAAATAAAAAATAGATGTTTAATTTAATATTTTTTGGAGAAAATTTTTAAATGAATAGTAGAATTTTGTCTAAATCCTACAAACGAACACACCCTAAAAAGATTCTAACTAAAGTGTTTATTTTAATTTTTTTAGATAATATTTTGATATGATATTTTATAAAAATTTATATATTTTTATCAAAAACTTGTGCATGATAAATAAAATAATAATGATTTAACGTTTGAAATCATAATCAAACAAATTAGAGGCGGATTTATCTTATAACTACTATGATCATAGGACCCACTTGAATATGTTTATATAAATATATATATATATATATTAATTATTTTGATTATTTTATGTTTCAATTCTAATATCCACATAAAAACTTTTAACTAAAAATGTCTTTTTATAATTATTTTAAAGATAGTCTCCTTTAGATTTTTTTTTATTAAAAAATTAATTAATTATATAATATATTAATTTTTCTATTATATTCAAAACTAACGCGGTGTATTCATTTGGAATTTTTCATATGGTTTTTTAAAATATAAACATAATATATATTGATTTAAAAAGATTTTTATAAATTTTATTAAATTGTTTATAAATTTATATGAATTTCATAAGATTTTAAATATTTTTTTATTGATCTATATAATTTGTATAAATTGATATGAAATACAGAAAAAAAAAACATTTAAATAATTAAATAAAAATACCAAAAATATAATGGTTAAAAAAAAAAAAAATTTTATTAATGATGTATAAAAATTGTGGCATTATACTATTGTATATATTACTATTTTTAATTTTATATATGTATATATATTTATTATTAATTTAACAAGTTTGACGTGAAATGACAATGGGTAAATGAATATGAAGAGTAATAATATTTTATTGTCAAGTGACTTGTGTTTAAATTTTCTCCGTATATTTTTTAATTAAATTTATTTGATTTTTTTAATGGAAGAGAAAATAAAAATTAATTTATAATTTCAATTAAAGACATATATTTGTAAATTTTTTTTAACATTTTGCTATTATATTTTAAAATTTGAAATTATTATTAGTTTTTGTAGTATATTTTAGTTTTTTAAATTATTATTATTTTATTAAAAGATTTTGATCAAATTAATAGATATTATCATAATATTTACCATTTCTAATAATAATAATAATATATTTTCAAGAATTCGTAGAAATACAACGAGAGATTTCACATTATATCATTTATTTATTTATAATTTTCAATACAAATATAATAAAATTCATAGATTTATGAATACCAAAAACTTTTAATATACACTCAAATTTTAAAAATCAAACAAAAATCTATGAAATCATAATTGAAAAGCACTACAATTTGTACATAATTGTCTAAGTTATAGGCCAATTGTAATTTATTTTTTATATTACAATGATAATTTAATAAAACAAGTAGCTGGATCCGCCACTGTATATATGATCGCATATATCTATCAAACTAATATGCATCATCAAGCTGAAGCAAAATCAACAAACAATCACAGAATGCATGCTTTTTGAACGATCATATATATATATATATATATATATATATAAACTTTTGATTCACAATAAGGATCAGTTTCAAAAGATATGAAGAAACCAGAGAAGACTCAAAAAGGGTTTGCGCTAACCTGTAGATAGTCATTCACCTGAGGCATTGTTCGACCGACCGGGAGGACCAACAACAACTTAACGTCCTAAGGCGTTGCCAATACTCCCCGAGAGCAATGAGGGCTCGAGCAGCTTGCCGTGTGGTCAGTATCCGCGCAACCTGCTGCAAAGTTTCTTTCCGAATGTGATCTGCCTGATCGCCGCAACAAAAAAAGGCAAATGTAATGAAAATGGGATATAAAGACATCGATAGAGAATGGTTGGCAGATATTTATTACAACCTGGCACATGAATCGAGCCAGAGCATCCATCTTGTCCATGGCAGCTCTGATCTGAGGGAGGTAATTCCCTTCGCCTAATTGCCCGTCGGCTAAGGCCTCAGCTAGAATGTGCTGAAGTTTCTCGACGCCTTGTGACAGTGCATCTTCGGCCTGCTGACATGATTGCCTGAGGGTTGAAACTTCCCGGCGCTGGTGTTCTAACAATGGCTCCAAATGTGGTAAGAGAACCTGGTGAAAGTGCGGATGTTTACGATGCCTGGAAGGATGTTTTGATATATGAAATTAAATATGTGCGTCACCTTGAGAAGCTCTGAAGGCCGGAAACCACCTATCCATAAGAAGAAACGTTCGGGGGATGATTTCCACATGCCAGACATGACGTAGAATACGTCGGACTTTGCAGCTGTAGCTTTCATATCGAACAGGTTATAGTAATGCTTCATTCCGATATCAACAAATAAGCGCAGCTCGGCGTCTCCCATTTCAGCATACAAAGCATTCCTCAAATCACAGATCTGCTTATTTTGCCGTTCCACCCAGTGTCCATACTCCATTTCGAATGCTGTAATACCTAAACATTTCGATCGATGATACTTATTAGAGACATATGAATTGTGAAAAAAGGTTAAACATGGAAAGTAATTAAGTCTTGGTAGATCAAATTGTTATATAAATATACTTCACCCAACTCTTGGCCAAATCCAGCTATTTAGTCTTCTTGATCATTTAAAGTTTCACTTTTAGGAACAATCTAGACTAGTGAGTTTTTTTTTTTTTTTTTTTTTTTTTTTTATTGGAAAGATCAACGGATATATTAATGCCCGAAGAATGTATGTATAGACTAGTGGGTTTTTTCAGTTCATTGGACATTGTACTTAGTTCAAAAGTATTCGTATTTGGTTTAGTAGATAGTCATTTAACAAGGTTCAACAAAGTTTGAACAGATTCGTTTCTTCTCTGGTACATCAGATCTTTCATATGATTCAACATCAATTCTAAAACTACATGATATAATCACCATTAGATTAACAAAATAATTAATTAAAACTACATTATTCAATTATCATTAGATTATAAGATTTTAATATTTATCGTTTGATTAAGCACCATGTTAATGTTATATAGTTAAACAGTTCTATTTATTTATTAACAAGCATTTTATGCAGTTCAACAGCACAATTTTGAAACAAGTTATTTATATGATCCATTAATGTTTTAACAAACAAACAGGGGTTATTGGCAAATTTATATTTCACAGTAAATAAAAATGGGAATCAAGAACACTACACTGATCAATATTTTTATAACTAAACACAATTAGTAATAAGATTTTTTGCTATAAACAATCACTGCAAATATCGATGAGGAGATATGGACACTGATGGATGGAGTATAAGACAACAATACCTCGATTTGTAGAGCCAGAGTAGCTTAACTGACTAGCATCGATGCGGCCACCTACATGCATTCCCTGCAAACATATAATTCCTTTATAGATTCTTTTAATTGTAAGAAAATAAAGATAGACATAATCGAAGACTACATGTAATATCTTCTACCTGTTTTCTGGCTCTGTCAAGTTCTTGTTCTAGCTGAATGAGTCTCAACTTACTATTTTCTAACTGTTGGACATACGCCTACGACAAAAAGTCCATAGTGTAAAAACTAGACGATGATATTTCGAAATTGTAATTGTCCTGTGATCAGAGAGCAACAGAAACTGCCAAACCTTTTTCCGAAGACGGCTCTTACGCGCAGCCTCCCGGTTCTGTGCTAATCGTCTCTGCACCTATGTATATCATACTTCAACCTCAGTTATAAATCAAGGTATGGAAAATAAGAATAATCTCAAAGTGAACATCTAGTTCCTGAACCTTATCTTCTGGTTTGCTTTCTTCTTGTTCATACTTATTGGAAAGCCCAAATGTTCCATGCGAGGTATCCTCAGACTAGGTACACCATAGACCAGTAAGGCAAGTCAATTTGAAAGGTAAGCATATAGACATACCCAAGGAAAGATTGCATTCGAAAATATTAATGAGTTGTACCTGATTGTCTAGCTTAGTGTCCTCGACCTCAGGCATCATCAATGGAGGTGTGAAAAATACATTGTTGTCTTTGAAACTTCCCCACACGCTCGTTTGATGTAATTGATCACAGATGCCCATCCGTCTCGATGGAACAAACTGTGGGGAAGCTGAATTCATGCTGCTTTGGCGTTGTTTAAGTTCAAGAAGAAGCTGTCCGCAAGTGCAATAAAAATAAGAATTCAAATTTTACAGTTCTGAGAGACAGAGCATCTCCTGTATTAACTTCGCTTAAACCATAAACAGAGAACACCAAACCTTTCAAATCAGTGTCACCATAGATAGCATCACCGAAAAGGACAAAATTACCACTGCAAAACTTTGGATATTGAAAACAGAGGAGAGCAAAAGCTTCAAAACCACTGAAATGAAAACCTGTAGTGTAGAACTATAAACAGGCGGCCTCAATAGGCATGGTTTCAGCTCAATCGATAAGCCTGGATCCAAAATAAACACGATAATCCAAAGCAAATTAACTTGCAGCGTCAATACAATACTACAAACCCAAACTTGGTTGTTGCCTTAAAGGAGAAGTATCGAATATGAGTGGTGAATGTTTATGCAGCAGCAGCATCATCTCTTTGAAGCGATTTGTATATAAATGCGGAGTTAAGGAAAAGGCGAACAGTGAATACTGAACACTGAACATCATCATCGCAGCAACTCAACTGTAGAGTAAAGGATATAATAATAATAATAAATTATTGATAGAGAATTGAATTGAAGTGCGTGGGGTGGGGTTTGTAAAGAGATATATCCTAAGCTACAGTGCATTGTAGAAATTCCACCATGGAAGGGAGAAGCAGAAGCAATCGCCGTGGTGTGGCGCAGCGCCTATGGGCTGCTTGTAATATGCGCACCAGCTCACTCTCTTTGTCCCTTATTCCAAATTTCAATTCCAATTCCAACTCCAACTCCAACTCCAACTCCATATCCATATCCATTTCTATTTCCATTTCCAGCAGATATCAACCCCACAACAAAAAGCCTCCTTTTCGTTCTGTTGTATTGCTTTGCTTGGGATGAATATTAGTAATTAATATATTCACCACTACTTATATATAAATAAATAATCTAGAATCTTCTATATACACTTTCGGATAAATTTTATTACACTATCAGTCTCATAACAAAATATACTATTTTTTATTTTTATTCATTCTAAAATAATATACTATTTTTTTATTTGGTAATGATATTATCTGTTTAATATAATTAATATTATTATGTTTCAATATATTACACAAATATCGTTACTTTTATATTACTTTTATATCACAATTTAATAGGAGTATTTTTGTCTTTAAAAGTTACTCTTGTTTTAGGAGGGATGATGTAGTATTATTTTTTTTTTTCTCATTGTTTAGTTCAAATTACCACTCATTTTCTTTTTTTTTTTGTTTATAAAAAATATATTCCTTCCGAGCTTAATAATTTATTTTTATTTTTTATTTAGAGTGTATTTCTTTTGGTTAAGTTTTAAAAAAATTTGTTTGAATTTGATATTAAAATAATATTTTGATGGGATGTTTTAAAATATATTTATTTCGGAAAACACAAAGTCTAAATAGTAAAAATTTAGGATTTTGGGCAAAAGAAACATACCGTATGTAAATAAATATACTCCATCTGTGGACTTAACGTCCTACTTTTCTATTTGAAATGTCCAACAATTATTATTCTCTTTCTATTTTTATACACAAAATTTACTCTTTTACTCATACTTTATTTACTCTTTCATTTTTTATATACAAGATAAATGATAAATTTATTATTTTATAACAAAAATTCTAATTGCCTAAAAATACGTTGAAATATCAAATAGAACATTACAAAATGAAAGTATATCCTTTTTTATTATTATTATTATTATTATTATTATTATTATTATTATTTGTTTGAAGTGAATGAGCACATTCTGTGCACGTAACCACCCATCTAACTTTCTGTTATATATAAAATGTATTTTTTTAATATATGTATATATATATATATATATTTTGTTATATAAATGTAGTTCCTTCCGCACGTTTATTCTAAGATTGTCATAAGGCTAAATAAAAGAATTAAAGTTAGGCAACCTCGATTTTTTCTTTTTATTTTTTAAAATTTATTTTTACTAACCTTTCCATTTCCATATTAGTGGCTCTTCAAGTCTTATAGAGACGTTGGTAATAAGTCTTCAATTAGGGTACATTAACTTTGAATTATTATTTATTTATGGAAATATGATATTGCGATATGGAGGCATCTATCTATCTTTGTATAAAACAATTTAATTCACACACCAAAGACATACAATAACAATAATCTATATATATATATATATATATATAAAAGGTCACTCTTGAGTCATCAATCTTAGAATGCAATAAAATTTAAACTAAAATTTCTTGTATGGTCTAACGTGAACTTTAATACCGTTCTCATATCATGTCAAAACCATTTCAATTCTAAATAAGTTTGATTCGCTATTACTTCGACATAGTTTTTCAATCAATTACAATGTTTGGATCAAGCAACCTAAAAGTTAGTTTGATACTAGAAGCGAGGCTAATTACATCAATAAATTAAATTTTAATCGAACACAACATCCCGCAAAATACAACCAATTAAGCCCGTAGCATTGTGTTCTATCAGCAACAGACAAGTTACTATTATTTCGTTTAAAATATTATATTAATACTTATTTATGTCAAATCAAAATCAAAGACTTGAAGTTATATTGAATTTTTTATTAATTCTAAACAAATCCAAAGCTCCAAAAACATATCAACTACTATTAAAACCCACTATTGTCGTCTTCTTCTTATAGGCGATAAGACCAATTCGAGCAAGGATTTTGAACGGGCCAGCATACTTGGGACTGAGCTTCCATACTTCTTTGGAGTGGATTGAAAGCTGCCTATAAGGTTTTAGTTTAAGGTAAACCCAATTGCCTTTTTCAAATTTCCTTTCGTTTATGTGATAATTAGCATAATATTTCATTCTGATTTGAGCTGCCAAAAGGGCTTACTTTTTATATGGTATAGGACTAGAGAACCATTGCGTAAGTTGAAAACTATACAATGCCTGAAAAAGAGTGGTACCCAAAGAAGTATGAAATAAGGTGTTATGCCACAATTCAGCCATAGGGTTCACTGGCTGTTTTTGCCATCAATTTGTAGGTGGTAAACAATGCTCATCCCTTGTTCGATGCTAAGACAACAAATAATTGCTGCAAAAAATGACTAGTAAACACATTGTCTGTATAAGAGATAACAATGTGAGGTAGGCCATGAAGCTTGTAAATAGGTTGTAGGAACAATAGAGCAAGACTCGAAGCAGTAAATGGATATACAATAGCAATAAAGTGAGCATACTTGGTCAATTTGTCCACAAGTACCCAGATAGTATCAGATGACTTACGGAATTGCTTAATAAAATCCATAGAAATGTGAGTCCAGGCCTATTCTAAAATTTGTATTGCTTAATAAAATCCATAGAAATGTGAGTCTAGGCCTATTCTAAAATTTGTAGTGGTTGTAGCAATCTAGAATTTTGGACATTTTCATACTTGCTAACTTGTGGCAAGCAATAACAAAAGACTTAACTTGCTGCCTAATCCCTAGCCACAAAAAAATGTTAGATAATCTCTGAAATAATGCATGTGCATCTGATAGATGATTTGATTCCTCAGTTCTCCAGAGCAGCCCACCACCAATTTCCTTATGTATAGCTGTATAAAGACATGTTATAAGGCAATGTAATCAGTTCAGCTATAATGTTTTGAAGGGAGTGGTCATTGTTGTAACTACTCATGACCTCAATTGTCCGTATAGGTTTAACACAATGATTGATAGGTACTCCCCTTCTACAACACCTTCATTTGTAGTGTGGACTCTAGATAATGTGTCAACCACCTTGTTTTCAATCCATTTCTTGTGTTTAATACGATAATCAAATCCCAAAAGTTTGGTTAAATATTTATATTGTAGTGGTGTCGAAAACTTCTGCTCCAAGAGATATTTCAAACTCATTTGATCTGTACTAATAATAAATCATGTAGTGCCAATACATGTGTTGTACTCATTACTTCTTTGAGTGACTGGAATGTTGTCTCAGATTATGTGGTCTATGCAAACTTCTTTTTTTTTTTTTAGTAAGATCAGTTAAAGCTTTAGCAATCATCCCATAGTGTTGTATGAATTTTCTGTAATATCCAGTAAGACCCAAGGATTCTCTTAATACCTTAACATCAATCCAACACTATCTGTATCTTGGCCCTATCCATCTGTACTTTCCCATCCCCAATTATATGCCCTAAGTACTCTACTTATGTTTTACAGAAGTTGCATATTGACTTTTTGGCGACTAGAGCATGTTGAGATAGAATGTTGAACACAGTCCTCAAGTGTTGAAAATGATCTGTTATACTTAAGCTGTAGATGAGAATGTCATCAAAGAAAATCAATATAAATTCTTTCAAATAAATCTTAAAAATCTTATTCATCACTGACTGGAATGTGGCCGGGGCATTTGTAAGGCCAAAAGGCATCAGAAGGAACTCATATATCCCAAAAGTAGTAACAAAAGTTGTTTTAAAAATATTCTCATCATGCATCCGAATATGAGAAAGAGGATGCCTTGAGAATTTCCGAGCCTCGAAGATATCGAAAAGAGAGTTCTATCGCATTATATTTTTATTGTTACAATACATCTATGATGAATTGTGCTATTTTTGAATTGTTATTTGGTTTGATTGCAACCCCTCTCGAGTATAATCAAGGTTGTCTATGGATGAACAATGCTGCAAGTGTGAGAAGGGAAGATTAATCGGCACCACAAAAAAAAATACGGTTGCAACCATGGTTCTTCGGATCGGACAAGCTGGCTGATCCGCGGTACAAAGAAAATTCGGATTTTTCCACAAAATTTTTCCAATTCACAAATCTTATCCAACACAATACATATGCATGAAAATCACAACAATTTTTCCATTCTTACAAGTGTTTGTCAACCTCTTCTCTATTCCTCTCTTCTATATTTTTGTTCGCATGCGTTAATTGATAAGGGTTGAGATTTGGAAAAAAAAGAGTATTGAAGAATAGCGTAGGTGTTGAGAAAAAGGATAGGAAAGAAGTATGTTGGGAAGAATTGGATTATGGTCATCTGAGTAATGAGCCAAATTAATTATATTATTACCTCAATTAATTTAAATTTTTGTAAATATAATATAAAATTAATTTGTTTTCTTAAATTTTTAGTATAATTACAATAATCATACAAATTATGAAATTTAACATTTACATTCGTATATGTATATATATATGTTAATTGCGTTAAAATATTATTTATATTAAATTAATTTGCTATAAATTAGTATAATATATTTTATTTAATATTATATATTTTAAAATTAATTATATTTATGATTTGCTGTAATTTAATTTCTAATTATTATTTTTTTTAATAAATACAAATTTCTATATAAAAAAAATCATATAAGCCGATATTTGACCAATATACCGAACCGATACACCGCGACGTATCTGAAATGGTAAAAATTTCCGCGACAACGATCCCCGACGAAAAACCATAAAAATTAGGGGGTATTTCTTTATTTTCTTCGCAATTATTTATGCCGGCTTATTTATTAATTCATAGAATAATCGCTTCTCAGACAATTAGCAGAATCTGTGTAGAGCAGTTAGCTTGCTGCACTCCTCAGTCTTAAAATTGTTCTCTCTTAGTTAGTCTAATGATTAGCATAGCTTCAGTTTAAACTTTTGCATAATAGATAGAGTAGATTGCTCTTAGTTTAGTTTGTTGTCAATTTACTTAAATTAGTATGGTTGTAATTTTGTAACTAATAGCGTAGGTTGGTTCGGTGTTATTTTAGTTAGTTTAATCAGTGAGGATGTGTTCGTTTGAAGGATTTTTTGGCAAAATTCTATTATTTATTCAAAAAATTTCTCCAAAAACATCAAATCAAACACATATTTTTCATTTTTTATATTATACTAAAAAAATTAATTTTACGTTCAAAACATCACATCATCCTGATCTATTTGTTGATTAACTTTATTTTGGTTTGCGTTGTGTTAGGTTTGTATATGTAGTTATTACTCCCTCCGTCCCAGATACCATGTCCACGTTGCCGTTTCTGTCCGTCCCGCGTACCATGCCACTTTCCTTTTTTGGAAATGATTACACACTTTAATCTCATTTTAAATTTTTAAATTTTAATTTTAATTAAACTAATTAGTTATCTTTATCTTAATTTATAATTATTTATATTATAGGATAATTATTTTTACTATACATTCTTAATTATCTACCAATTACACCCCTTCTGAAATAACGTGTATTTGAGAATATTATTTTTTTTTAGGTACATAGCTTTAGTTTAGATTATCATCTAATTTAATTGGATCTTCTTAGCATTGATTGTTGCCGTAGAAAAGTTTATGTAATTTAGTTCTTTTTATTAGACTGCTTTTTTATCGTAGCTGCCATAGATGCTAATAGGTTGGATCAGCTTATTAGTGTAGAAAGAAGTTAGCTTAATTTTATTGATTAATTATATTACCGGTTAATTATTTATTAAATTATTTATTTTTGTTCTAATCATGTATGTTTGCTACTAAATCTTTCTTTCTTAGTGTAGAGTTCTGTGTTTAATTTTTGTTATTCATTTGGATAATGCAACTTGCCTGCCTGCTTTCTTAACTAATTATTTATTTAGTTAATTAGTTATGTTAGTTTATTTTTTCTTAGTAATATCTTTATATAGGCCTAAAGTAACTTTCTTTTTTGTATCACTTAGTCAATATAAATAATGTGTGCTATAATTAATTTATATAGGATTAAATTATTTTTTTATTTTATTTATAATATTTAATTCATTATTTAATTATTTATTTTTATTTAAAATAAAATTAGTCATGGAATATGTTATTTTCTCGAGTCAATCGATTTCTACCGTGCGTAATTGGAATTTGAATTTGAATCTATTCAATAATTGAAATTTTTTTAGTATAAGTATAAATCGCAATTATGATAGAGTTGGTTGATATGTCATTCGTTTCATTTGTTTCATACTTAGTCTAATTTTTAGAACTTTCATCTATTTAGCTGTTATTTTTAGCAGAGATGATGAATTATGTTTCCTTAAAAATGGGATTGACGAACCAATAGTGTGGGGAGGATGTCAATTATCATTATATGCAACTTGACTTGAAAAAAAAAAAATGTCAACGCTAATTTATTCCGTAGTAAAGTCTACTACACCGCCTTGCTTCTTAATTTATTATGACAGTATATTTAAAATTTTGAGTCGTTCCATCATCTCTAGAAGCTACTCTAAATATTTGAGTTTGAAAATATTTTGAAGGACATGATTTGGAATCTTTGTAAATTAGCAATAATGCATAAATGACTTAAAGATCTGAATTTTAGCTAAGATTTGCTTGCGCACAATCGTTGATATTGCCTACAATATTGAGTCATTGTTAAGAAAGTACTTGAATGAATTTCAATAATTGAATTTATTCGAGAACGAATATAGGTTAAGTGTGAGGAGTTTGATAACTCTTGATTTTGACATATTTTATGACATATATTTATTTATGTCGAGTTTTGATTTTATTTATGTAATTTATTTCAATATTAGTATTATTGCATATTGTATGTATATAGTTAATTTATTACTTTTTTTTTTGGTTTATTTTATAATTATTTTGGTGTATAAATTAATTTAATTGATATGTTTTTTGAATTATATTTTTAGACAATTATACATATTATTCGCTATCACATCATCGTCATCTCACTCATTTTATCAATGAAAATCTAGCTATTAAGGAACACACAAGTCAGACACAAATATCTCGTTTCATCCTCTCTGATATACATATATTTTATCGCTTTTTTTAGTTATATTAAAATTCTGCAATATATCTTTTTTGTCCCTTTGATTGCAAACTCATTGCACTTTTTCTAATTAAATATACGATATTCGCATGTTCCCTGAGTTCGACCTGGACACTCATCGGTTAAATAAATTTTTATTTTTTACGAAGGTTTTGGAGTTAATACACGAACATGCACGACACTATTTTCATTCTATATATATATATATCATTTTTTGCATTTTAAAGATATTTTAAAATCTTCCAAAACTATCGATCATCCTGCAATGTCCGAAACCGCCCTGGATCCGGAGGATAAGCCGATGATCGAAGCGCTTGATTGTGATGAAGTATCGGAAGCAAGTTTGGACTTAATAGCGACTGATCGGGACCTTGAACGAGCCATACATTACGAGGGCGACTTCAAAGTTAATATGATCGGATTTTTGTCTCGAGAATTTGAGGCTGATATACGGCCCAACAGCTTGTCAGTTCATCATGAATGATGACATGATCCTCCAGGATCCGGAAACAAGAGCAGACAAGTCCGGCTGCACATTCACACAGGTTGGAGTTCATGTTGTTCACCTTCCCGATGGGCAAGTGGGGTACTCCCCATTCGCCTTCTTTAGAGCAAGATTTGCTCGTTGATATGACGAGCTATCCTACTGTTTAAAGCGCAAGACCCGTTGGACGAGTTCAATTTTTGGAAGAGGCTACCCTTCGGATGGCGCGGATCAGCACCCTGTTGAGTGCGGGAAAGAGGGAGAAAATAATCGCCTTGATTCGGGAGCTCAAATATTATTTTGCGTGGGACCACCACAAGATGTCAGAGCTTCAAGGAACCTGGTGGATCATCATCCACCTACGAAGGCGTCATATAAGTTTTATAAACAACCTCCAAGGCGCTAAAGTCCAAAATTATAATGAACAAGAAGACCAAATTAGCCTTCTGAAAGTATGTACGGCCCCAAATATTCCAAGGAGACGATATGATCTGAAAGGTCGTCATCCCGGAATGGCCCATAGACGTAAGCCTCGGTAAGTGGTCCTCAATGGGGTAAGGACCAATCAAGATTAGGGGGATAGGCGAAACATCAAGCATTTAACAAAATTATTAGGATTACAAAGTTACTTTTGTCCAAATAATTTTACGAGGACATTTGTAATACATCAAAAAGCAAAAACATAGATCACTAGTTGGCCCAACGAGATCTTGCAACCAAAAACCCAAATTAAGCAGATTTTTTCACCTTCTCGGGCCGGTCTAACTTTACAGCAGCCCATAATAGCAGGTTCAGGTGTGAACTCGATTAAGAATGTGACGTGAAGAACTGTTTATTAGGAGGAATGTCACATACTCGTGGAGAAGATCAAAAGAGAAAAAGAAAAACTCAATGTAAAGCAATCCGAAGCAAGTAATATGTGGCCCAATAGCTTCTTGGCATGTTACTCCAACCGACCTGATCTAAAACCCTTTGAATAGATCCATTTCAACAAACTTTTTCGATTAAGTCATCGTGACGACTTTTTACTATAACACAAATATTTTTTTTTTTAAATAAAAAATATCCAATACAAAATACATTATAATTCGAAATTTTCAATATGAAGACCGGACCATCCTCAGACCGAACTCTAAGTAACGATTTTAATGAAGAAAAAAAAAAAAAAAAGCCTAACACCAATACGATTGCAATAAATGAGGTGACGATGCCCGTTCTATTAAGGACGTTGGGATTCCCGTCAAATAATTAATCCTGGCCGTCATTTTTTCCTCATCCAATCCAACGGCTGCTGTGATACTAAGGATGTTATGGTATCTTCATGCTGTTTTTCTTATATTTAGTATAAGTAATAATAGTTTAAGGTAATAGGAAGGAATAGGGAGGGAGGCGTACATAAGCATAATAACTAACAGCTGCAACAGTGAGGGGGAGAGAAATGGAGTCTGACTCTAATGGAAAGCAGGTGGTGCTCATAACAGGCTGTTCTAGCGGCGGTATCGGCCACGCGCTCGCCAGGGAGTTTGCCTCCAGGGGCTGCCTCGTCGTCGCCACCGCCCGCTCCCTCTCCTCCATGCCCGACCTCGCCGACGATTCCAGCTTCTTCCTCCAACAGCTCGACGTCACCTCCGACGACAGCGTGCGCCACGCTCTCTCCGCGGTTATGGAGAAATTCGGCCGCATAGATATCGTTGTCAACAACGCTGGCGTCCCCTGCATCGGTCCCCTCGCTGAGGTTCCACTCTCCGCTGTACAACAGACCTTCGACACTAATGTTTTTGGTAGGTAATCAATCAATTAATCATTCTCGATTAAGGAAGGTATTTCGAATTGTAGGTCTGTGATCGGATCTGAGATTTATTGTTGTTTGAAATTAATTGTTGGAAAAGTTTTGGTTGGAGTCGGTTGCTTAGGTTTCAGTTCCCTACGGATTCAGATTCGCTTTCTATTTCTTCTCGGATTCAGATTCAACGGTTCCTGTTCGATTGCGAGTGATTTCTCCATTTGGTTAATTTCAAAACATGATATGTATGTATGATTTGTCGGTACTGGTTTAGGTTCGATGAGGTTGATTCAGGCGGTAGTTCCGCACATGGCTTCGAGGAAGAAGGGCAAAATTGTGAACGTAGGCAGCGTCACAGGTTTGGCCCCAATTCCATGGGGAGGTGCTTACACTGCATCCAAATCTGCTCTCCACGCCATAACTGATGTTCTAAGGTAGCATTCACCATTCATTAGTCATTCCTCTGTCAGTCTATAGTTAATCTGATGAGATGAGCTTGTTTTTGCAACTGCATTGTGATCATTGTTCTTGTTGTTGTTGTTGGTTTAGATTGGAACTTAGGCCATTCGGAATCAATGTGATCAACTTAGTACCAGGAGCTGTGTCGTCGAATATAGGGAACTCATCGTTGTCATCATACAACCGAATGCCGGAGTGGAAACTGTACAAGGAGTTTACGGCGGCGATACAGGCAAGGGCTGTCTATTCTCAGGGCCCTAAGTCGACTCCGGCGACGGAGTTTGCAAAGCAAACAGTTGATGCAGTGCTGAAGAAGAATCCGCCTGCTTGGCTGACGATAGGTCATCAATCTATGGTAATGGCGATCATGTACTATGTGCCAATTTTGGTTCGGGATTTTCTCATAAGGAAGAGATTCAAGTGTTAGATCGCATTCTCAGGTATGGTATCTGTCAAAGTTTACCTTTTTAGTTACTCTTAGGTGTCTGTTGTGTTGCGTTGCGTTGTGTTTTGTGTGAGATGGCAATATGAGCTGAGGAATGGATGATATAATATGTGGCTATACATCCGGCCCCGGATTCTCCGTCCCGTTAACACTCTCAGTCTCTTATCCCCACACACATAGTATATATACACATGTATATATAATTATGTATATGGGAATAGAGGGATAAAGTTTATTTTTTGGTACAGAGTATCCGATGGGCTCTATACCGGAAAGAAATTTCTCCAAATTTGCAGGTTAGCTACCAAATCCCTCTCCAATGGACCCTACAATGGGTTTGTACTGGTGTAGTTTGAAATTGATTGTTAGATTTTAATTTTTGTTTAAATAGTATGTTGACCTGATATTTTTGTGAAAAAAAAAAAAACTGTGTATTTTTATTGAAAATTGTATTAACTGAATAGTATTGATTTTGATTTGAAAGATTAAAAACAACAAACCGTGTGTATCTCACATATGGGAAGGTGTGTTTTTCCTTTTATTTTAATTTTAATTTGTTACCCCATCGTGTCACTTAATTTGTTTAATTCTTTCTATTTGTTGTCCCATGTAATTTATTTTTTTTTGAAAATATAATTATACATTTTAATCACATTTTAAAATTCATAATTTATAATTCTTTTATTTTAATTAAACTATTTAGTTATTTTAATTTTCATTTATAATTATTTTTATTAAATTATTATTAATTTTATTAATATATTTTTTAATTACTTACTAATTATATAATACTTAGCTAAAGTGGACAATTTAAGTGGGCTGGAAGAAGTATAAATTACTAACTTTTGTTTTTTTTATTAATTTTTTTTATTATTATTTATAAAATTGAACTTATTTATTTATATATATTTATATTATAATTTTGTAATCGATATTTATGGTAAATTATTTATTTATTTAATGTTCATTGAAATTTATAGTTAATCTTTACTTTACCGATTAGTTATGTTGTACTCAGGATGTTTAATCAAGTAATATTACATATTTTTATATTTCATAAAAATATTTATTATAATATTAAAATTTTAATTTTTTTAATTTAAATATATGTTATTTTTTATAATCAAGCAATAAAAATAATAAATACTATCTTTGTCCTACAATAATAATTTCATTTTGTCATAAACAATAATCCAATTTCTATTTTTGATAACTCCTCTTCTTTTTACAAAATTATTTTCATTTTTTTACAATAATTATATATAGCACGGATATTTTAGTTTTTTAGAAACATTTTTAAGCTCACTATTAGTATAATATTATTATTCTTTAATTTTCGTGCTCATTCCAAATATTTCTGTTGTTTTGAAAAAAAGAAAATATAATTTACTGGTATAATATTTAAAATATTATAAAAAAATATTATTATAAGCTATAGACGTAAAAAATAATAAAATATTGATTTTTATTTCTAAATTTAAAAAGTTAAACTTTTGTTGTATTGATTTAAAGCAGATATTTTATTATTTTTGTTTATCCACTCAAAAATGTCAATTTTTTATTTTAATAAAAATAATTATATATTTAATATCAAAATATTTTTATTTTTTTTAAAATTACATATATTTTTATTTATTTTTTACTGACTAATAAAATATTATTATTATATATCGTAATTCCTGAAAAATAAAATTATGAATTAGAAATGATCCTAGCACTTTTAAATTTATTCTTTTACTATTTTATTTTGTTTGTAGAAATATTATCCATATTTTTTTTTATATATATAAAATAGAAACAAGTTTTTTTTTCTTTGGTATTTTGAAGTTTGTTAATTTTAGTTAAAATAATTACTATTAGATATGATATTAGGGTTTCGAGTGGGAAAATTATTTTTGTTTTTGTAATATTTAGTGTATATATATATATATATTTCAAGAAAGTCCAATAAATTTGAAAGCTAAATCAAAAGAAATACGTCCAATGTGTTTGTTTGGTTGTCATTCTGATCATTTTATCAAGATGCTTTTACTATTTATTTATAATTATTTAGGTTCCGTTTGAATTTTAAAATTTTGAAAAAAGAAAAATTAAAAATAATAAAACATATTTTGTCAGAAAATAGGTATATTTGATCTGTTATTTAAGATATATATATATATAATTATTATAGGTGAATAGTATAAAAAATTACATTAGTGTAGAACCTTAACTTTGCTTTAAAACATCAAATTATATATTTTTTATTTAATATATTATGTATAAAAAATAATTATTCTATGCATCATCACGTATTTATTTTATACTATTAAACAATTATTACAACAACAAAAAAATTCTATTCCAAAAAATACAAAATCATCAAAACACAACTAAAGAAAAGGACTTTTTTTTTTTTTTGTCTATTATGAATGTCCAATTTTGGAGGGGTATTGTGCGTTCCAAATGGAGGAATATCTTTTAAATTATGTTTTGATCCCTATTTTTATTTTATTTTAATTTATTTTTAGTAATTTGTATCTTTAACCTTCGATAATAGACTGGAATAAGTGAATGCAATAATATTAAAGTGACAACAATGAAGAATTAAAAGAAATTAAATTTCAAATAAGCAATTCATTTTGAAAATAGTTTCAAGAGCTTAACATATACTTCCTTCGTCCATTTTCTAATGTCCTACACGTATTTTTAGGCAATTAGAGTTTTTGTTATAAAATGACAAATTTGCACTTAATTTTGTGTATAGAAAATGAAAGAGTAAATAAAGTAAGGGCAAAAGAGTAAATTTTGTATATAAAAATAGAAAGAGGACAATAATTGTTGTTGGACATTCCAAATAGAAAACTAGGACGTTAGTTTTTAGACGGAGGGAGTAATTGAATCTACAACTTTCATACTAGAATAATGGTAAGATTCGGTTCAATTTATGGACCAATTTGTATAAGTTTTAATGTTAGCCAATGAATCATTAAGGGTGTGTTTGTTTGGGGGATTGAATTGGATTTTCACTATTCTATCTCATTTTTTTCCCCAAAAACATCAAATCAAACCCATATTTTTTATTTTTTATATTATATTAAAAATCAATTTTACATTCAAAACATCACATCAACACATATTTATATCACATCATACAACTATTCAAATTCAAAATTTTTACTATTTAAATCTCATCTCAAAATCCAAAACCCCAAACAAATTTAGTTTTTGATTCGGAATTTTGAATAGTAAAAAGTTAAATTTAAATAGTTGTTTGGTTTGATATTTTAAATATAAAATAAATTTATAGTATAATATATATATATTTATATAAAAAAGTAACTGTTTGATGTGATATTTCTTTTAAAAAAAATAAAATCTAAAAAGTAAAAATCTGTCGTAAAATCAACAAAAAAAAAACACAGCCTAAACATCAAGACAAAAAATAAAAAATGAAGATACAAATCTTAAATAAATGATATGCATGTGGGTGTCGTGTAGAGGGATAAGAAAGACATAGGAAATGCAGAAGAACACTTTTGTTTTCCATATCATATGTGTTCAATAGTTTAAATAAATTGTTTATTGTATAATAGTTTATGTGCAATTAATTATATCTGTCTCTTCTTTCTTTTCTTGGAATTACTTTATTGAATGCATTATTGGTCACATAATTAATTTGTATATTGTTTTGTTTAATATGTTAATTGTTTGTTAAAATATTCTTCAATCTTAAAATTATCCAGTAGGAGTACTATAGATAGCAAGGAATCGACTCCATCAAAACCACTCTATTCTCCATCACAAAGATTAAGTATTTATACAAAATTTACTCTTAAAAAGGAAAATAATACATTTTGAGTATTTTTTTTATGGATCATCCATTGATAGATATTATTGCACAAATATTTATAATTTGATGCAAACTTTAATTTATCAAGTTTGATATGCAGGTACTACAGTTTCATTACAATATCAACATATTGAGAATAAACCGTGAGCAAGCAGGAGTTAAAATCGTGACCGACGCAAGTTCCAAACTTTTTTATTGTCTAGTGTAACTTACTTTTTTTTCGTGAAAATCGCATCCGTCACTAGTTGAAAGTGCCCACTAGATGTGATTTACTTTATTTTCTAATTTGGATGTTAATTAAACTCTGCCTCGATTTACATGTTCCATTACATGTGTTAATATTATTATTATTATTATTTTATTTTCTATCACTTGCTTAATCTATGTGATCATTTTGTCCACAATAAGACTTGCTTTTTTTTTTTCTTTTTTTTTTTTTGTATTGTTTAGCCATTTCTTTCAAAATATTAAACAAAGTCCCACATTGGCTTTGTTAAAATAAAATAGCACATTGAGAAACTCATGAGAATTCATAGAAAATAAATGGATTTGTTCACTTTATATTTATTAATGGATGTTTTTTATTTGAAGTATTAGAGAATTATATTGATAATATAGAAAATAATATGTTATGATCAATAATTGACTTTTTTTTTAATGAATAAAATATATGTTACATGTATTAATATTTTTAAAAAAATATTTGTAAAAAACTGTTACACTTAGACCACTTAATGAACAAACCCACTACAATTAAGTAGCAACTATTGCAATAATGGGGCTCTCATATAAGCATATATGTATGCATATTATTCTAGAAAACTGAAAAATTGCATTATTATTAATCATCAAAATAGACCACTATATATATATATATATGTTCAATAGACTGTAACTAAACAATCTAAGAATAAGATCAAATAAAAATTTAAACCTATCAAATTTAAAATAAACCAATTAAAATTAATCTAAACAAATATTAAACTAAATCTAAATCTAACATATCTCAAAAAAAATAGTATTATGACTTCATAAATACAAATAAGGGCAAAGAAATGCAGTACAGATATTTCTGTGCATCACCACCCAAAACTTTAGAAGAAGATGGTGAAATGAGTGGTGCAAAAAAAGGAAATAAACTACCACCACCACCACTACTACTATGGCCTATGAATCAGACAGAATGTACATGTATGTAAACTATTGAAACTCCCAAAATTGTTCACAAATTCATGACATATGCACCATGAAAAATTAGGACAATGAGATTTGCCAAACACAAGAAGTAGCACATAGCTGAAGATTTGGAAGGAGTGTGTCCACTAACCACATCTGGACTCTGCTGCGGTGACGAATTGGATGAGTTTCTGTTCCCTGATGAATTGCCCGGCACCATGTCTCCATCGCTGAGAACCTCACCTAATACAATGGCAGTACTCTAATCAACTACATACCTTTGAGATAGATAGAATTTACTTGAACATGGAAATGCAAATAGAAGGCAATAGGTGAAGCAGACGGATTCAGCATGGCAAATATAGTTATTTATGTGTTAACCTTTATTCTCTAACCCGTCGCTCTTTAAAATATATGATAAAAGCAAAAGGGCAATTCATTAGAACACATCATCGCCGCAAGAAATAAGGAAATAACTGGAAGAATATATATTACAAAAATCAATACAGAAATGAAAGAGCTGACAAAAATGTTGTGTTTACATGTAAATGAATCTACTATGGATTATACTAGTTTCTATAAATCCTAAAGAAAAGGAGGCTATGGAAATTATAAATCATCTTGGGGTGAAATTTGGAAGCCAACAAGGGAGCCAAGCTATCTTGGGGAAACTAAAAAAGCAGCTAATGAAAACTAATTGATACCGAGAACTGATTTGGAACACTTAATAGGCTCTCGTCAACAGGGGGAGTATATAGATGACAAAAAAAAACAATTTCTTTCAATGAAGACAGTTGCATATTTTAGCGGCATGCATAAGCAGTGAAATATTATCTCTTCCTCACTTTTCAAATGATGATTGTGGTTAAGAAAGTTTCCTAACTAATTTCCAATTACAGTACTACAATCAGAAAGAAATCTGATGTAACACAGAATAGTTCGAATAATTTAGTACAAGCTAAAATCCTAATAATTGCACTTATAGATTATGGGTGATAAAAAAATTAAAATACCATACCGATTCCTTGAATCAATCAAAGTATCATCTTTATAGGGCATAATTCAATTCTATAAACTTTAAATAGCATCATATTTTAAACCTACCATGACTCTGAAGTCTATAGGTATGAACAATATTATAGTATTTCCTAAAAGATAGCATAAAGATATTATAAAATATTCCATTCTAAATATAAAAATAAACAAACAGTTGTGAGAAACCATAAAACATTACAGATATGCATGTGGGAATAGTTTTACAACAATATTAGCAGAAAACTTTCTTGTTATACAATATAAGGAGTAAAATAAAATATTCAAACTACATAGCGTTGCATTAAGAAGTCAGTTAGCTGAGTGATTAGAAAGGTATCTGTCAGTCACTTACAACTTGAACGTGACCAGCCCAGCTTAAAATTTTCCCTATCAAATACAATCTTGTATCCAGTCATGAAGTTCTCTGCAAAGGGAAATTTCATAGAGAGATCAGTAATCCGGGAACTACCTTCAATGCTTAAAATATTTCACATTAGAGCCATAAAAACTACTTTGCAAAAATTAAAAAGTCAATTTATAACATTAACATGGACGTACGACCGATAATCCCAAGCTCTTCATCCGTCCGTTGTATTGCCAAACAAAACCCAACAGCACCCTGTAGCACAGACACCATTAATTTATTTTGGAGGTATTTCATCATTCACGTGTAGAAGATAGCAGAATACATGAAAACTGCACATCCAAAACATTGGGTAGCTGCAAATTGCTTTGAACTGAAACACAGAAGATGCATCACATTTTTATTGTAAGCTTTCTCTGATAGCATTACTGCATACATAATTAGTGTACCTTGATAAGATATTACATGATAATAACATCCTTGCACATATTTAGATGTTATTGATTTACCAACTAGCATGATTCAACTCACTGCCATCTTCACCTCAACTAGGAAAACAATTCTACAGCAAAAGTTACCTCCAAATAGTAAATATCTAAACAATCATTCTCATGGGCAAACCTAATTTTACTAGACCAACCAAAAGTACATCTTCCTAAGCTTTTGAGCCCAAATATAGCCTAGTAATGTGGCAACTGGCAAAGTGATTTAAAAACCCTGGTTTTCGCGACGCTATTCTTTAAGTTGGAGAGAATCATTTTCTCAAACTTTACCTTTCATTCTGTTGTTTGTATTACAATTGATTTCAAACCCAACTACTCTAAAAGCTTGCAATCACATTCAAACACATAATTAAAGAAGGAAATGTCACAATCAGTCTTCGGTAAAAGAAAATGTGAAAAGCTTATCATAACTTTGATATTCTGTATCATTCTAATTACATTGTATTTGATTGTCATTATCTAACAGAATTCAGCAGGGATGATTGTTTATAGATGAATGTCTGGTTGTTCAAGACAAAATAACTATTCTGAACAAATGTCCAAAGAGCAAAATAATGAATCCAGACACAAGATATGAAAACAAAGTTTGAAACATTCAACCACCTCAGTGCCATAGATCTTAAAAACAGGATTGCTGACCACAAAACTGCTGGATGGTTTAAACTGCAGAGTTAATGAAGGAATCTCAGGCAACTCTTGATAACTGCAATAGATAACATGTTCAGCTGTAGGCCTGTAGTAAAGGCAAAAAAACGAGTGGTTGACTGGTAACCAGGACTCAATACAAAACACATACCTGGAGTTATAGCAATATTCCCATGGATTATCTTTAAAGATAGTTTTTGAAGCATTGATTTGTCTATCAAACTATGAGCAAAGTGTGAAACAACTCGCTTTATTTCGCAGCAATAGAAAGTAGAATCAAACTGAAAAGAGGAATATACCTCGCTGGCCACTCTTTCATAGATTTTGTCTGGAAGAAATGTAAAAGATGTCCCACTGTCAGCAAGCATCATGAAGTTTGTTTGATCAAGGCATGATCTTTCAATGCAGCATGCATCCACTCCAACAATATAAGTTAAACTGCATCAGGATATTGTATTCTCATGCACAGGAAAACATTACTAAATTAGCAACCATCCTAAAAAATTAATGTTTACTTTTTTCTGTCCAAAGACAAAAATGGAGTAGTTTGTTGGTCAACCAATCCTTGATCTCCTAAGAAAAGCCTCCCAGAATCATCTTCCTTGAAGCATAGAGAAAATGAGTTTCGAATATATCCAGCCTTCGCTAGTAAACTTGGGGCAGAAATTTCTCCAAGCCCTAAACCCAAAAGACCATCAGGTGCAACTCCATTGAGGTAACTACCAGTTTGTTTGCTACCACATCTAAAATATAATACAAATTAGTCCAAAGTCCTGAGAAGTGTTGAACAATACCTGTTTAAGGTCAACTTATTTTCGGGGCATAATGAAGTATGAGCAAAATGAAACGCACCCAATAATGACAGGAGCCTTCACAGAGTCATTGGATATGGCCGAATGATCTGATACTAGATGAAGAATGTCTTCAAACAGAAATCCAGAAGTTGAAGTATTGTCCGTATAGTAGTTGACAACATATGGACATTGCAACTCGGGACTTGGACACTGAGAGCCCAATTCACATAATTGATGATTACACGAGAGGGATTTGCTAGTGCTAGAGCCAGAAGGATTGTACTCATTAAGATTTTTATCCTGCATAATAGATGCTCCAAAAATGAGGGAGCCCCTGTGAATGAATCACTTGAGATAAGTGATAAACATGTTACCATTTATTTATAACTGAATAGATATTTCATGCAGATTATGCTTGTTCTCCTAGGAGTGTGTATTACACAACAAATCAACCATATTTTCGTTATTACAAACCCTCAATTTCCCATGAGTTTACTCATCCTACATGAGTTTTCAAATGATTGGAGATTACCCAACCCAGATTAGGATATTTATCAATTGAAATAGTAGAGCATTAAATATAAACCTCCTAGAATAAAAACAAAAGGGTAAATTGCGGACAAATGATATTAAACTCTAACATGGAAATTATGGTTTCATAAATACAAACTTGCAAGCACTCCACCAGAGAAAGAAGTAGTTCATTTCTAGCAGAAAGTTAAGGAAATAAATGTATTCAAATTCCATCATCTCTGGTAAACTTGGAAATGTATATATTTAGTGACATCATAACAGGATTTGCATTAACGTGAATTGCGAAATATATGATTCAAATTCTGAGAAGTAATAACATATTAAGTAGCTCTATTTGGTAGACACATGTAACTCAAAAGTACAGGGTAGGATAACCCCAACAAACTAATCTTTCTCCAGCAGTGGACTTAAAAACAACATTTTGTTGCAAGGAGATTAACGGAAGAAACTTCTTATCATATTCTCTTTTATCCCAATGCAAAATCAGACGTGTCAGTATTGAGTGAGAGTCTAGTGCAATAAGATTAACAATAGGAAGTTCAAAAAAAGAGCCAAAATAGCACAAACGTCAAGCCCATTTGGCAGATTGTACAACTTCCAACCTCATAAAGGACATCAATTTATGCCATGGATATTATCTTAGTAACAGAGTTCTGCAAATATTTCATGCACACAGATGTTAAGGTGTAACTAAATCCCTCCTCTGAGAATCTATCAGGCAGCAGATGCCAAACTTTGTATTTTGTTTTAAATGCAAAGGGCAGCATGACACATGAATGCAAAATTGAATACAAACATGAATCACTGAAGAGCCTGCATACCAGACTGCCGTAATAATTTGAGGATAAAGGTGCACATTGTACACAATCACAGGGAACCCAGAATAGATCACTCCCAGAGTCCAATGCCACAAGAAAAGAAACTTTTGGCATGCCTAGATCAATCCACACATAATGAAGCCTGTTTGAAATAATTTGAAATAAAGTACTAACATCAGTAGCCTTTATTAATAGTGTCCCTTGAGATAGAGAAAAAAAAAGATACAAAATTATATAGGCAGGATAAGATTCGATCCGATTCACACTACTCATAAACAAGCAAGCAAAAGTTATCATACCAATGTCAAAACAACAAATGCACACCTTTCACGACCAACTATAGGCAGCAAAGGTGGAAATACAACTAAGCAATCCGTGTAGTGTATAGAAGAACACCGACTTAGAGCAAATGCACATAAAATAAACAAGAATCATGTGTTTTCTCACCATGTCTATTAATTTGAAATTGCATTTCTTTGGTCACCTGGATCTTTATAATTGAAAGCAAAAGAGAAAAAGTAACAACTATGACATGAATGTAGATCATATTTCCACTCATATGTTCTCTCCCCCGACATGTCTCTTAGAGCATACAGGCAAGATACTGATAAGGCTTCTTACAATGTCATGCTAGGATGATTCAAAAATAGCCAATCATGGCCCGACAAAAAACAATTCCTAATCTACATAGGTCTTAACTCTTGTCTGCTTCCATATTGTATCAGACATCAAAAAGTAGTTGTATCATCAAAAATCTCTACATACGATTCTTAACTCAAATGCATCTACGAGAATGAATTAAATAAATCACAGGCTATGGAGCATCAATCCATGAACTCATTTACTGCTGAGGAGTTAAAAAACGACGACGTTCCAATCCAAACGCAAACAAGAGTGAGAAGACCTCGAGAATACAACCATCCGAAGTCATTTCCAAGGGGCAAGGTGGCGCTTCCTTCGTAAGGGTACATAAATTGGTACTGAGGAGGAGTCATCTTCACTCTCTGCCGCTTGACATCGCTGCTCAAAAGCCGCCGGTAATACTCGACGCTTCGCCACTCCGGAACTCCTCCATCCCCGTTCTCCAAAACCTCACTCCTCGCTTCATCCGAGAACCTATGCACTAATCTAGCAGAATACAAACCAGCTGGCCCCGCTAATCCACCGTTGATGCACAACGTAATCAGAGAACCCAGAAAAATTAATGGTATCTCCATGGATAAAGACGAAGCGGTTAAACGGCGGCGATGGGATTAACGGAATGGAGCTAAAGAGAAAGCTTGGTAAGGGAGGAAGAATAGAGAGTGGAGAGTAGAGATGAAGAGCGATTGTGGTGGGCATGACATCGCATCACCGTTGATCGTGATCGTGAACGTAAGAAGACGGAGAGTTTGTGTAACTTACTGAAGACTGCTGCATCACATCGCATTTGCTGATTCGTTACGCATGTTTGCCTAATTGCCTTTCCTTTACGGGTGGGTGGGTCCATTATTGTGTCTTGTCTATTTCTACCTTTACTTCGCTTCTCTAACCATACCCCCGTTTTGTTTTATTCTCTAGTTTCAAATTATTTATATATTTAGCTCCATTTAGGCCATCTCCGACTCTTCCAGCTCCATAAATGGAGTTTTCAGTCTTTAATAGCGCCCTCTTTTTTACACAAAAAAAAATAATATTTTATTAAAAAAATGATAGATAGTTAAGAGAATTTTTGAAATTTTAGTTAAAAGTAAAGTAAATGAAGAGAGAATATAATAAAATTAGTGGTATTTGTATTGAATGGAGAAGAAAATAATTAAATATTGATTTGTTAACTTTGTCAAAATTAGTAATTAGATAAATTTAGTAGACGGACTAAAAATGAAAGTGAGAATAAATTTGATAGACCGGAGAAAAAGAAGTATATAAGATGGAATATTTAAAGAAGATTAGTTTTGGAGTAAAAAATAAAATTACTAAAAATAATAAAAGTTTATGTTTAGACAATCTTAAACTCATTCCTTTCGCACACTACTTTTGAACCTGCTACAATAAAAATAATTTTATTTTAATAATAAGTTTTAATCCTTACTCTAAAAAAATATATTTCATATATATTATTATTTTATATTGTCTCAATTTTTTAAGTACTAGTTTTATCATTTGTGTCTGGTCACTAAAAATATTTTTTTATAATAAAAAATAATTATATATTTAAAATAATCTCTAATTTTTTTAATGTCAAATTTTTTTTAGACATTTTCAGAAATCACTAAAATACTACTATTATTTTTTTTTGGAAAGAGGAAGTTATTTTATATAGAATTTTTCAATATTTAAAATTAGACTTTAATTTTAATTTATTTTTACAATATCACCAGAAAATATATAATTTATATTTTATTTAAGAATTACATATATTAAATTAGTATTTATGATTGATAACTATTACAAATAAAATAATTTTAAATATATAATTAAATACTATAAGGCAAATATGATTAAAAAAATATACATCTATTAATCTTTTATAATATAAATACAATCACATTTGTGGATTAAATTATACTGATAATGTTAAATAATCTACTTATAAGAGGATGATAGTATTATTTCTTTTAAAAAAAATAAAAGTACATATTAATTTTTTATATTAACAATTAAACAAAAATAACACAATATTATTTTTTTAAAAAAAAAAATAAAATTATATACTCCCTCAGTCTATACATGTATTTAAGAAAATAATAGTATTTTAATTATTTAAAAGTAGTGTAATGATAATATAAATATGTATACTTTTTAGCTGGACGGGAGAGAGTATTACTTTTTAAAATATAAAATTATATATCATTTTTCAAAAAAATAAAATTACATAATACATTAAAAAAAACAACAAAAACAAACAAAACAACCCACTCAAATTATGAAGTTTAGTCCATAAAATACTGTTGCTGCAAAAATAGAAAGATTTGAATTTGGATTGGAGCCCCAGCCCCAACCAAAACTAGGGGGCAATTTGAGGTTAAGTTGCAGCACCAACCCCCTTTTTTTTACTTAATCTATACAGTAACTTAGAGATGCTCTTAATAAATTTGTTTTAGAAAAAAAAAATCATGGTAAAAATTTCAAAATATATGTTTTACCAGAACTTTGAAGTGCCTTTCTTTATAAAAAGTTTGAGAATCTTCTAACAAAGATTTCCTTTTTTTCAAAAATACAAAAAACCATCCTAATCTATGCTCAACATTTGGATCAAGATCATGGTTGCTACAAGTTTCAAATATTAGGTTTGTGTTCACTTGCCCTAAAAACAATTCATACATAAATATCAAAATATTCTTAAATTACAAATAAATAAATAAAATAAAATAAAACAAAGGTCCTGGACATTCAAAAAACACAAATTAGCATGGCTCGAGGAGGGCAAAAAATAATGGCCAGAAAAGGTTAAGATGAAAAGAAGGCAGAAAGAAATACATACACATATATAGATCTCAGAATCACAATGAATTCAATTCCATCTCAAATGGGAATACAAATGTGGTTGCAAATGTACTAAAAACCAAATCTAAGCAAATCAATCACCCAAATAAACAACAAAATTACAAATGAATACAATCATCGACACGTGCCCATGTACTTAACTACAAACAATTTGCCCAAGTATATATTATAGTATAACTCTATATACACTGTTGCAGGTAAAGCTCGATTCATAAATATGGCTGCTTTTAAAGAACTCAATCAAAAATCTGCAGATCATTAAACAAGTATGATGACTCACTTTCCAAGTTGAGATTGGCAAACACAGACCTTATTTGTTAGACCATTGGAATTCGATTTCCAGATTCCTTGACGGCCCACTTTTGCTTTCGGGCAGCAGTGTGTACTCGCCTGCAACTGCTCCTAACATTACTACACGGTCGATTTGGATGGTCACCTTTCCAAATGAGCTCTGGCAGCAAGTAAGAAAGAAAACATTGTTAGGTGATGTCGAGTTAAAAGCAAATACTGTAAAAAAGCTAATTAATTCACCTTTCCCATTTTGCTCTTGTTCTTGCAGGAAATGTGAAGCTTCTGTCCTTTGGGAGGACTTTCGAAGGACCATGCAAAGCTCTCGTCCCAATCAGGATTCGGACCAGTAGATACAACCTAACACAGAAATGGGATTATTTTGATTTCTGCTGATTAACATGGAAATTATGCAGCGGAATTGAGTGAAAATTCATACCTTGGTTTGCCGAGGAGGAGTGTTTCCAAGGGTTAATTTGCAGTACACACTGGGATTTCCGACAGATTGTCTCATGTTGTTTCCTCGCTTGATTATCACCACCAGTGTCCCTGGCAAACACTGAAGCAGAAATTCCGCTTTCTCCTGAAAACGCGGTGGCCCTGACTGGATCAAGTACTGTAAAAGGGGTATTGCATCCGCTGCAGCAATAGATTGCGCACGAGAAACTTCGGCTGGACAGGCTGACCAAGCTTGCCTAAGAAGAAATAGTGCATCCAATGCAGCTTCTTGGGTGGCCTCCGATCCAGTCTTAAGAGAGGTAACAAGATGAGGAATGCTCAGGGTTGCAGGTTCGGTGGCTCTCAGACGAGGAAAGTTGCCAAATAATGAATTGAGAGCCTTTAAATACTCCTCATTCACTGTGCCGGTAGCCCACAAGTCTTTCTCAATTGCAGCTACAACAGACAAAAGATTAATCAGAAAATATGTGAGAACCAGAAAAACTGCAAATGAAATGTACTGGGTGCAAAAATAGTGGTACGTATAACTACAAAAAGTTACTTTTCCCCTCCAGCTAAGAAAGATGAAGACAAGCTCTGGATCTTTCATTGGGGAGATGACATTTTTCATGGAAAAGCAACTTTCGAATGTAAATCTAGTTTGCCCATTTGACACTATAATAGCATAGAAACTTTGCAAGTTTGTTGAATATTAACCTAAACATATCCAACATAAGCGAGCATCATATAAACAAATGAGATCTTACCTGTTATAGCTCTCACTGTTTCACTAGAGGCGTATTCTTGAATGGTATTGTTGGAGAAAAGAAGTTTGATAAACATTGCAGCCTGCATTGATGTTTCAGGATCGCTAGAACTGATCAGATCAAGTACAACCTGAACGCCACCAGCTTCAGCAACTGCTCTTTTATTTGATCTGCTGTACATCACAAGGTTCTGCAAAGCGCATATAGCTACTACTTTCATTTCTTCAGTAGGTTGATCCTCAAGGAGATTCACTAATGCCCGGCAAGCCAAAACAGCATCAGCTGTTCGAGCAAGTGTCTCATTCTGAAATAGATCACCAAGTGCAAGGGTTGCCAACAACCTCGCCTGCTGACCTTGTGTTTGAGGATCTAAGAGGTATTGAGACAATGGCAAAATCGCAGATTTTGTAGCTTTGGATTCTCGAATTTTCACATTGTTTAGCAACACCTCAAGAAGCCTGGCAGCCGTTTCCTCGCACTGATGGCTTCTAAGAAGGTCCAGAAGAGCCTCAATTGCCCCACTTTCAGCCATTGCTTGAGCACTGGTTGAGTCATCACTCTCCAACACTAGAAGAGCATTAAGTGCACCGACAACCGTGCTTTCTGACCCTGAACGAAGCAACCTGACCAACACTGCTACAGGCACTTCTAAATAAAACTCAGAACTGAACTGCAGAATGCCAGACAACACAGATGCAGCAGACTCCCATAAGGCATGAGGAAGTAGAGGATCAGCTTGAAGTATGACTTTGGACAGCTCACCTACACCCCCCTCTTTCGCAATTTCATTTGGCCAGATTACCGCCACACTGACAAGAGCTCTCACAGCCCTCTGCTGCAGAATAGGAATGCCGGAACCAAGAATGCGTACCAGTGGACCAATCACCTGCTGAGTCAATGGGTCTCTCTGAAGATGCTCCTCCAACAGCAGGTGGGACAGAAGCTCAGCAGCCAACTGTTGCACTGCCGAAGCAGGGGAGTCGAGCAAAGGTAGGAGGGGTTCTATAGCTTGTTGAGATGTAAGAGTATAATCAGCACGACATTGCGGATGCTCCAATATATTCACAAGAACCTGCAATGTGCTATGTTGACCATCAGGCCCAAACTCTGGTCTCGCCAGCAACTGGAAAAGAGGCTCGACCACTTTTGCAGCAGATGGACCTTTAGCAATGGTAGCATTATTTGTCAGTATCCGGAGCAATTCAGCAAATGCTGCACACAAAAAGTCAGGTGCTTCTTGAAGTATTTCAAGTACACACTCTATAACACCTGCTTTGACCATTTCCATCTTGCATGCAGGTCGATCTTTACCTAACTTAACAAGAGCTCTAGATATAGCCTCATGGAGCAAATGATTTCGACCATATAGAAGGCCTACAAGAGGGATAACAGCACCATGTGCAGCAACAAGCTCAGCTAGTTGTTCATCATCCAGGAGTTTATCCAATGCACGGACAACAGAGTAATGAGCTGGACTATACTCAGTTACAAGCAGAGAAACTAAAGGCTCAACACAGCGGGCAGCCGCTAGAGTTGATCTTATTCTTGTGTTTCCAAACAGTACGGAGCACAACTCAGAAGCATCCCCCTTAAGCTCCATTGAGTAATTCGATGAAAGAATTTTACACAACACCTCAACAGCATTCATCTCAACATCAGCAACTGCAAGTGCCTTTGATGGGTTCTCATTCAGCAATCTAACTAAAGCTGCAATAGCAGCATGCTGCTCCTTCTCCATGCCTGTATTTAGAATTTCCACCAAAGGTTGAACAGCTTGCCTGGCAGATTCAGCATTCCTGACATGATCAGCAGAAAATAAATTCTCCAAGGCCTTTGCAGCACTATATCTTGCTGCTCTTCCACCTAAGCGCAAAACTGCCACAAGTTGACTAACTGCACCAAATGCAGAGTCGTGTCTCCGTATCTCAGGTGTGCTGAACAAAATCCCAAGCAAATCAGTTGCTGCTTCCTCATATGCATCTTGAGGACCAAGAGATAGATATTTTGTCAACCCTTCCAAGGCTCCTGACTCAACCATAACGACTTGGTTAGTAGGACAATCTGTAGCAAGCTGGATAAGAAGACCCAGAGAAAGAAAAGGTGCCCCAGGACGATCTGGAATAGGTTTGAGCAAATCAACAAGGGCTGGTATAGCTTTTCTAGAAGTTGCACCAAACCTGATGTCATCAACCCTAAATAATCTTTCAAGGGCAACTTGATCAGGATAGCTAACCAAACCAAACTCCTCAGCCAATTCCAGAAGGTCACGTATGTCATCATCAGCAGAACCAAGCAAGGAAATGAGCCCTGATGCTGCCCCTGAGTTTGCAACAGACAGAAGAGTTCCCCTGCTCCCATTGCAGACAAGGCTGGCCACAGCTTGTGCAGCAAAATATCTGTTTGTCCCCTCTTCTGATCTTAACAAACTTGTCAGCACTGGAATTGCTTTCATAGTTGCATGTGCACGAATGATATCTCTATCTTGAAATAATATAGCCAACAATAAGGCACAAAGCCATGTGCTACCATCATCTTTATAATCAACCTGCAAGATCAATTTTTAGAAGTTCTGATAATGAATATGTCTGCAGTCTAGTAACCACAATGTAGACCAGTGAATGTGAATAATGTGCATAGAAATATGTATGAATAGAACAATTTCTTAATCAGTGCAGTTAAGCGAGGAGATGAGTATTAAGCTTGACGAAAATACAGAAGTTAACTACATACCACTGAATATTGGGACAAGAATTGAGAAATTTTGTCCGTGAGAGCTTCAATTGCACCAGCCTCCATGATCTCAAGTTTGCTTTTGTTATCACCACTAGCAAGAGCAGAAAGAAGCCATATGGCTATATTGGTACCACTAACTTGTGATGTGCATCTCTCTGAGTCATGGTTGCTAGCTTCATCTTCAATTATCCTGGAAATACTTATTATATCCTTGTTGTCTTGATCTCCAACTTGAGAAGGCTCTGCAGAAGACAACATTCCCACAAGAGAATGAATGAGCGAAGCGCACAAGTTAGACTCATTTAAATCTTCTACTACTCTCTGATGGTTGACTTTGGAAGTACAGACAAGAAGTGCAACCCCTCCAACTCTAACTTTTGCGTTAGAGGAACTGATTACCCTTCTTGCAATGAATGAAATGCATCCAGTGGAACAGGCAATTGAGTTCCCAAGAATTACAGGCTGTGTCCGGCACAGACGAGATAAGATTTCTATAGCTTTATCCTGCAACAGAGGTGTGGCGCCAGCAATACATGAAACAATTGGGGCAATGCTGCTTGGGAATTCAGCAAGAACTGCCCAAGCAGGTTTAATGGACCCAATATCTCCAGCTGACCTTGAAAGAAAAGCAAGTGCATCTAAAGCCTCCGACGTAGCAATAGATTCAGTATCAGCAGTTTCCAGAAAAGAAACCATAGCAAGTACTGTTCCAGTACGATTTACACATTCAGTTAAAGCAGAATCTATCTGACGAGAATGGAGGAGTCGAGCAATTGCCGCTGATGCATGTATCTGTCCAATATTAGAGCCTTCACGCAAAACTCTAGTGGCAGGTAATATAATTTCTTCTGAGATAGCTTTTTCTGCAGCTTCACCGTCTAATAGGAGATTGGCCATAGCACAAACTGATTGCTCTGCGACTGGCAGGGATGAAGAGTTTGCAAGCACCACTAACAAAGGCAAAGCATCTCTAGCAACAGCAGCCACATCCCGGTTGTCTTTAACGGATAGAAAGATAGCAGCAAGGCAACGACAAGCTTCCACCAAGATGTTTTCAGCTTCAACATTTAAAAGTTTGATCACCGACCAAAGTGTCTTGACAGCAATGCTTGTCTCACGCAAGTCCTTTCTGAGATTAAAAATCCCAGCAAGAGCTAGTGCAGACTTCTCTTGAGTCTCTTCATTTGAAGCACTTAATATTTTTATCATCGTCTCAATTGCATCATTTGCTGCACTACCTTCGCGTACCATATCATTCAAAGGAGCCACACAAAGCAAGCTTTTTAGCGCATCTAAGACATAAAGTTTAGATTCAGGCAAATCACTGACAAGCAATGCAGTAAGTTGGCTGATTGTTGCAGTATCTGACTTATGAATCAAGTGATTTAAGGTTTTTGCAGCAATCTCCTTCCCATTGGGACTTCCATTCTTCAGCAGCCACAGTAAAGCAGGGACGGCATCAGCACTTTCCACACAGGCTCGTATGTCCTCGCTATGATTACAGAGGTTACCAAGGATTGTGGCAGAATCTTCTTTAGCCTTGGCAGACCCAGTCTCTAGAATTTGAACAAGTGGTGGGATACCACCAGCAGCAGTAATAGCCCATTTACTTTCATCATTTTCATGGGACAAAAGGCAAAGTAATGCAACAGCACATTCTTGCTGCTGCTCTGATGAAAGACCAAGAAGAGATATCAAAAGCTGAATCCCTTCACGGCCTTGAAGTGCTTGCCATAAAGGGCCTTCATTGTTGCAGAGAGTGAGAAGGGATCTAATCAGCTCCTCCTGCACTTCATTGGTGGCCATTGTTATCAAACCAACAAGCAGTCTTTTTGCATCAGAATTAGCAAGTTTGCATGCTAATACACCATTTCCGTACAAACTGGCCAACGCTTCTATTGTACGTTCCTGTACCAGAAAGGGTGACTGAGGCTTGAACTGCTGTACCAATGTTTTCTCCACCTCCATGGGATTTGATGGTCTTGCGGATTCAGCTTTATTGTCATATATCATCAGTGCAGAAGCCAAAGCTCCAAGAGTGTCAGCTACTTGTGCAGGAGAGCTACATGATTCAAGGCTTTGACCAAGGCTTGAGATGACAAACGACAGACCACCAGATATGTTTGCGAGGGCACACATTGCGTTCTCTTGCAAAGCTTGAGCAAACTCACCCTGCATGAACTCTTTCGAAGGAGCTATTGTAGCATTTATCAATACAGGAATACCATTGGCATTAGCAATCTCGCGCCTAGCTTCTTTGCACTGTGCTGAAAGAGATTTCAATGCAGCTGCTGCTTCAGCTCTTACAGGGGCATCATTTCCAGATCCGATCAGCTTGAGAAGAAGTTTAGTGGCTTCTGCAGCTAAGATTCTTGAACAAACAGAGGCATCCTCCATCATCATGCATGCTAAGAGAAAGCATACATTTGCTTGGGTACTTGATTGTCCAGTGGTAAGCAATTTGACAAGTATATCAACTCCACCGGCTTGAACTGTTGCTGGCCAAAATCCCTCTGTGCAGCTTGAGAGACTCCGCAAGGCTCCAGTTAGCAAGTCATCAACCACATTTCCAGCTTTAAGACCTTTTTCTAGTTGTTCCCATAGCACAGGCACAACCCCTTCTGTTGAAAATATTTTTGAGCCAACATGGTCCTTGGCACCACCTTGAGAGACAGCGTATATCGTCTTTGCTGCGGCAATCTGGCCTTCCACAGAGTTTGATTTGAGAAGACCAAGCAATGGAGGAATGCAACCGCCAAGTAGCACCTTGACCCGTAATTCATTCTCTTTGCACAGAGAACCTAAAACAGTGGCAGCCTGTATTTTGATACCAAGTGATCCAGACCGAAGAAGAGAGACAAGAACTGGAACTGCTTGAGAATGAGATCCAACTGCCCCGAAAGCATTATCCCGTGTATTGATTAGATCAAGTAATTGCTTCAAGCCATTCTCTTTTTCTTGGGATGAGGAAGAACTCTGACGCAACTGTTCGATGCATTGTGCAACACTTGCTAATGTCCCATCAGGGTCTTCCATGCTGCTCCTATCTCTGCAGCAAAGAGGCAATAAACATCCTGCCTATTGAAATAGATCTGATAAAGTGAAGAGCATTATTTGGGTGTGTTTACATGTGAAAACTTTTTGTTTTACTATTCCAATTTTTTCTCAATAAAAATATCAAATCAATCATTTATTTTTCATTTATTATAGTATAACACTAAAATTTGATTTTACATTCAAAAGATTGTATCAATACATATTTATATCTCATCAAACAACTATTTCAATTCAAAATTTTACTATTCGAATCCAAAACACAAAACCAAAATCCCACAAATAAACACATCCTTTCAACAGATTTTAGCACCAAAAAATATCAATTATATCGATAGGCGCATCCATAGTAAATCAACCTAACAGGAAACAAAATGTCTATGAAAAATATTAACAGTTGTTGCCCAGAAATGTCGTGTTCAGCATAAGGAAAAATAAACTTGAGATTCAAGTAATCCACCCCTCAACTTCTCACAATATAGGGTGTGTTTACTTATAAGATTTTGGTTTTTGGTTTTGGTTTTGAATAGTAAAATTTTGAATTGAAATAGTAGTTTGATGTAATATTATGAATGTAAAATTTAATTTTAGTGTAATTATAATAAATAAAAATAGGTGTTTGATTTAATGTTTTTGGGAGGATAAAAAGTTGAAATAGTAAAATGGAAATACAAACCTTACAAGTAAACACACATATACTGTTTTTAATTTACAAAAGCTTAATAATAATTACAAAAAAATAAAATAAATAAAGATCAATCAGATGCAGATTAGTAAAGTGTAAAGGATAAAATGCAAGGACAGCCTATGGATAGCTTTTGCAGAGAGAAAACACAAGACATAACAATGGTATTATTCAACTAACCTTGAACTCAATTTCACAAGAGCGTGAGGAGTCGGAGGCTCTGAATCATGAGGTTTAGCATCACCATTTCTCTCCTACAGTAATAAACAACAGCATAAGCTGTATCCTGATAGAAACTATCCACAACTAAAAGCAGGGCATTGATCAGAATATGACATAGCAATCAAATCCAGGTGTAACACAGCACAGAAAATTTTGATCTTTGGATCTTTTAGGATGACAGCTAATAACAATGTAACACAAGACAGGAAATTTGAAATTATGAGATATACCAGTCTGTGTATCAAGTTTCAGAAGATAACCGTCCAAAAATTAAAATTGAGATACAAGATCTAGACACTGAATAATAACAAGGAACAAGGAAACTAAGTTCTACCCATACAACAGGAGATTCACATAGCAATTTCAAATCCTAAACCAACAGATTTAAAAATTTACCAAATCATTGGGATGAACGGTGCTGCCATTGGAAGCAGCCGCCCTCCAAGCCAGTGTGGCCGCCATTTCTTCGAGGTCTCCTACTCAGATCCGGCCGTCCCTTGACACAGGCAGCCTCCTGTTGTAAGTGACAAAGTCAAGTCTGTTCAAATCACCTCCAAATATGAATAAACAAAAATCTCGATTCCATTAATCTATTCGGAGCAAATGAAATATTAAGAAAATGTCGATCGAAACAAACACAAAAGAATTGCCTAGTACAAACCGCCACCGAATTGCGAGCGATTGACTGAGAAAAACGAAGCTGAATTCAAATGAAGATCAGTAATTGCACCCAAACCAATAGAACGCACGCAAAAAAAAAAAAAAAAAAAAATCAACAAGAAAAATAAATCCCCATCTGCAATCCCGCTAAAAACAAACCGATCATCGGTAGATCAAGCGTCACCGGACGGAAAAAAAAAAATGAAGAATCTCAAGCTAAAACACGAATGCAGCCCAGTCTCAGCTTCAGTCCACCGACACCCAATTTTCCAAATATAGGCAGGCTCTCAACAACAGGATCCAGATTAATTAAAAGGAAAAAGCAAAATTAGCATATGAGTAAGAGGTGGGTAATAAAGAGCAAGATCTGGCATAATTGGGGAAACCTTGATTAGATTCAGATAGAGGGCATCAAGATTTGTTCTTCCTTGGCATGAATATCGGCAATATAGAAGGAAGGAGAAGCAAAAAATGGAATGAAGCGGTTGCTCTTTCTCTCTCTCACACACAAACACACACTCCTACAGAAGCATTGCAATTTGCAACCCTCTCTCTATCTATCCCTGTGATGAATGCAAATGTGAGATCGTTGCGTAGCTGACAAGGGAGGGAGGGAGGGAGGCGGAGCACCTCTTTCTTAGAGAGAGAGTGTGTCTGTATGTCTGTATATGAGTAAGCTCTGCTGTATTTTATTTTATAGTGTGGTAATAATAATAATAATAATAATAATAATAATCATGATGATGTGGGAGACTGAGAGTAAGATGAATGAATGAATGGCTGTCCCGTAGGATGGGCCACCGACAGATTTCCCCATACGGTTGGCTTGGCTCGGCTTAGCTAGCTTCATGGATCCGGCGGCTCGCGGCTTGGCATTACTTTTTCCATTTTAAAAAGTAGTACGAGTTTATTTTTTTTCTCCTTCAATTTCGCATAATTTGTTCCTATTTTTTATTTTCGTCTATCCCATATAATTTATTTTTTAAAAAAAAAATTAATTATACACTTTAATTATATTTTAAAATTTAAAATTCAAATTAATTTTAATTTTAATTAAACCATTTAGTTATCTTATTCTTAATTTATAATTATTTTTATTAATATATTTCTTAATTAATACACTCATATTACGGAGGAGTAATATAGATGGTAACAATGGATTTATTTGTTTTGTGAAAGAATAAATATTTCTCTTTTTATTGAAAAGTTACAAATTTTTATTTTGATTAGTCTCGATACAATGTTTTTATTTTTTAATTTAATTTACTATCTATGCATATAATAAATATTTTTTCGACTTACAATATATTATATAAATATTTTTACTAAAATTTTAGTTTGGATTTGATATTAAAATAATGTTTGATGGATGCTTTCTGAAGAAAAAAAAAATGTATATTTTTTTGGAAAAACAACCAAATAATAAAATTATATTATATTATAAAAACATCCAAATAATAAAAACATTCAAATAATAACCATACTATGCGGTGCGGTGCGGCTTAATAACATTATATAATATTATTATAAAAATGTATAAAATTTTATTATATTTATTATACCATTAGATTTTAAGTCTTTTGATATTATGCCATAAATCCCCTATTTGAATGACTCTCTCATTTTGAATTCATTTTTTCATATTTTTTTTATTTTATAGACAAGTAATCATCAAATTCTTCCATCTTCTCCCTCTTCTATTTTCTGCTTGTATGTCTTTCTTCTCTCCGTCACAGACAAGTGATATTCTTTTCCTTTCATTTCTTCCATCTTATGCACGTATTTCTTTCTTCTCTCACTCCTAGACAAGTGATCTTCTCCCCTTCCATCTTCTACCTGTATTTTTTTTCTTTCCTAGACAAATGATCTTCTCCCCCTTCTATCTTGTCCGGATTTCTTTCTTCAAATTGTTCCATATTCTGACTTCTCCGTTATGTCAATAAGTGATTGCAGCATGGTAAAACCGACGGGAGAAAACTTAGATATCATTCGGCAATGGAATAGTTTGAATGATATCAATAATAAAAGAAATGTTACATGTAATTTTTGCTCAAAAACTACAACCGGAAGAATTACAAGAGCAAAGAGACATCAAATGGGAATAAAGAGAGATGTTTTGGCATGTGAAAAAATTCCATTGGAGATTAAGAAAAAACTCATTAAAGCATACCAACAAAAAAAAGGCAGTTGTTGATCAGGATATTCTTGATGAGTTGCGGGAAGATGAGAATGACTTAGAAGTTGTTCAAGAAATACACCTTGTTCAGTTTGGAAAGACGGGAAAATATTGACAACTTAACTTAGTGGTGAACAGAAAAGGCCAAATGTGAAAGGTCCATTGGATTTATTATTTATGAAAAAATCAGAAACATAAGTGATGGGAAAATCTCAACGACAGACAAGTATAAAGGATGTTTGTGACAAAGAAACAAGGGCAGTGACAAATCAATACATTGCTTTATTCTTCTACAAAAATTTCATCATATTTAATGTTTCAAAATCAAAATGTATCAAGCTGAAGGTTGATACAAAAGGAAATTATGGTCAACATCTAAAGCCTTTGAGTTATCATGAATTGAGAACTCCTTTGTTGAAAAAAGAACTAGAAATAACAAAGGAATTGATGAAATCTCTTAAAGCAAAGAGATTAAACTTGGGTGTTCTATTATGTATGATGGATGGACAGATAGAAGAATAGAACATTGATAAATTTGTTAGTAAATTTTCTACGACGGAATAATGTTATAAAAAGTGTGGATGCTTCTTCATTTATGAAGACAAGAGAAAAATTATACAGTTATTAGATTCTTTTGTAGATGAAATATGAGAGAAAAATATTGTCCAAGTAGTAACGGACAATGGAAGTAAGTATGTATTGACCGGTATGATTCTTAAACTTTAAGTTCTTAAGTATTTTGTATATTTTATTGATTATTTAATTTTAATCTTATATTCTTAATTCTTAGATAAGTTATTGACTCATAATAAATAAATATTTGCAAGGAAAGAGAATCATATTTATTGGACACCATATGCAGCTAATTGTTTAGATTTAATGTTAGAGGACATTGAGAAGATTCTATGAGTTAAAAGGACTATATAAAGAGGTTTTTCTCTTATGAAATTCATATATAATCACTCTATTGCTTTGAATTTGATGAGAAAGTTCACAAATAAGATGGAACTCGTTAGGTATGGAGTCATCTGATTTGCTATAAATTTATAGCTTTACAAAGGTAGCATAAAAAATAAAAAATAAAAAATAATCTTAGAAAGATGTTCACTTCTAATGATTGGTTGCAATTGAAGACAACGAAAGAAACTAAGGGCAAAAAGGCAAATGATATTGTATTATTACTTATATTTTGGAATGATGTTTTGTATGCTCTTAAGGTATTGAATCGTCTTCTACATATGTTAAAATTGGTGGACAATTAAAAAAAAAAAAGCCTGCTATGAGATATATATATATATATATATATAAAGCGATTGATAGAGCTAAAGAAACTATTGAAAGATGTAATTAAAAAAAAAGGAAAAGAAAGAAAAGTATAAGTATGTCTTCGAGATCATTGATAGAATGTGTGAATGTGAGTTTCATCAACCTCTACATGCAACAGGATATTTCTTAAATCCATATTTTTGTTATTCCAATCCAAGCATTGAGTTTGACCTTGAAGTTACACACGAATTATACAAGTGTATCGAGCGATTGAATACTTCTGAAGAAGAGGTCGATAAGATTACAAAACAACTGGTAGTTTATAAAAGTGGTGTTGAAGTTTTTGCTTTAAATGCAGCTATAAGGCAAAGGCATATTGATGACTCCAAATATGAGCATATTCTTAGGTTGACAAAAATGTGTATTACTTGAATTTCTGCATAAGAACCATCAAAATAATTCGTAATCGGCATACAATATTGATTTATATCACTAGGCATGATCCAGAATTCGTTGTTGAGACTATTAACGATTTTTACCCTCTTAAGCGGTAATCTGGAACCAGAAAAGCTAAGGCAGACGCCACAAGCGACAGCCGCCTTCGCTCGCAAGCGCCCAAGACACACTTCGAAAACACTAAGGCATGAGAGGCAAGCGGCCACCTTCATAGCCGCAAGCGATAGCCTCTCCCGCTTACAAGCGACAATCCAGATACCCACCACTGCAGACTCTAACCAGATTTCAACAAAGTACTTCAACTGCAGCGGTACAGTCATTCCAATTCCAGCTAGCACAAGCGAGCCGAGCTACGCTGATGCCCTCCTGCTCTCCGGCAAGCGAGGAAGATCTGTGCCCTTACCCTTCAAATGCAAGCGAAGCGGGCACCCTGGGAGTTATGGCCAGCAACTACTTCAACAGAATAACCACCAGCAACCGCCTAACTGCCCAGCGGTTGGAACTGCCTAACTGCTACTTGCAACCGCCTTTTCACACCTGATATAAATAGGGCCGGATATCTTTATGTAAAATAGATCGAATTCTTGGACAATTTCAGCATACATACAGCGTTCGTCGTCTTCCTGTTTTCGAGAGCTCCAACCCTGTAAAGGAGTTCTCCACAGGAAAGGCCAAGGGAGTGGGCATCTTCCCTCTCCCTTGGCCACGTCTTTAATGCTTTCTTAGATTAGATTACTGCTTTCATTTACAGCTTTGTAGTCTAATTCTTTTCGCGCTTTCGTAGTATATAAAGAAATATCATTCACTTCTTCACATTAAATTCTTTCACAATTTTCCATACTTATATAAATCAATTTTAGAGAATTTCATATCACTGGTATAGAGCGAGAGAAGAATTGATTAATTAAGCCTTGTGATGCGCCAAAAGCGGTCTCAAGGTAGTTCAATGTAGTTAAGTACGCGGGAGCCTTGTCGACCTACTTAACTACTGTGCTAAATTTGATTCTGATAAAATAGTAGCAACATCAGGGGGTAAAGCCACTAATGAGGCAGAAATTGGGAAAATTAACGGGACATAGACGGGGGTCTATTAGGTCGCAGAAATTCCTAGTGACAGTAGGGTTTCTTTCTTATAATGTCTTAATTCTGGGTGTCATTGAAATCTTGTTGTAAATCCCCCCTAGGCCAAAAATACCAGTGTGATGAGTTCTTTATAATCCATTTTATATAATTACAACATCTTTCTATCATCATTTTCATAATATACATATATGCTTCCGATAACACACTTACGTCATTCGCTCGCTACATCCAGGGAAATCTACTCATTTAGTAACGCACAGTTCAGACACAGCACCTCTCATTCACTCTAATTCGCTCATATACATATACATATAATATGCCGCTCATTCACGTCCCAATCCTCTGGTAACCGCGATTCATCCATGCCCCGATCATCTGGTTGCCACTGGAACTCTGCCTCTCACTTCCGCTTCGCTCGTCTCCGTTCACCTCATCCTTACTGCTTTATTTACCGCTTTCAGTAGTAAAAGATTTGCGCCCGCTCCAAGCGGACCCTCCTTTTCTTTTCTTCGTCGCTTCTCCAAGATTTTTACCATTGAAATTTATGACTTTAAATCCTTGTGTTCGACCTGGAAACTCACCAGTAAAAAGAGTATAAATAATTGTGATAATTATCCAGGGTCTACAACCACACAATTGTTATATCTGATCGCTCTTCTATAAAAACTCTACTCACTGATTTTCGAA